ACTTGTTACTAAGAAATTTTTTTTTTTCTTTTTTTTTTTTTTTAAAAAAAAAAAAAAAAAAAAAAAAAACAAAAAAAAAAAAAAGGAAGAAGAAGAAGCAGACCATTAATAGCTAGAAGATTAAAGATCAGATACCTCCTGGTATTGTTTTGCGCCTCCAAGAGGGCTTTCCCTGTGGCCATTTCTCAATTACTGTACATTCCGACGGCTCCCATATATCAGCAGAGCTTGGATAATAGTTTTATGACATATCAGTAAGCTTTCATTCATCAATCTTCAGAAAACCATCAAAAATAGAACTCCAAATATTTTGATATTAATTATTGATTAAGAAGGACAAGGGTTCTTTCAAGTTTCAAACCACACCCAACTGAAATGAATTATCATACAAAAACAGAAGCATTGTAAATCATGCATTAACCAAAACTGTCTAGAGCAAAATTACAATTAAAATGCATTTTCTTTGAAATTCTCCGAGCCCCCACATATTTTTCTTAGGAAGATTTTTTAATACACTTAGAATAGTGCGCAAAAAGGCATTTTTCTTGAGAAAGGACATTGATTAAAATCATCTAGAACTTTTCTGGATAAAAACAGATAAAAAACTATCCAGGGACACCCCTTTTATGCATGCCCTCAATTTACAATTACAGATTTTTGAAACGCAATTCAATTGTGCAATGCCACTTTGCAAGGAAATGAAGAAAAATTACATTTAGAAAATTTATAGATTAACAGATGACTTAATCTAGAACACCACTCCAAGGCAGTCAAAGATGGAAAATGCATGGATACTTTGCTTTCTCTTTAATTATGTTAATAGATATAGCTATTGAACTCATCCAACTATTCTCTATTAAAAAAGAATATGAAGAGGTATAAACCAAGCACATGGTCCAAAAATAGACCGTCATGTTCAAAGCATGTAAAAATAAGCACCTCACATGTAACTTATAGATAACTTAAAAGGAAATTACTTTCAATTATCCTTACAAAGCTATGCCCAGTCTGCAGGCATGACCTCTGGAAGCCATCCAGTATGGGAGTTCCTTTCAGTTGACTTCGGCCCCAGTTAGAGTGGCCTACATCAAGAAGCATCTCATTTTCCAATAAATAGAAAAAAGGTATATAGATGCAGCTTCTAACCAGGATTTTACAAAAACAGTAGATATGAGCAGATAGAGGAGAAAAAGGTACCACACCAGCTCGACAACTTGCTTTGGATGCACCAAAATCTGCAAGTTTAATGCCTCCTTTATTATCAACAGGATGTTGCGCCCCCTGAAAAACAGGCGAAGACCATATTGAGAAGATAGGAAAGAGGAGGAATCTAGAACTTCTCTCATACCACATTCAATCAATCAAATAGGGAAATTAAGCAGGCACCCGTTAATGTCCTCTGGTGCATAAATTCCAGTTGTTATGTAAGATAGCTCCAAACCCCAGCCAGCAGTTGCTTTGTGTATTGTTCTTATAACTATTCATTAAGTACACAAACGTTTAGACACAAAGTCACTGACCACCCTATACACATGAAGGTTCAGTTGGCAGACTTACCTGCCCTCAGGCGAAGGGTTCCAAATTTTCCCCAAAGAGATTGATATTGATCCGCGGAACCAAATTTCAGAAGAATGTTTAAGCTTTCTCCTCCCTAACCTCGCTACCCCAAATACCATCTGAGATCTAAAAATGGCATATGCAGGGTCAGAATATTAATTTACGCTTTCATTGATTCAATGATCATGAACAGAAAGATAATAACTCATTACTCAACAACAATTTGGGATTGAGAAAGATTCTTCAAAAGCTTCACTTCCTTCCTCAAGTTCTCTTTGATGTGAGCCTACTTATTATCAATATTAAAAATTAAGTGAACCTTTGGCCATTATTTCTAATTTAAATTCCAAAAACCAAATAGGAAAAGTAAAAATGATAATTGTTTGCCAACCCAAAAATTTGCCAGGGTTCATATTTCCTAGGACCATGAACTTCAAGGAAACAAACCTTTTTTTCCTTGGCATTCCATTTTGAGTCTAATACAATAAAGATGCAAAAGGAAGCAAGAAAACATCAATAATCTTGAGAATTTCCTTAATGGTATGAGAATTGAGGCAAAGTAAGAGATTCTTACTTAATGCAGGCAGAAGAAAAACTATTTGGCATGGTTGAGGTAGTTACTTGGCAACCATACATTTAGAAATAAGACGTTGAAGAAAATTTAGTCTCGTATTAAAAAGACCAAATTAGTTCTATCCATCAATTAGAAAAAGCTGAATGGAAGCTTGCATCATGCCACTTTTGGGATCAGTACTAAAACATTTCACCTCGAACAAGAAGCAATTAAGATAGGATTTCACTCTAGAGAAAGGACTGGATACACAAAAATGCACCAATAAACAGCACCCAATAATAGTGGGTCAATTTGCCTACCTTGCTGCTCTCTCCCTTGCAAGCACCATTACTGCAATCAACACCCTAGAAAGGAAGACACATAAGGAACACCAAAATTCATAATTCAGACTCATATACTAGTCAACCCAATAAAGTCCAAAAGATAAAGCTACTGAAAACAAATTCCAGATGACAACCAAAAAAGAAAATCTTCCAGGTAGTAAAACCATTGCTAAAGGTGGTGAGAAGTAACAAACAAAGAGTACAAAACCCAGAAGTTAATATCAAAATTCCAAAAATCGAGGGAGAACATCCTACAAAAAATTAATAAAAGTTCCAATGTATTTTCAAGTTATCTTCCAATTAAATCCACAATGCAACTTCAACCCTTTATTGTACCACATTGCATACAATTACGAAAATCAGAAAACAAAACAAATAGAGAGAACCCAATACAAAAAAACCAAAAAAAAAAAGTTACTAACCCAAAGTCCACACCAATGGAACTAAAAATTAGATCAAACCAAATCTTGTTCCAACATATTCGTAAAGCAACGAGTAAAAAAAAAAAATGGGGAAAATAATAACAAAGGTACCTGCTTGACTGGCCAAAAACGTTCTCTGGAAATCAAGGATTCATACCCATGTAAAAACCATCGGCAAATGCACCGCAACCGATCCACTTCCCTCCCCTTCCGGTATCGGATCGTAGGCGCCATTGGGAAAGAGATGAAGAAGAGGGTTTTAGAGCAAAATTTGGATTTTACGAACGCAAGAATGTTGATCTTTTCGACTTAGGTTTCCAGTTTAATGGATATGAAGGTGTTGTTCTGATTTATCATAGGTTTGTGCACGGAAAATACTTATTGATCGCCTAAACTGATCCCAGAAAGTCTTGCATTATCGGAAGAAGAGGCAGGAGAGACAGAGGAAGAGTGATTGGTGGCTTAACAGAGTGATGGTGGGTGTGTTCGATTTTTGCGTCTGGCAAAAGAGGTGAGAAAATGGAAGTTCAGATTGAGAGGAGAGACAGAGGAGGGGAGGGAAAAGTTTGGAGATTGTTTTTTAAAAAATTTATAAATTTTAAAAGAAAAAGCCAAAATAACATACATGGACGATGTACAAACTTTTTTTTTTTTTTTTTTTTTTTAACTCGAGTGTGGGTAAATAATATTCAACAATGCGTTTTTTTAATTATTCGTATCAACCCTGCGAAATTTAAATATGATATTCATACCAGATTTCAATATATAAAATTTAATTAAATTTTATTTCTAAAAATAAAAAGATATAGATTACTTTTGAAAAATAAGATAAATAAGATGGATCGTCGGATCCCGCTAAAATTTTTATTTTTTAAAAAACTTTATTACATCAAAAATAATTTAGATTTTTTTTTTTTTTTTTTTTTAACTCGAGTTGGGTAAATAATATCAACAATGGTTTTTTTATTATTCGTATCAACCCTGCGAAATTAAATATATATTCATACAGATTCATATATAAAATTAATTAAATTTTATTTTTAAAAATAAAAAGATATAGATTACTTTGAAAAATAAATAAATAAGATGGATCGTGGATCCGCTAAAATTTTTATTTTTAAAACTTTTATTTACATCAAAAAAATTAGATGAATTTTCATTTATTTGATTCATTTGAAAACGTTAATATTCACTTTTAAATAAATTACATTATGCGATTCACTTTCATGTTTTTTTTAATAAAAAAGATTCATTTTCATATTTGAGTTCATATTTTATATTTGATATAAGTGAAAATTCATATATTATTATTTAGTAAAGTTTTATCAAAATAAATAAAAATTGCAAATAGAATCTAAATTTAGTAAGGGGTTTAAAACTAATAATTTCAAAGTACAAATCATTAAAAATATAGATCTAAATATATAAAAAATTATTTATAATCATCTTTTCAATAAGATTTATTTGTTAACGAATTATATTTTATATAAAGTTATTTTTTAGCCTTTAATATAAGATTAAAGACCATACCATATATTTTTATTATTTTTCAATATAAATCTCTACAGATATGTATTTTTTTATACTTAAAAGGTGAAGCTCGTTACCATCTTGACAAGGAAGCGATACCACATGGCTTAGAATCGAAATATATTTAAATCAATAATAATTCTGAATTACTAATTAATTTATTTCCTAAATCAAGATTTTTTTAAAAAAATTAGAATGTCAACCATTTGAATCCTTAATTCACTTCACACTATTAATTATTTTATATAGATTTATAAATTATTTACATAATCTATACCAATAAATATATATTTGTTATATTAATTTATAATCACTTCAATGCAATTCCGAATTAGTCGAGCCAATCGACTCTGAATATGAACAGCTTAAAAATAATATATATATATATATATATAATTCTGGTTAAATAATTAATTAATTATTGCAATCAAATAAAAACATGGGTTAATAAAATTTCAATTAATCCTCAAATGGAAATAAATAAAAAAAAATCCTTGAACCCCCCAAATACACAAACATATACAGACATACAGTTAAGATATATCACCTGTTAATTACCAATATATATATCACTTGTTAAAAAAGATGATGGGATAATTAAGGATGCTATTTCTATAATTAATGAATATTAATCATTCAACAAAATGATGTTGTCTAGGATCTCTAGGATTAATCTTCCAATGCCCATCAGCTAAACCTAATTTCTTAGCTATCCCTCTCCATTTCCTAATTCTTGCATCCATTTGCTTTGTAAGCTCACAATACTTATGCAATTTCTTTGGCATAGCTTCATAAACTTGCCACCACCTTTTATGTGCAGAGTCACTAGCAAATACGTGACGATCTTTCATATCCCAGTTACAATCATAGTCTTTATAACACATCCATGGCTTCAACCCTAATAAATGCATAGCATAAATTTGTTCTGGAATTTCATGATTTGGGTTTCTTCCTCCTCCAAAACTCTTAAGATAGTTCATTCTTGAAGGCAATCGATGCCACCATGTAAATGCTTCATTAAGAAATCCTTGATCACCTCCATTATATGAAGCTAATTTCCTACTCTTCAACATCAAGTCTTCAAATATGCATTTCGATGGCTCTACCACCATAACCCCAGAATTAAACAACGTTTTATCATTTCCAGAAGCTGATAATTGCGGAAAAGTAAATAACTTGTCCATGTTCTTGAGGACGACGATATCTGAATCTATAAAAATAATTTTATCATAATCTGTCAGTTGCCAAATTCTAAGTTTGCTATAGTTCCACTCATTGTAGGATCCTTTTCTTGCAAAAGGGCTTTTGATGGGTTGTATTAGTCTGGTTTTCCAACCGGCGGCTCTTAAACCTCGAAGGGACTTTGGAGTTATCGATGAATCATGGAGTAGGATTAGGTCTTTGGTAGAGTTGGTTTGAATTATACTTTGAGCTAAAGCAATTGCACCACATACATAAGCTTCTGAGGAATGAAGAACTGTTACGTAGGCAACTTTCTGATGGTAGGCAATTCTTTGGAGGTATGTGGTGTCGTTTTGCCCTATTACTGTTGATTCTGACATAAAATTTCTCCAAAGCTCTTTACCTGCATATATATATATGGTCAAAGAGTAGTGAATATATATATTGAGGATGTTAATTAATGTATTTTTGAAGAGTATCCATTGAAAAATGAAAATAGAATTGACTTCTTGTTTTTCTTTTTCTCTTGCCATATGTCAGACTTTTGTTTGCCAATGATACAAAGTTCAGGTTTCTTGTATCTGGGTCTTACTTTATGCCTAAAAGAAGGCAAGTAAGATCCAAATAATACCAAAAAGCTTAAGTTTTACATGTGATGTAAGTAAACTTTAAAATCTAATTAATTAGCAAAACCCAAGATGTAAACTCTATCTTGATCGTCAAGAACCTACCGACCCCACCAAAAAAAACTGTGATTAAACTAAAACGTACCTGTCTCTGCATAAGCAGGAGCAATCTGGCATGAACCAACGGGCATTAACAGCTTCTGCTTCAATTTCCTTAATTCAGGCTTATACACCCAATATTCACCAATATGAGTCAACAAATCATCACATCTGAAAATCTCTTGCATAGGCCCACAATCCCCTATAAACACAACATAAACCGTTCGTTCAACATCAGGTTTATCCCAACCATTTTCCACCACAAGATTAGCCGCCACTAAATTCACTTGCAGCCTAAACACGTCCCTGATACCCTTCTTCTTCCCTAATTTCTCTTCACCACCGCAAGGAACTCTAGCAACTATAACATCCAAGTCACGATAAGCTTCCAGTCTTGGCATGGGAATCTCCGGGCACCGCGGTATGCCCCATTTATGGAACTCATCTATCCACTCTGGAAAAAAATCTTCCCATTTCTTGTCTTTAGAAACAGGCACAAAATCTACAGAAACTGACTCAACTAATCTGTAGGAATCATACATGATCTTTATATCATCTTCTACGTTAACTAAGCCGATTTTGAGTTTCTGGGTATCAAAATTTCTGGAAACAAGATCGAACCAGTCATTTGTAGGAGAGATTAGTGAAGGGTTAGTAACATAATGGTGTTTTGGTTTAAAAGTCAAAACCAAGAAAAAGAGGGATGAAGAGAAGAATAAGAGAAAGAAAGCGAAGAGGCTTTGGAATGATCTTTGAGGCCTGTAAAAGGCCATATCTGAGCTGTTGAGCTATAAACGTCTGGTTTAATTTTGGGTATTTATAAGGGAGAAGAAGGAAAGGAACTGAAGCTTACATTTATTTGTAATCCGAAAATGAGAAGAGAAAAAGGTTTTGCTTGGTTTGGTAGGATGACAATGTGCATGGCCGCGCACGTTGATCTTTTCCTGCCACGCGCATCTTATTATTAATAATGAAGCGCGTGAATTGTCAATTTCTTATTTCTTATGTAACTTATAATTTTTAATAAAATTTTTTAATTACTCAAGTGTTCTTAACTCAAGTTTGAAATAAATTAATAATAATGCTTAATATCCTCATTAACTTGAAGATAATATTTATATACTTTGCAACTTTTTCTACTATTACCACCTCAACTTTCCACTAAATTTATATTTTTTTTTAGAAAAATATTAAAAATTATTATTTTATTTCTAATAAAATTTGAACTTTTGATCATTTAGTGTAAAATTGAAATAATATAATACGTAAAAAGTTAATTTTTTTTTTGGCAAATTATATATTATTCTTGGATTCAATAGACAATTTGAACATTAACCCAATAAATTATTATCCGTACATATATTAATATATGGTTTATTTTTTTTAATAGATTAATATTAAAGGGGTATTTTATTTTAACTATTGAAAAATAGCTACTAACTTTTTGAGCATCAATAGTTAAGTTTTTAGCGTCTAACAACGCTCTTCTCACCAACTCGTAGTTGATTGAATTATAGTTGATTAAAACTTATTAATAATAATTTATTTTTTATTATAAATTATTAAAAATAATAAATATTACTATTTTTAATATATTTAATTGATGCTAGAAAATTAATAAATATAAGTCAAAGTAAAATTATTTAAATATGTATACAAAATTCATTTATAATATTGTTAATTCTTCATAATTTGGTAAAAAAAAAAAATATGTCTTCACTTTGGTTTTCTTTATCTTTTGAAAGTTTTATTTTGACCTCCAAAATTTAAAAGTCTAGCTCCGCCCTCCATTACCAACCGTTAGCTATCAACATTAATCACAAGTTACTATCTTTTAATAACAATTGAAACAAACTGCTGATTGTAAAATATAATATAGCAATATTATGATTATGGGATTAGATATTAATTAATAATTTGTATAATATTGAAAACCTTATGCATATCTTCCACAAACAAAAATATTTTTTATTGGATTCTAAAGCATAATATTTTGTTTTTATAAAATCTATTTACTTTTTTTTTTTAAGAATAAAATCTATTTACTTGATTTAATGTCACATTGCCCTCAAAATTTAATATACGAAATCTCATTGCGTGATATTTGAAATACAATAAATAAACTGGTACAAGACTTGGTTGTGGAGAGTGGTAATCACGTACAAATCAAATGCGTGGGAGGAGACTTTGTTGCCGTCAAAGTCATAGAAAAAGATTATGTGACCTGTAATGATATGAAAAATTCTGTGCTACCAGGCAGTGGACCCGAGCGCAACTATCGACATGTCATTTTCATGTATTCATGGCACGGAATTTCCATGGTACATTTGGTGATAAAAACTTTGTCAAGAATTCTTGAATACAGAAACTGTTAATTGTGGAATATGGATGAAGTGTAAGTGAAGGGTGCGTCTCAACAGAGGCTTAATTAATTAATCATTTTAGTTAATTATGTAATTAAGGAAAAGTACAGTTGTATTATTAATGGCCCACATAAGCCAGCCAGTTTTGACCATTTTTTTCGCAAGTAAACCTCATTCAGGCCTTCGTTGGCCCAAAATATTACAATATTGGGTTGGGCCTGTAAGTTTATTAGTCGGACTCGGGCCCATATATTTAAGAGTTTGATATAAATGAATTTCACAAAAACAGGGTATGTGTTTTTGAAAAGGTGGAAAAATTTTCTAAAAATATTATCTATATAAATGGACATAAATTTTATTTATAAATTTTTATTACCTGAAAATACATACATATTAAAATATAAAATGTTAAAAATGAAATTATTTTCATTTCGCTTTCAACAGAATACTAATCTTAAATTTATTTCCATATCTACCTATTCATATAAGATGATGAAATATTATTTATTGAAAGAAATATTTATTAGTAAAAGATTCTTAATGATAAATATGTATGGACTTAATAAATTATTTAATTATTTATTTTTGTTTGTGGACACCATTTTTATTACATAAAACAATGACAAGCTACCACTACTGAAGTTGGTATATTATGTCATCCACATTTGGTGACATGTCTGTTTCTAATCCAACTATATATCAAAGCAAATTGGTGTGAAAAGAATATGGCCAACAACATAGATTCCAACATTTTGAGGTTCTTAGGGCAAATTTCTTTCTTTTGGTCAATCAAAGATTTCTCAATTGTAATTAACATCCAATATCCATTAAGGAACATTTAAGTTTTCAAGAACCTCAGAGTAAAATTATATTCCCACTTCAAGAAAAGTAATGTTTATCTATTTCTTATACCTAAATGAGGCATGAAGGCTACTAACAATCACAAGTTTGGTTGGATTATCATCTGCTCCAGTTTTAAAGATTCTCTTTAGTAAACAAAAAGGTACTGATTCGAGTGATAGTTAAGTGATTTTAATTCCGTAAGGATGAAAATGCAAATTTGATCTTCGAAAAGTGCATTTTGCAGGGACTGCAAAAAATCTTACGCTCTATAGTTTCCTTGATAAAAAAAAAGGTTCTCTTAAAAAATTTCGATGAATGAGAAAAAAAAACTTTCATTTATAATCTATTCCCAAAATTACCCTCTTAAAAAACTTTATATAACCATCATTTATTCTCCAATATATATTAACTTTACAAGAAAGAAAAGAATAAATTTCACAAAAGCAACTTTAATTATAATATTTTATACAAAAGATATATAAATGCCCTGGATCTAATATACATAGCTAGCTAGCTAGCCAGAATTTACAATATCTAATATGGGTGAATCAGAAACATTTGCAGCTTTGGGATTATATGAAAATGGTGAAAGAGTTTCAAGAATTCCTCGAGTTTTGCAGCTATTTGCATGTGTTCTTGAAAGGTCTATTCAAAAGAATGAAAGCTTATTTGATGAATCAAGAAAGAAGGATACAGTTACAGTCTTTCATGGATCAAGATCACCATCCTTAAGCATTAGACAGTACATTGAACGTGTATTTAAGTATTCCAGGTGCAGTACTTCATGCTTTGTCGTTTCATATATATACATAGAAAGATTTCTTCATCGAATGGATGTAAGTCTTACTTCCCTTAATGTACATCGCCTTCTGATCACAAGTATAATGGTTGCTGCAAAATTTCTGGATGATGAGTAAGTACTTTCTTTAATCCTTAAACCAAGAATGCTTGATTAAATTAATTCTAGATTTAAAAGGATAAATATTTTGCAGGTGTTACAATAATGCCTACTATGCAAAAGTGGGAGGAGTGAGCACAGCAGAAATGAATAGAATGGAAATGAAATTGTTGTTCAATTTGGATTTTAGACTTCAAGTAACAGTTGAAGGGTTCAAGAATTACTGTCTGAAACTGGAAAGGGAAGGTGGTGGAGAGTTCCTGCAGATTCACCCAACTATCTATGCCTGTAATCCAAAAGGAGATTGGCAAAGTACAACCCATCGCACCCAAAATACAACAAATGGTTTCTCTGGTTATAGGCGCAGGGCCATGTAATTAAAAGAAACAGAAAGAGAGAAGCATAATCAAACTAAACATTTTTCTTCCCATCTATCTATACTCTTTTTTTTTTTTTTTTTTTTTTTTTTTTTTTTTTTTTAGAAGAGCAAGGGCATAATCAAACAAAACCATTTCTTCTTTCCGCATCTATCTCATACTGTCTTTTTTTTTTTTTTTTTTTTTTTTTTTTTTTTTTTTTTTGTTTGTTGCAAAATACGAATACAACATCTTTGTATGTTAATAGGTAAAGAAAATTGGATTTTTTTTTTTTTTTTTTTTTTTTTTTTTTTTTTTTGTTGTTGCAAATAGATACACATCTTTGTATGTTAATAGGTAAAAGAAATTGACTGTTTCTTTAAGCTAATTGTATGAAAAAGCACATTTTAGATGTATGAAAAAGCAATGCGGACCGTGCCTCCATCTTTTAAACATGTTTACTTAATAATTGGAACAATTTTATGAATCCCCATAGCAATTGGCTTTTTTTTTAAAAAATAATAATAATAAAAAAAAAAACTAAAATCTAGATCTTTATCGACTTAAAAGAATGTTTATGTTCAGACTTGTGAACAATTAACTGAACTCATCAAAGAAAACGCTATCTCGTATCAGTAGCCAGATTTTGTGAAACCCTGGTTGGCTGTTATCTCCTCTGACATCAACAAATGGTTCCATTAATCAAAAATTAAAATTGAAACGATTTTGAATCTTATTAAATTTTACTAATTTCAATTCAGTTTTTATAATAATAAAAAAAAATATAAAATAAAATAACCAAAAACAAAGTAAATTACATATATGTACATAAATACATACATGTTTCGAAATTTAAATCAATTCACTTCAACTTTTTTTATTATTTATAAAATTTCAATCCAATTCGATTCAATTTTTGGCACAACTTCAAATGCTCACGCTCCACATATAAATAAGAACTACACGAGGCCAACAAAAGAAGATACAAATGAAGCGACTCGCCAGTCGCCAGAATACAAAGTGGTAATATCGAAATGCGTAAAAAGGGAAGTCCATAGCAAAATTTTTTATTATTGCACAAGCCCTGCACAATAACTAATTTAATGATACATACGCCATCAATACAATTCAACTGCTGCAAGTAACTCTCCCATTCAAACTGTTAAGATCCTGATGCCGAAAAAGTTGCAAGTAAGAAACTAATAATTAAAGGGCATCAGGATAAAATGCAAATTCTCTACAAGCACCAAACCTCAAATTGACACAACCCAAATCCGATTCAATGAGGTCATACACAACTTCCATCTTTTCTTTATGGGTAAATCTTCACATCCTTCAGCCAGATGAACTTTTCCTTGCCGCATACACTCGGTAAGCTGCCAACCCAACAATGGCCACTGCAGCTCCAACTACAGCAGTGAAACACAAACCATTAATTCAATAATAGATAATTAAGTACATAAGCAAGAGTGAAATAAAACCCTAATCATTAAAAGTGACTATTGCAATCTAGTAGAAACATCCACCAGCACAATAATGTTGCTTTCAACAGAATGACTTAATAATTCCTGGTTAGTTCTATTCTAATAATTTGCAAAAAATCTACTGGTAAAATGTGAAAGTATCAAACTTAAGTCATTACACCTATAGCTGCGATGGTCAAACCATTTACCATTGTAAGAACATAGCAACTAGCTTCAACCTGAGTCACCTGACTACTCCCCAGAATGTAATGAATTTTTTCATCAGTTGAATAACAAACAAGTAAAAAAGAAGACAATATCATCAAGACTCACTGAATGGCTACAATTATAGTTCTGAACTTATCTAAAATAAGCAACAGGAGAATAGAAACACAAAGACATTCTGATAGAGTAGCAAGTCCTCTAAAACCCAGTAAATTCCAAAGTTCAAGAGGTCAATTGCTTTAGGAACTTTGCAGTTGATAGTGCTATGAGCCTAGAAGATAAACATACCTGAAACAAACATAAGGGAGCGATTGATGAGTCGATGATATTGCTTACGACTTCTCCCTGCTTCTGTTTCAGGAATGCTCAAATGAGGGTGTTCTGCAGCATTAACAATCCTACGGAAGATGCTATTGGTATCGCCCATCTTAGAACTGATGGGAATAGGTGCCTCTATCCCCATATCCTGAGTAACCTACAAAAGCAATATGTTGCAATGGAGATGGTTATTACGTCTTCTTCAGCACACCTCACAAAGCTGTAAGATAATTAATAAATAAGTGTCCTTAACAACATGGTTGCATAAACAACAATGCCTTAGCAGACATAGAGTGCTATTAGTGTAGCATCCAAGATCAAACAATTAAACAACAAAATCATTCACTTCATATATGTGACGAAAAAAATACAGTCAAGAAGTTAATAAAGAGTTTGGACCCATTTCTATGAAAGAATAGAGCCAATAAGGAGAGTAAATACCCTAGTAGATTCTTGGATTGCCATTGGAAATGAATTTAAATCATCTTTAGCTGCAACAATTAGGCAAGGCACCTCAAAGCCAGTATCCTCACCATGACTAGCAACTTCCACAAGCAATTCAGTTGCTCTCCTCCATGAGGACTCGTCGGAGCTGCAACAGTAGACAATCCTTAAATAGGTTGAACTGCTGAGGTAGCAGAAGCAACAAGATTGGTATTAACAGTATAGCTTCTAAAGATGTGGTGACAGCAGACTAAATATCCAGCCACAGACATCTCTCAGTATCTTCACATTAGCATATGCAGGGTACCCACAGGCTTACTCAAGGGAAAGCTGTTTGATTATTGCTGCCTCGCAGCAAACTCAGGATGCTTCACCTTGAGGTTATCTCAGAGTACACCTCAAGAGTGTATTAATCATACAAAGCATAAAGTGTTGACATCTTATGAGAAAGTGAATGAATACCAATACATATGACTAAATTCAACAGGTGCTTACTCCCTACCTGTCATGAACGAAAACTGCTATGTCACATGGTGCCAAAGACTCCTTATCAGACAGCAACTTCTTAACTCCATCCTCAGGAATCTCTCTCAAAATAAGGGTTTTCTTCACTCCCTGTAAGCATAACAAGTTTACAGCTTCAGCTGGAGAGCAGAGTGGGGCATACATTTATATATAAGCACATGCATTTGAATTTCAAAAACCACAAGAGAACATAGAGGCCATGAGGAGGAGGAAAAGGGGGAAGGCAGGAGCAAGAAGGGAGCTAAGATCTGCGCATTCTACAAAAGAATCATGTGCATCAAAGGGTTAATTAAAAAATCAACAGAAACTAAAGGACAGCAATGCTGATTCGAAACAAAAAAGGAAGGTAAAAGGTAAACAGCAGTCTATTTCAAAGTTTTATGAAAAAAAAAAAAAAAGATTTGATGAAAAGTCAGTGATTACAAGCTCCTGCTCAATTTAAAATTAGAGTATACTTGCATTGGAGCCCATCATGATGGATAGCGACTTTATCTAAAATTATTTTTTTAGGAAAACAAGAAAAGGAGACTGGAAATGTGACTGTTTTTAGGTGTCCAAGGGTGCCAAACATCAAACCGGAATCAGAATAACTTTGTAGCCTGAGCAAGATACTAATCTTTATTGTTAGACACCAGGGCGGCCAAAAAATGAAGAGCGCAATAAAAACTTGAAATTGGATGTCACAACAGCAAAAAACTTGTATATTCACAATTTCTTATTCTATCATTTCTAGTACTTCCACACAGATTAAATTGGAGAACCATAACAATAGAAGATGATTTGATGACCATACAATCCAACCACAAAAATGTAGTTTAAGGAACCCTCCCCCCAGAACTCCCCAAATATAAGGATAGGCCACAGTTATATATGGCCATTAGAACTCATGATGCACAGTATGGATTAGCACTTACGCCAGGTAGATCAACAATATTCACTGCATAATTCTCCTCAATAGTTGAAGATGACACTTCAGAAAATGGCCTGCATAATTTGACGAATGAAAACCCATTATCAAAAAGAAAATGAGCTCAATGACGTAATTTTTAAGGGTTTTAAGATATGGATTCAGAAAATAAACCTTCCAACAAAAGAATTCAATAGTGCAGACTTCCCAGCATTCTTAGGTCCAAATACAAAACACTGGAAAACATTTCTTTCTGATTGTTGTTTCTTGCGATCTAGACGCCTTTTTCTTGTTACTCGAACAGCATAAGAAGGATCATTAGGGTATGCAAGGTAGATCAGATTCTCCACAGCACGAGATGGATCTAAAAGTGCCATAAGGGCCCACTGGAACACAATTTTTTAAATTATTACGCACAGGCATTGCATGAAATGGAAGTATTATAACTGTTCAAATGCTGCTATTTTCACAAAATCTTCAAAGCTAACCACCACCACCACCACCTCCTCCAAGGGCAGAAAAACCATTAATTAAGGATGGATGTTCTAACATATATTTTTAAACAGGAAGAAAACTGGTTAAAGGACCTATGGAACTTCAGTATACTGCCTGGGCAAGGGAAACAAATATAGACGTGGCAAAGTGTTTGAAACTTTGAATCATAACAAGTGAGTAGATTAGCATAAGAAAGCATCATAAGAAGAGAGAGAAAGAGAGAGATTGTATATTATATTAGTACCTCTGACAAAAATGCATTAAGTGATAGCCCACCCAAAGCAGTTTTCTCTACAGCATCCCTATATGGTGGTTCATCCCAAGGGCTGAAGTTGAAGAGACAAGTGTCAAATATAACATAAAGACTAGTCATATTGAAATGATAAAATAAATGTATATATTCTGATCAGGACAGGAATAGGCACTTGGAAAGCAAAATCATTGGTTAAAGCCAGCTTATCAAATAACCATAAAAAATATCAATCATCATGTTTATCAGAAATAACATGGATAAACACTTTCAGAAAACAACTCAAGCTCTTCATCATATTCAAAGAAGGACATCTCAAACAAACTGATGCAAAAGCAACAAAAGACTAAAATTATTAGAATTTACTATAGCTGAGAGGGATGTACTTTTCAACTTAGTTTAGACAATTAAAATGATATTAATATATTAATGGTACTCAGTACAAGCTAGAGTACCTTTCTGGTGCAGTAGAAAAAATATCCTCAAGTTCTACAGGTCGCAGGTTATTATCCTGTCAGAACAATATAATAAAGTTTAGAGAATTCAGAATTTTCTGATTATTGGAACTCTGCACACTAATCTAACAGAGGAGAACAAAAAAAATCAAATTTAATACTACAGTTTAAGTGCTACTGCTCATCAAAGAATAGATAGAAACGTACACCATCACTGTCAAACAATTCGTAGATTCCCCTCAAGAACTCAATAGTTTCATTTGTGAGCTCCACACTCTACAAAAAAGGCCAAAAAATTAAGCAATTTAAACATAGCACATAGTAGAACTGTTAATATTGCAAAATAAGAGCAAAGATCAGGTTCAAAGTCTTGACACAAGCAGGTAGAATTCAACCCTAAAGATGAGAAAACATATAACAGAAAATCCAGGCATATTAATGATTAGAATAGTAATTTAAGGGACATCGTATCTCAACTTGCAGCCAGGCACGAAAGTATGCCAATCAGCCCGGCCCAAACCAAATCAAGAATTGAAGGCACAATATATCTTGCCAATATGGCCAAAAGTTGTTGATTGTAAACCAAGTTTTAAAATAAAACATGGTTATTGATTCAAGCAAGAAATTGCACGACCCAATAGATTGGTAATCCGAACTGCTTAAGTTTGTCAAATTAAGGTATTATGCCTATGAATTCATTTTCTAGTCAGTTCAAGAATTGGAACAATCTGATACGGGAAAGTGCAAGGAATATCAAAGTCAAAAGGAAGACCACTAGAGTGTGTTATTGGAATGTCAATTATGGGGCTCAATACAGTCATTGTTATAACACAGTTTACCTTAGTGAGATTATACCTGATCGGGAGCTCGTTTGAATGTTGGAATTAATTCATCCGCGAGTTTGATATCATTATTGTACCCAAATTTCCTCAAAACAGTCCATGTTGTCTCAAGGCGTCCTTTTTCTATGAACAATGCATGGAGAAACAGGAATCCTGTCAAGGTAAGACCACGTTCATTGACTCCTCTATCAGTGGCTCCTCCACCAGGTAATTTCTCTTCCACAACCCTCTTCACACCCACAATTTCAGAAGGTTGCAATGGAGCATTGAAACATTTGACCTGATGAAAAATGTAAAATTAGATACTTGACAAACCTAAACACAAATTACTTTCAGAAATATCCAACCATAACCAGTTGCCATGTGCCTAGACCCAAGACTTTGTTTTCACTACTTGCCATGCAATGAGGAATGTCCCTAGTCCATAAGACCAGACACTGAAGATTGCTTTAGGTTGATTTAACAAAACCAGCTCCATGCCCTTAAGGAAAGGAATGGAACAGACTTTTCGGATTTTGATGCAAAGTACAAGGGAAGGGGGGCTTTTTGAGGAAAGAGCATTGACACTCTCATTTTTGGGTGGATCTTCTTCTCTCTTTTTATTTTCCCTGCTTTTACTCTGAGAAGGATGACCATTATTCCATTTGTGGTCGTATGGTCACAAAAATAGCAGGCAGAAACTCTAATTTGCAAGAAAATTCAAATCGCTCAAGTTCTCTACTTGCTGCTGCACTACTATGTTCACTACACCTCCTCTCAGCCTTAAGGGTCATTAGAGTCTGTTTCTCATATTTAGAACTGAAACAAGACACTCTAGGGTGCAAGCCGCTTCTGAGCTGAAATGCCCATGCACCCTATACCTTTGTGGGACTAACAAAGGCTATCCACAGAATGAAATTCGTATCAACCCCCCAACCATACAAAAAATGGAAAGGGGTAGAAAAGAAACACAAGAAGACGAAGGGTTGAGGAACAGAAATATGCACCTGAAAATCATTTAATTCTGCATCACTAAGGGCACCATCCCTGTCAAGGTCACAAAGAATAAAAATACGCTTCAAGGCTCTCACACATCTGGGCTTCAAGGTTTGTGATTCCTGATCAAAGAGTGGCCCGGTTGGGTGAAGAACTGCCTTTTGTGCATAATAGAAGACCTCAGGTATCTGAAAAGAGGGAAATGAAAATCTCACAATTAGATGTTAATTACAAAAACCCGTAGCTGCCTCAAGAGCCCCAAAAAAGTGCTATCTGTTCACTAATTGTGAGCTCTGGGCAATTAAAATCATGCCAGAACCTTGTCATCATAGGTTAAAAACAGAATCCATTGCATAAAAGTAGACAAGCAGGCATCAAAGAGGAGCAAACTCAGGAGAGACGGTAAACCAAGAAGCACTATTGAATTGAAGAGGGGCTGTTCAAATATTATTATAATTAAGTTACTCAAAGATTCAAGCATCAATATCTACAGAGCAATTCCATGTAAATAATTGCAACAAAGGGAATAAAAAATACCTGGATATGTTTATGCGCTGAACACTCTATGCAAGTCTCAATTTCCCGAAATTGTTGCATTATTGGTGACATCACTTGCTCCAAGCTCACCTGGTAGTTCTCATCCCTTAGATCCAGCTTGCAACCCACCACTATGACCGGCACCTTCACCTGCTCATTGTTCACGTGTACCAATAAGAAATATGTAGAAGCATGTACTCCCTGTCGGTTTTTTTGTGCATTTATGCATACTGAGATTCCATCTGTTCTTACAGAACCAATAAGGTTCCTAGAAACACTTTCAGGATTCCATTTGCCACAAATTAGTTTTTTGTTATTAGTGAATAATTATTAGAGGGAAGTTTAAAACGATGCATCATTTTACATCATATGCATGACTTTCCTCCACCAATTATTCATAGATTCCCAATGAATAAATTCTTAATGGAAACAATTGTAGAATGGATGAAAAAAGTATAGAAACCTCTAATCGACGAAGCTGTGGCAGCCAGAAGTTACTCAATCGATCAAGAGTCTCTGGCTTGTCACATGCATAAGTAAGAACAACTGCATCAGCTCGCTTCAGTTCTTCAGCTACTTTAGCAGAATCCTCCGCTCTAAATCACATTTGAAAAATTACTGAGAAGTTTCATTACTCGAGAGTATTCTCCATTCAAAAAAATACAAACTCGGAATAAAAACAGCGCTGTCCAAATTGATACTTTTCCTTCTCCGTTCTTTGTTACTGTCTTTAGCGTGTATATAAAGGAGAAGAGAATGATAAATACCTAGAGGAAGTATCGATAATAGTAACAGGGATACGGTCAGGATAGAAATCCTCAGGCAGCCTCGTGGGCGGCAAAACCGGCGGAACATTCGACGGAAAAGTTTCAGCAGCGGCGGTGACAATCAAGCTGGACTTTCCGGTGCCACGGTCTCCCGCTACCACGATACGGACTCCAGTCTTACCGCCATGGTTAGCACTTCCAGTTGCAGCTTTCGCCATAAATTTTCGATTAGTAAATCACTGTAAAACGAAATCAGCGACGATCAGAATCTATATACATACTATAAACGCGCATGACGTAGAAGAGAGTGGCAAAAAGCGTAAAAAACCTGGAGAAGCCGGGTCAAAATTGGGATTGAGGGACAAAATGAAAGTTAACAAACTTGAATAACCATGAACACCCTTAGCGGGATTAAGAGGTTGACATATATGAGAATTAGGGATTTAAGCAGTGGCCAAAAAACGTCACAGCTACACCCTTTTTTCGGGTGGAACTTTCTAGATTTCGGCCATTGGTGCAATGAGAAAAAAATAAATAAATTAATAAATAAAGCTGATAGTGAGTGTGGATATTTTGTACCTTACAGCTGATAAGGAAACAGAGAGGCCACCAGAAACCCTAGTTTTTGGGTTTGTGGTGGAGGGTGGCTATGGAGGCTTGAACAAGAAGTATGTAACAAGCTATGAAGGTTCAAGAGAAAGTGAAAAAACACGTACACTGAGGGATTTTCTTTTCTTTTTTTTTTAATTAAAATTTCTAATTTCTTATGTGGATTTTATATAATGTATAGGCTCCTTTATTACCCGCAATGGCGCAGATGACCTGGGAACTGTGATTTTGTTTCACGATCAACTGTAAAAAAAAAAAAAAATTACTCTCACTGAAAAGAAAAGGTGAGAGACGTAAGGCAAAATTTCTATAGAAATTTGCTTTTCTACGGTTCAATATTTCAATCGGAAATTACTTTCCTAAACCACGAAAAAGTAAAAAAATAAAAAATTTAAAAAATTGGAAAATAAAATTATTGAATATAATATGATATTTCTTTTTCTTCAAAATTCAAATATTTGAAAAAATAAGATAAATGACAGCACATAGCAGCAATACACACAGACTTTGGTGTATGATTTATCTTTCTCTGAAAATCAACCAAACATGAAACAACTTATAGAAGCTTGTTTCGTTTTGGAGGAAACTTCTTGGTTTGATGTGAAATGAAATCACTTTTGGATGTTGGCAGCCTGTAAAATGCAAGTTTCTCGAGCTGTTCTCTGTTGAAAATGAGATGGAAAAGGGCAAAAAAAAAAAAAAAAAAAAAAGTTTTGATGTGAATATGAAATCAACTTTTTGATGTTTGGCAGCCTGTAAAATTGCAAGTTCCTTCGAGCTTGTTCTCTGTTGAAAATAGATGGAAAAGGGCAAAAAAAAAAAAAAAAAAAAAAAAAGGAAATGGGACTCAATAATAATGTCTACGAAATGAAATAAGGTTGCATTAAAGAACACTTTTTAACTTCCGTAGATTTTTTTTTTTTTTTTTTTATGGTTTTCAAGTTTTAAGTGTAAAAACATTAGTCTTGTTTTCAAGCTGCTTATTTGTTTAATTGTTTAGGTCATATATATATTTTAAGAAATTGAAAATGAAGTTAATGTACTGTGTAGTGGTTTTGGATATTTTGGTTAATAAAAAGTTTTTTTTTTTTAAATATTGATCGAAAAGGAAATCAAATTTGAGAATTTGCAAGAGTCATTTAAATATTAAAATATCAAATTTAAAATTTTTTTCCAAACCCATGGGAAAACTTAAAACATTATTGTTCATCAACACATGAATATTAATGAACTTTGATCAATTAATGCATTGGTAGTCATAATTTATTAGTAAATGTTATAAGATGTTAGTATAAATTTAATTCGAATTTCTCTTAAAAAATAAGAGAAAAAGAAACATTTGTTAATAAAAAATGACAATCACTTTTTTAAGTCCTCATATCAATCACTTTTTTAAGTCCTCATTATATATATAATTATATATATATATATATATATACTATAATTATAGGAAAATCCTTCTATATTTAATCATATTAATTTTAAAAAAAAAAATTGAAAAAAAAAAATTTGAATTTTATGCCCTATGTATTTTTTTTAAGGAAAATTATAGGCTGTATTTAAAACATAAAATATGATATTATAGTCAGATATTTAAATTATAAAGAAATAGTTATATGTTGCCTTTAAATAATAAAAACAAATATTATTCCCAATACGTTAATAAATAACAGTTTTATTCCATATATAGGAAATCCTTCTATATTTTTAATCATATATTAAAAAAAATGAAATTATAGCTGTATTTTTTTTAAGAAAATTATAGCTGTATTTAAAACATAAATATATATTATATCAGATATTTAAATTACTAAGAATTAGTTTATATTTGCCTTTAAATAATAAAAACAAATATTATTTCCCAATATTATAAATCACAGTTTATTTCCCTAATTTGCAATAGCCGCCGTGAGCGACTGAGTTGTCCGTCGCATTATTTGCGATTTGACAGCTTGGCGTAAAACTATTGGCTATAGCTAACAAAAAAATTGGTTCTATATGATCCGTTAGATCCCTCCGTCAATTGGCCGTTAGTCTAATGGACGGAGAAAGACCAGACCAGCATAGCATCACGTTTTTTCAACTCCCGAGAAACGCCAAATATATTTTCTCCATTTCCACTTTCCATCATTGTCCCATACCTTCTGTTCCGTTTCCAATTTTTTTTCAGCCACCATATAAAAACAACCCATATTCAATATCGAAATGATCTCGATCAATAAATCTTAATTTTATTAAGGCATAAACTCATTTATCATACATACAGTCGGAGATATGGGTGTCGATCTTGAATCTATATCAGAAGCAACCTCAGGTGCCATTGGCTCCTTATTGAGTACAACGATCTTGTACCCTCTTGATACCTGTAAGACCAAGTACCAAGCTGAGGTTCGTGTCCATGGCCAGCGGAAATACAGGTTAGCCCATCTCTTATTTTGATCTGGTTATGCGTCACTCTGTCGTGTGATTATGATCCGCTCAGAAAATCAATCGGGTAGAAGTCAATTCTATGAGTTTTATGTTTTTGGTTTGTTATATGGCATTTGAATTGAATCTGTTTCACATATTTATATCTGCATGTTTTTGAACTGAATCTGTTTCTATTTGTGTTGAGGTTTATGCTCAGAAAATTAATTTTCCGAAAATTTCATTACTCGAACTCTTGAAGTATGAATAGCGTTCTGTTTGTTTGGTGTGAGCGATACCCTTTTCATTTGTACTCGTGGGCTAAATATATAATGATTTAAGATTGCTTGGCAACTTTGGGCATTGTAATTAAATGCTAGAGCTACTTTTGAATGCTTCAGTGGTTATTGATAAGGAGGAGGAGTTTGACGGTTACATGCTTGATGAACTTGAACCTGTATGAATGTTTACCAACTTTCTGCTTCGTCTGTCAATAATGGATGTAGAGGTCGATAACATCTGTCATAAGATGATTGCCTTCTAATAAAACATTTTGGATTGAATCTAGTTTCGTACTAGCGTATGAAAGTCTTATACTCTCTCTTTGAGGGTGCCTGATGGATTGAAACTTTTTTTTTAAGAACCATACCCTATTTTCTTTCTGTTGTGTTCTTTCTGCGAAATGGGATGGAAAATGCTGTTTCTAAGTATTGATTTCTGTTATATGGCCTTTTATCCTACTCTATTGGATTATGCATTAATTCTGCAACCTTCTAAGAGGTTTCTAGCTTAAATTTAAGGATGATTCCAGTGCTTAAGAACATATTTTAAGTCAGTCAGCAGTTTGTTGCAAGACTTACAGTGTGTAATTTACTGATTTTGTTTTGTGGCTTTTGTGGCTCATGCAGGCACCTTTCTGATGTTTTATTTGAAGCTTTATCCAATGGACAATTTCTTTCACTATACCAAGGCTTAGGCACAAAAAATCTGCAGTCTTTCATTTCACAGTTTGTCTATTTCTATGGGTACAGCTACTTTAAAAGACTATATGTGGAAAAAAGTGGTTCTAAAAAAATTGGAACAAAAGCAAACTTGGTCATAGCTGCTGCTGCAGGGGCTTGCACTGCCATTGTGACTCAGGTGAGTCCGTAATCTTCTTCTTCTTTTTTCTTAACTAGACCGCAATCTAATTTTAATGTTTTAACTTCTGTCTTAAAGTTTTGTTTGTCAAATTTCACAAATGGATATTAGGATCCTGCGACACGCTAGCAAATCCCTTTTCATTTTTCCTTAGAGGATATGCATAGTTTCAGAATGTAATACCCTTATGTTAAGCAGAAATCATGTAATTGCAATTGACATTAATTTTACGTCCAAATAGTATCTTCATTTATATGGTTGTGAATCACAGTTTTGACATTGCTCCATTTGGTACTAGCAGCAAATACAAGAAATTCTGAAATGATGCAATTATTCTTGAATTTATTATCTATTCCCTTTTTTTTTGTTCACTGTCGGCTTTTTCTTTGTTTCCCAGTTCTCTTTTTCTTTTCCTTCCATTAATAGTGAATATTAAACTTTAACATCAGATCGTGTCTATATCACTGTGTAGCCCCTAGATACAGCCTCCTCAAGGATGCAGACAAGTGCCTTTGGCAAATCAAAAGGACTTTGGCAGACATTGACAGAGGGCACTTGGAGCGATGCATTTGATGGCCTTGGCATCTCTCTTTTGCTGACCTCAAATCCTGCAATTCAGGTGCTTTACTTGCTCTATAGTTCTAAACCATAAGAAGAATTGCTTTAAGATCTCCAATTTGAGGTTAATATTTGATTTAAGAGACGAGTCTGATGTCAGAGTTATTGTGTAATGCAGTATACTGTGTTTGATCAACTCAAACAAAGACTTCTCAAGGGACAGAAAAATGCAGCTGACAAGAGTTCCTCTGCGGAATCCCTTTCTGCCGTCTCAGCTTTTGTTTTGGGTGCAATTTCAAAGAGTATTGCCACCATCATTACATATCCTGCAATCAGGTCGGTGGCCATCATCTTAAACTGTTTTCTTCAAATTCTTTTTAAAGCCGGATTGAGATGTGTTGTCCTTGCAGGTGTAAGGTAATGATTCAAGCAGCAGATTCGGATGATGATGGAAGTAAGAAGATCAAACAAAAATCCAGCAAAACAGTGCCTGGAGTCATCTTAGCAATTTGGAGAGGAGAAGGACTTTTGGGCTTTTTCAAGGGATTGCAAGCTCAGATCTTGAAAACCGTACTGAGCTCGGCATTGCTGCTGATGATCAAAGAGAAAATTTCCAGAAGTACTTGGGTTCTCATACTCGCTGTCAGACGGTATCTACTGCTTAACAGGGGTAGACTAAAAAGTGCCTGATTGTAATACACCATTGACATACTTTAGTTCTTTGTAAATAGCTTGGCTTTACTTCATATCAAGAACATAGATGGATTTTATGAGAGCCAGGTTTAATTCCTAAAATAGGAAGGTCAAATGGGAAAGAATAAATAGCCCAAGTTGAATGATAAGTTGGCAACTGTTACTGAATCAGGGCTACATATTTTATACTGGGGTAAGGCAGTATGCAAGTAATAACCTAATGTGGGAATTCTTACTCTGGAAAGAGACAGATTGACATTTGTATCATTTATGATTTAATGTTTCATGAAATTCAGTTTTTTCCTTATTGTATATTGCTTTTAAATTGTGGAGGCAAATTGAACCTTATTCCAATTTTATTTGATTATTTGAAAATTTGTTATGAGAGCGAATGTGTTATAACAGTGAGAAAAACGCAGCTTTGTAAGGAACGGTCGACTACTGCGTGTTTTGTTAGAGAGAACTCGCACAATTTCAAACACCGTCGGTGTTACCGTTTAATTTCAGGTTTTATACATAATATGGGTAAAAATGGTAATCCGCTCTTTAATAGAAAACGGTCGTTCGGAGGCACAGTGTTTTGTTAACGATATCAAAACCGATAGTCGTTTATTAGCGATGGTTTCCCCACTGTGTGAACGAGCAGTCGTTGGATGACCACGCATTCTCTTTTAAAAACAGGAAAATTAAACTCCAGCGTGTCGGGCCATATAAGCAAGCCAGTCAGATTGGGCATCGTAACCATATTTTAATTCTCCGAATCGGCCCAATGCGAACTTCAGGGGCACTAATACGCATTTCCTTTCTTATTACTTGATGCAGATTTGTAGTTTTGCATGTAATGTAAGAAAAATAACAAAAAATAAAATAAAATAAAATAGAAAAATCAATAAACCCAACGCCCACGCTTGTAGAGAGCGAGCAGAGATAGAGATCTGCTAGCGGCGAAAGAGCAGAAAAGAAGAGAAACAGAGAAAGAAGGAAAGAGAAATCTTGTAAAGATGATGTCAGGCAATTATACTAGTATTGATAATCAAACGGTCTCGGGTTCGGTGCCTGTAAGTCTTTTTTCTCTATATGATTTTACGTATAAATGTGAATTGTATTGAGATCTGATTGGTTTCTTTGGTTTTATCTCGCAGGCTGTTGCAGATCCAGGCCACATAAGCGTGCAATTCGCAGGTAGAATCTATTTTTCATTAATATCAAATTTTTTCCCCTTCAATTGTGGTGCTGAACTTGTTCCTTGCTGTTTGGTAGCTGAAAAAATGCGGGAAATATGAAAGAAAATTTCGGATTATATCGCATTAATGAATTGAATAATATCTGTAGTTTCCAATGAGTTTTTTAGCATTTCTTTTTGTTAATCGAACCTGCATCATGAACTATTGGATGTTGGAAAGGCTAACGCTAATGAGTGCCATTTGTTTTCATTTTTCAGTTTTGTTAATCTTCGTGTTTATGATATGATTGCTTGGATATGCGGTTGCAGATTCGAATCTTCAAACATTTCCTCCATCAAGTGCACATGGGAAAATCTCTGGCGGATCTCACCCTCCTCGTGATGCCGATGGTATAATTTATGGAATTCCAGTTATAATTCGAGTTGATTTTAATTTTGGTTTAGCTAACAATAGGGAACCGATAATAAGTTTAGTAAGTCCTTAAATACAGAGGGATGGATATTTATATCATGTGGAGATCAAGGGTGACCTGAGTCGAAGAAGTGGTTTGGAGATTGTATGACTGCATCTTCAATCCCTCGCCAACTTGACTCTCCCTCCACCCCCATCCCCAAAGTTTTGGTATCTTAAGACAATTAAACAGTAGGTGAAATGATATTAAGAGAATGTATTAGCAGGATGGATTTGTAATATACAATTAAGTGAAGTGATTGTAGGGAGGACAATGAGGACAATGACGACACTTGTCTTCCTGATGTTGGTTGAAATTAATCTTCAAGTTAGTGTAGCAACGATTCTTTTGCTAGGTTTGATAATCAAAATATGTTTCTTAATTGGTGGTAATACAGTCTAAAATTCATAATACGATTTTCACTACTTTCTAGGAAGCCTTGGTGAGATATTGATGGCTACTTCTAGACCTTATCTTAGTGTTTAATGGGCAGATTTGGATTGTTGCAGATACATTTTCAAAACCTATTAATGATTCTGATGAACCTCAACAAAGTGGTTGGTTTAGCAAATTCACAGTTGCTGCATATAAGCCATACTTTGATGTAGACACTGTAGATGTTTTAGAGAGGATCAAAGATTCACTTTTCCCTTTCAACGGAACCTTCACTGAGAAAACTGCTGGCAACCCAGATTTGTGAGTTATCTCTGCCTAAGTCATTGTCTGTTTGATGGATTATTTTGTTAAGTTAAATATTTAGATTATCAGTAATCTTTTGTATTGTTATTTGTTTTTGAAAAATTGAATTTAATTTCTTATTAAATATAAGGATGGGAAAAATATATCACAATTCAACTCTCATATCTCTAGATGACTATTTAGTAATGAACATGAAGTAGAGGTGTCAGGAAATTGAAGACATATCAACATTGTTATTGTGTCATTTTGTGATCTGATAAGATATTGTCTTTGGCCTCCAATACATAAATACGATGATTAAAAAGTTGATGTGTAAAATTATTATCAAAAATGGTTTGGCGTGTCTGGATGTTAGGGTTTGCAAAGAAGTATTGCCAGATGTCCTCAAGAACTAAAGTGTGGTTTTGGACCCCATAGAACTTGGAAATGATATTTTGATGATATATAGTGTTTAATTTCTTGATGCTATATACTGTGTCCATAATGCTTCTATGCTTTTATGAGCAAGTTTTATAAATATATATATTTATGGCGATCTTTTGAGCTTCATGGTCAGTTTAAAATATTTGTTGTTTATATGTTTGTAGCAGATTAATAAGAGAAAACCTTCTGTTGGACTTTGGTTGAGGTAGTAAAAAGATGGGGCAACTGGAAAGGGGATGCAGTTCTAATAATGTAGTTATAGCAGATAAAGAGTAGAAACAATCTTCCCTTGTGCTTAGGTTCAGGTGTTTAAAGATATGGGGGAGGTTAGATGAGATCCATGGCTTGAATCTTCTCAACCATAAAAGTGGATAATTTTAGGTAGAAACATGCAAGTTTAAGATCATATTCTTTATCTCATATTTGTTTACCTGTAAACAAATGATGGATATAATTAGCATTCTTTCCTTCATGACAATGAAAGTTCTTTTAGAAGCATGGCCGCATAAGATATATACATATTTTTCTATGAAGTCATTATTTCTTTTATTTATGCATACATGGCACCTTATTGTGTAATTTTAATGGCCGCCTAGCACTGCAGTGGTACAGCTATGTAGTTGGTTGGTTTATGTTATGTGCTCTTATAACTAGATATTGTGTGGCAAGAAAGCATAAAATATTTAAAGATGATTAGCTTTATTTGGATTTTTCAAAGTAGATGGTGGGGAAAAGCATGCCAATGATTTGGCAGGATTATAGGTACATTATCACTTCAAGAGTATCTCTAAGTAAGACTTCTGTATTTCAGGACTTTCCTCCCTCAGAAGTGAGCTTATAATTGTTTAGGTGTTGTGAATTTGATTGTAATCATATCAGCCAACTTCTTCAGCTTTATCTTGTCTAACTGACATAATTAGTTTGATCTATGCCCTGAGATTGCAGTAAATTTTGAGTTTTGATTTTTGAGAAACTGGTTCTTTCCTCTGCTTCTCCAAAAAAATAAAAACTGTGGTATAAATTTATATTAAGCAACATGCTAAGCCACTAGTGAAAAACCTAGCAAACCCATTATATGTCAGGGAACTGTTGTACTTAATAGTCTCTTCCTCCTTTTATTTCCTGAAAACAATACGTTTGTTTTAATTTTTCATATCTGTGCAGGTACGGACCATTCTGGATATGCACCACCCTAATCTTTGTGGCAGCATCGATCGGCACTTTTGTCACTTATATAGCACACAAACTGAAGAATAAAGAATGGGAATATGACATAAATCTGGTGACTTGGTCTGCTGGTGTCTTCTATGGCTATGTAACCATCATTCCTCTTGGATTGTATGTCATCCTCAAGTACTTCTCAGCACCATCAGGCCTTGTCCAGCTGTTTTGTCTATATGGCTACTCTCTCTTTATCTTCATTCCCGCTCTGGTAAGTTTTTTGTTTGCAGTGAATTCTTGTAATTTCTTCTGCTTATATCATTTTGACGAAGCAAAATAGGAAATAAATAATTATCTGTAGCTTCAGGAATTCTCAAAAAGTAGTCATATCTTACAGATCAAGTGATGCTCAACAAAATGGTCTTTCCTAACCAAAAATTTGTTCATAGTAAAATATAACGGATGTGTTAAGTTGACAAGAATGTCATTGGGAATTTGGCATTTGCAAGGATTGGCTAATTGATGGAAAAGAAAAATCTTACAGCAGAACAGGATTACCCAATGATCCTGAAGAAAATTATGATATAGAATTGGTTTAGCATTAGAGTTGTGAAACTTTAGGGATATGTCATGCTTGTCTAAATATAAGCCGTATACTTTCTTGTGAAGCAAAGATGTGAGATTATCCTGCATTCAACAAGATTTCATCTACCAGTCAGCTGATATTTTTATCTATTTGGTTGCAGTGTCTCTCGATTATTCCTTTGGAAATTTTCAGATGGGTGATTGCAGGTGTGGCAGGGTTCATGTCAGCAACTTTCGTGGCACTTAATCTCAAAGCCCACATCAAGTCTGCAGGCGAAAGGTGGGTTTTGATTGTAGCTGCCATCTTTCTATTGCAGTTGGCTCTTTCTGTGGTTTTGAAGCTTTATTTGTTCACTGTAACAGTATAAGAATACACTATATGAACAGGCTGTAGAGCACAATGAAGGGTTTCTTTTTTTTTTTTTTTTTTTTTTTTTTCATATCTGCAGGCGAAAGGTGGTTTGATTGTAGCTGCCATCCTTCTCTTATTGCAGTTGGCTCTTTCTGTGGGTTTTGAAAGCTTTATTTGTCACTGTAACAGTATAAGAATAACACTATAGATGTAACAGGCTGTAATGAGCTAAACATGAAGTTTTTTTTTTTTTTTTTTTTTTTTTTTTTGGCCTTCTATTCTTACATAATTTCACCAATATATTGTTTCTAGAACCTTTAATTTGTGGCAGTATAGTTCATATGATTGTCATTTTTCAAATTGTAAACTAATCTTTCTATTTTGTTTCAATAAGTTTGTTATTCTTAGATTTAGCATTCCCTATTATTATTTTTAAAAAAAGATAATAATAAAACACCATCGTTAAGAAGTGAAGCAAAAGGAAGGATTGTTCTTTTTAAAATCGGAGAGAAATGGGAATATTTTTTTTACCTATATGCTGAACACTTTTTCCACAAAATAATTTTAGTCAAATATAAATTATGTCATGAAAATGTTTACGAAGTTATTGTAATTTTCCGTATCTTTGTAACATTTTACACGTAAGCAAGCTAGGCAGGTAACGACATTGACAATTCAATTACACGATGGACCACACGCAAGACGGCGAGATCGAGGAGATGCGAATCATGCGGTACCAACAGGGAGCCTCACCCTGCGCAATGGTGTTATCTTAATCATTGTATTTGATTTCAATTTTCAAGTGCTGATTTAAGAAAATATAAAAAGTTTAAAAATGTGAAAATCCTATACAACTCCGTAACCCCTCCAATTCAAAAAATATATATGCAAATTGATTAGTTTATTCCAATAAATAAATTAATAATATTAATTTTTCTCCAATTTTAATTATAGGGCAACTTTTATTCTAAAGTTTAAAAATATATAATCGTACTCAAAATCCAAAATATATTTTTGCTTATTAATTCAATAAGCACGTAGATGGTGAATAATATCAATGCGAGTCACTCGTTTTGATTGGTCAGTTGACATATTTGAATTCACATTATTATGATTATAAATTAATGACTAGCATTATAAAATTAAGGAAAAAAAAAAAAAGTGTGCAGTGCTGCCATAACATAGTCCAAAAAATTAATAAAAAAAAAGAAAAATTGTAACCTAACCCACCAAAAATACGAGAGCAAGATGGCTTTTAACAAACAAAATTATATAGTGCTAGTAATTTAGTATGTTCTTTCTTCTGTAAATGCAAACACCCTAGAATTTAAAAACTCAATCATCATTTTGTATATAATAGTTAATAAAGAGATCCTAGAAAACTGCATTGAAATGGACACTAGCATTTCAGACTTTCATTACAAGAGAGATTAAAAAATAAAGAAAGAAAGGAAAAAAAGGGCCTCAGGGAAGAGTTAAAGCTAATCAAAATCCAGGAATTGAGGTCCTTTGTAAACAATATTCAAGTTCTGTTAGGTTTGAAAATTGTTAATCTCAATTATTAACTGGTGATTTGATATTGATTGTCAACAAGATTGGAGACCGCTCGTCGGTGAGAGGATGACTATTTGCATAATCGTTCCCTTTAAATCCCACCTATCTGCATATGTGACATAAAGTCCAAAGTTTCAACCCGTACATGAGAAAAAAACTCTTCTTCGTCTTCTCCTCAAGGAGTAGCAAAAAGACAAGCCTTAAATTAACTATGTCAGTCTCAAAGGTTAAAGTGGGCTGTCTCCTCTTGCTGATATTAGTGAGTATATCAGCTTTTGACAATGGAGTTGTGGAAGGTAGCAGGTCTTTCAAACAAGATAAGATTAACCATCATCAGGTAGAAGAAGAAAAAGCTCCAGACACTACTAACAATGGTAATGATTCTGTTGCCACTGTCAATAGAGAGGTGCCATCTGGCTCTGACCCCTTACACAACAAGTAGCAGGGTATAAATATTCATATAAATTCAAGCAAACTATATATATATATATATATATATATACACACACACACATCTTTTCAGGATGTAGAAAGATATATAAACTTGTAGATTCTGCTGTTGTGAGATTAAAAGGTTAATGTAATGAGCTTAAATACAACTGGGATTTTGTTTTCCCTTCTATCTTTCGTGCAAATGTTTTTAATTTGTACTGTTGAAAATTGAAAATTTTAATATAGCGAGTCATGTATGTATATATTCTTGCAGAATATATATAGTTTGTTCATTTGTTGGAGCTGAGTGTATATATAAAAATGTCGTTTGGTTTGTTCATTTTGCTGCTCGTACCAAGAACTCTTTTCCCTTAACTACTATGAAACCATCTTCTTCTTTGTGAGAAAAAAGTCCGTCTCTTTCTCTCTTGTATTTGGGTTTCTGGACTTAGCATATCTACACTAGTCAGGTTTAAACTCAGTGAAATAGAAAAGAAGAAAAGGCTCACCTAAAAGGACTTCAATAAATAGGCTGTAAATGAAGGTGGACATGTTTCTTTGTTTCCTAAAAGGAGTATTAAATTAACTTTTTTTTTATTAATTAAACAGGAAACACACAATACAGGGTTAAAAATATGGTATGCACAGCTTTCTTTAGAATAAAATGAATAAATTTATGAAATTGGTTAAACAATTTTTTTGCAGATAGACAATGGTCAATTGCTTATTCCATCTTAAAGAAAATTTTTCAATAGTGTAAAAACAAATAATTTCAGGTTGAATGGTTGTTTTACAAATGAATTTATGAAATGCAAAATGCAGCAGAAGTAAGAATTGATGGGGGTAATGTAATGATGCAGATTCTTTAAGCGAAAGAAGGAATGATCAAATTAAATGAAATGTGAAGAAATGTTGACTCCAACGCAATAATTCAAGACACAGCTTTCTAATTTTTAATAATAAAAGAGAGATTTTTGAAAATAAAAAATAAAAATTATAGCAATCCATGTACTTTACAAATGATAAAAATGAAAAAAAAAAATTATTTATTAAAATCCACGAATGCAACACCTATTTATGGACATAGTACTTTCGGAGATGTGACATTTATTCATAGAAAGATCAATTACAAAGCCTCACTTGAAACTAATTGAAAAGAGAAAATGATAAAAGCAATAATCATTGATGGGAAAATTACAAAGGAGGACCCAAGGTAGCTTTAAGCCTACCCAAAAAAAAAAAAAAAAACCAGAAAATTTTTCAATATGTAAAAACAATAAATTTCAGGTTGAAATGGCTTTTTGTTTTTACAAATGAATTTTGAAAATGCAAAAATGCAAGCAGAAAGTAAGAATTGAATTGGGAGTAGTAACTGATGCAGAATTCCCACTTCTAGCGAAAGAAAAGGAATGCATCCAAAATTAAATGAAAAATGTGAAAAGAAATGTTGACCTCCAACGCAAATAATTCACCAGACTACAAGCTTTCCTTAAATTCTCTTAATAAAACTAAAAAGAGGATTTTTGGAAAAATCAAAAAATACAAATGAATTACATAGCAAGTCCATGTAAACTTTTACAAATGATGAAAAATGAAAAAAAAATTATTTATTTAAAATCCGCTATCACGAATGCAATAACACCTTGATTTATGGACATAGTACTTTTCGGAAGATGTGACATTTAATTCCAATAGAAAGGGATCAATTACACGAAGCCGCCTCACTACTGAACTAATTGAAGAAAGAGAAAAATGATAAAACGCAAATAAATCATTGATGGGAAAATTACAAACGGAAGGACCCAAGAGCGTAGAGCTTTAAGCCGTACCACACACAATAAAAGAAAAAATGTAATTAAGAATCACCTACGTCTTAACAGATATAAATTCAACAAATTTAAAATAAACTGACGGCGGCGAACAAAATGTGTACTTTTGCCTACTGCCAACCCAATCCGAACCATAACAAATTTTTGAAATCATGAAAACAACTCTCATTATTTCCCTTTTGCTAACTTACAACGAAGATTTTTCAATGAAACAAAAGAAAAGCGAGCATGAAAAAGCACCAATATTCATGTAAGGAATCCACACTTTCTTAAGTAAAAAAAAAAAAAAAAAACCTCTCTCTACAATAAAATTAAAACTGACGAACAATGTCTTTTGCTACTCCAAAATCGAAGAACATACAATTTGATCATGAGAAACTCTCATTATTCCTTGCTACTTACAAGACAAATTTTCAAAACAAAAGAATGGAGATGAAAAGCAACCATATTCATGTAAGAATCCTACTTCTAAGTATGTGGGCATCATTTAATTTGCCCATTTCACAACAACGCAACTCCATATTCAATTGCTCTCACGGCTTCAATATTAATGAATGGCAACGGTAAACTTAAAAAGACGACGACCTGGAATCTTCCCAAGCTCCAATGCAGGCACTCAGATCTTCAGTTTCAAATTGTAACTTCCCCCGAGTGCCATCCTTGCTGTGGTGCAGCTTGTTGTTTATGTCCACAAGACTAATTCCAACTGGTCTATGTCCGATGAGGCTTGTCACAAACGGTGTAATTTAATTAGATAGTGATCTCTGACAAAAGGCTGCTAAAAGACCTCCAAGATATCCCGACATTCTCATCAGCCAACATGTATGCATGGCAAATTTGGAGGGTCACTGCTAACTAAATTTGCCCATAAATTAGCAAGTGTAAGAAAGCAATACTCTCCATTCCAGATTACAGGCTTCATCCCTGGTTCAAGGAAACCAACATGTGGAATATATTAATTTGTTCAACCTAGATAATAAGATCTACGCATGCATGCCAAAAGGGCCAAGAAAAGCAATAAGTAGTACAAGTTGAAACAAATTACTTGATATAAATATATAGGTTTCATTTCCATCACGCTGATAAAAAGTTGAGCAAAATTCACAAACAATCCATAATCAATTTTTAGAAAGCCTTCTTTTCTGTGGCCTCGCCTAATCTTATGTCTAAAGAATAAGTATAAGCTTACCAGGCACTGTGTCAGCAGTTAATGCTGACAGTTGGCAGATAGGGCCTTGTCCAGAGAAAACATGGTTATAAAGCGTGTCCACATCAAGTTCGTGAATGTACTTGATAGATTCCGGCAATGTCTTGAGACTTCCATCATATTCAAAATCAGCTGAACTCAAAATACTTTGCAGAGCTTCTTCAAGTCCTGAATTTAACCATAGGGAAGAACACTCGCTTAGAAGGGTATATATGAACATGGGATTAGTTGAACTTGCTAATATCCATGGTTTATAAAGTCTGGCTGAGGATCCAAGAACTTCAACAATTCTGTAAATTTCACCAAGGGCAAGGACATACTTCTTGCCTGCACTCGCCCAAAACATCTGTAAGTAACATACCAAAAAGATATGGAATCATAATGAAATTTACTGCTTATGCATACGATAGGTACCTTGAGGTTTAAATAATATTTGACCATGGACATTCTCCTGCAATGACTGTTTCCAAATGAGTGCACCATGTCTCAACTCTTGAGCACAGACAGCCAGCATTTTAGACCACACAGAAATATAACTAAATTGGTCCTCCCTCCGTACCAATGTTAAAATCTTCAGTGTAAAGTCCACATACTTGAAGATTCCAATTGCTGATCCCAAATCAGTCTCTGCCTATCAAGACAAAAATGTCATAATTCAAAGTAAAATAAGTTAAAATCCAAACAAGCAGAATAGATAGTTACACATTTCAAAACATAAATTACGAAACCTTAACTTATTCCTATACTCATATTCTGAGTTTTTCTAATGGAAGCATTCTTTTCAGCCTTAAAGAGATTTTCTGATGTGTATGAAAAGTAGGCTTGGGCGAGCAAAACAAGTTACATACTATGTAATAGGAAGTTATTTGAAGAAGCGAAAGATGAGTTTTATCGGCAGTGAGACCTATGATGATGTAGAGGAGTGAATATTGAGCCCAAATCCTTAACACGATTACAAGATGCATGTTGCAAAAATGAGAATGTTAAGATGTTTGTATGGTCGCACAAGGTTGGACAAGATTAGAAATGACTACATCCGACAAGAGGTGCAAGCACATAGGATATAATGAAAGGACGTTTGAGATGGTTTGGTCATGTCCTGTGTAAACCCCCATGAGCTCCTGTTCATAAGTGAAATACTTGATAGTGGAGGGTACTCAAAGGGGAAGAGACTAACTATTTCTTAACATTAGTGTAGACTCGGTCAAGAACAAAGCAAAGTGAAAGCAATTCATATAGCTGAACCCAATTAATTTGAGATTAAAGCTTAGTTATTTTTGTTATTGTTGTATCAGCAACCACCTAAATCTTTTCTGAAGCCTAGATGAGCCCCAGGGCCTAGGCACATGAATTCAGCATATGCAGTATCACTAATAAGTTCTTTGCTACAACATATCTTTGAAGAAATACACAACAACTAGATCTGCTATGAGTGAAAATGTTCTAGAAAGCTATATAATGCTACATACTAAGAGCATAAAAAATACCTTTCAAAAAAAAAAAAAAAAAAAAAAATGCTATCAACATATCTTTGAAGAAAATACACAACAAACTAATCTGCTTATGAGTTTGAAAATTGTTCTAGAAAGCTATATAACTGCTAACATACCTAAGGCAGCATAAAAAAATACCTTTTCAAAAAAAAAAAAAAAAAAGATACGAAAATAAAACAAAATTAAACTTTGGGAGGCACCAAATCAGACCTGATATAACTTTCGAATCGGAAATGAATGCACCACTAAGCCCAATCTTATTGTGGCTAATGGAAAATCACAGAAAAATGATGACTAAAAAAAAAAAAAAAAAAAAAAAAAAGCATACGAAAATAAACAAATTAAACTTTGGGCACCAAAAAAATCAGACCTGATATATTTCGAATCGGAATGAATGCACCACTAGCCATCTTATTGTGCTATGGACACAGAAAAATGATGACTCGATTCCTAAAGCTAATAAGAAACATTTCTTTCATCACAAATTAAAACACAAGATACATACTAGTGATAATTTCTCTGTTAACTGACATTCTGACTCAAAAATGTGGAACTTTGGCTCCTGCAGAACTTCAACAAATACATTGAGGTGCACGTTTCCAGTAGGGTGATTCTCTGAATGGACTTCACTGGAGATAATACTATTTTGGTGCAGTTCATCATTAAGATCCTTTAACAGAGAAACAGGAAGAAAATAACATAAGCCCAAATAGCACTCTTTATTAGTAACTTCACATAAAATCACTAGATTGCTAAGAAACCCAAGCACCAAAAAATTGAATTCAGATTATAATGTTCTCTAACTATTACTTCCTGATTTTTTCCGCTAACAGTACCTTAAGAAATAGAATGACAAGAGATAGTGAATAGATAATGAGTATAGCTAAAGAAACCACAACAAGAGGTCAAATACAGGTACTAACCTGTATTTCTTTGTCAAGAGCTTGCACTTTCACATCTTCACCAGTAAGAGCAACAGCACTTCGAGCTTTCTATTAAAAGGCAGATTTCGAAATTTACAGACAATGATGATTCAATGCTCAACTGGGTTAGGGAGAATGGAACTTAGGAAATCTTGAAAAGGTATACTGACCTTCAGATTTTCAAGATGGAAAAGTAAAACATAGTGCAATTCTTCTTTCAATTTGGAAAAGAATTCTACAAAATCATTTAGCTCTGTTTGGGTATTATGTTTTGTGAGAGGCTCTCCAAGTCCAAGAACAGAAGTCTGATCTTCAGCTCGGGATCCTGTAGAGGCATCTTGAAATTCCCAAGAATCATCATCAAAATCATGATTACCATTTGCCAAACTAGAGGCCATTATGGTTTTAGTGGGATCCAGTCCATTTCCACTAAGACTTTGTTCGTGTTTTGTGACAGACTCTCCGAGTCCAAGAATAGAGGTCCGATCTTCAGCACTGGGGCCTATAGAGGCATCTTGAAATTCCCAGGAATCATCACCAAAATCATGATTAGCCAAATAACGGACCATCATGGTTTTGGTGGAATCCAATCCACTTTCACTGAGATTTTTTTTATGATTAACTGAAGTATTCTGCTGAGCTTGACTGTACAAACTTGATATTAGATCATTGATGGAAATATTCGAACAAGAACCCTTAATGCCATCTCTTCGATCAGAGGTGGAAGCCTGAGTTGAAATGTCTTGATAAATCACAGGATCATCTGCTTCCTTTTCTTCATCACCAAAAATGGACAGAGGCAGAGCTCCTTTATGGTTGTCTGCCGTTATCCCGCTCTCCTGGGCACAAAGAAGGAACAGCATTAAATTACCGAAAAAACAAAATCTTGTGCATGAAAGCATGCTCCACCAACAAAATAGAAAATTATAAGAACATTACTTGCACCTTAGTATTCCCATCTTGGGGCCTAGATGCTGATTCTGCAGTGTTGAATTCCCACCCATTGTTGTCATCACCATATTCATCAAATAGATCCAAGTTTGCTTGCTTTTTGTCCAAATTCATCCCATTTAAATTTGAGTTTGCATTTCCATCCAATGTCAATGTGTTCCAGCTAGAATCAGTCCCATTAGAACTCAATGCTGGTCCATTTTCAGACTTGATCTGGATAAAATGGAAATCATATTGTTATAACAAGACTCCATTAACGAACCTATAGCTTCTAAACTCCACCTTTCTGATTGTTCACAAATTAACCAATTGCATGATAAACAGGGAAGAAAATGAAAGCAACACAAATTCTGAAAATTTCAGGTACATTAGGCTTTGCAAGCTAAAACACTAAAACTTCCGCTGACACTACGGAATTGTTAGTTTATATTTAATATCAGAGGTTATATTTCTTTTTATTTCCTCATTTCGTTTAGCAATTCAACAGAAGAAAAAAAACAGAACTCAAGGGTCAATTAAATAGCAAGAATTATTTACCAAAGAATTCTCATATCCGATCTGAAATTTTTGTCCGGCACCATTGAAGACCCATCCATTAGCACTCCTAGAATCCTTCTTTTCATCAATTAAGTTTGCAATAAACCGTTTCTCGTCCAATTTCACCTCACTTGAACTGAAACCACTGGAATCTGAACAAAATGGATCCCAGCCTGAACCAGCCCAATTTAAATTCAATGTCGTCATATGTTCAGTCTTGGTCTGGCTATCCTGAAATTTCCACTGATGCCATCAAAGCAATGCCCAAACCAAAACACTTCATTCTTTGCGGATAGAATGCAAAATTTTCTGATTTAAAAATCAATTAAACAAAAATAGTTATCTCTGTTACCTTATCATCCCCAACCTGAAGTTTGAGATCGGCACCCTTGAATTTCCACCCCTCCTCATCAACTTCACTATTTTCATGAATTGGACCAACGTTTATTGAATTCGTAGTTGAATTAACAATATTAAGATTTAAATTCCACCCACTAAAATCCAAAGTCGACGGATTCCAATTTGTATTGAATCCATTAAGATCAGATACTGGCCCATTCTCAGTCTCGATTTGGCTCATCTGACTCAATATATTTGCAACAAATGAATCATTAAACCAATATCTCAGTTCAAGTCCCAAGAAAAAAGCATGGAAAAGAAAAAGCATACGTAGTTTTTGAATTCTAATAACTGTAACAAATAAGAAGCGGAGTCAAATGAAGTTATTCCTAATTCTATCACCAAGAAACAAGAATAGAAATGAAATATAAAAACTCAGGATTACAAGAATCATATTTTTTACCTTGGAAATCTCATTACCGGTCGGAATTCTGGGTTGTGCATCCTTGAATTCCCACTCATCATCATCGTCATCATCCTCATCGACACCTTTTACAACCTCACTCGTCCCATTTTGGTTTGAGTTCAACGCAGCTGCATTCAAATTCAATGGATCCCAATCCAAAATCAACTGTTCTGTATTCGTTTTCAGCTCATTTTTACCGTTCGCGTTTGGATGAATCGTATTCGTATTTACGATATTCAAACTCGAATCTGGAGCAGGCGTATTCAAATTGGGCTCAGTTACGCCTAAATTCACTATACTCATATGCAAATCTGAAATCGTCCCGTTCTTATTTGTTTTGTCTACAGAATTCGACCCGTTCGTATCTGGTACAGATCCTTTTTTAGGATCTCTCTGTTGGTATAAATTAGCAAGCAAATCATTAACATCTAATCCCTTCTTTACAGAATCAACCTTCCTACTAGAGAATAAGCTCCCAGCACCATCGCCAAATGGTGGAAGGCTGGCAGCTGATTCTTCCTCTTTCTCTAGCTCCCCAAAGATCGAAAGAGGCAAAGCTCCGTTCGGCTTCTCCCACAGATTCATGCCCGATTTAACTCGACTGAGTTCGTAGCCAGTCTGAGTCGGTTCTGGATCTTTGTTTTCCAGTTTTTGATCTGTAAGTAATCCGAACGGGTCAACAGCTTTCGAGATATTAGGGAGCGAAATGGCATGGGACATTCCACCGGAGTTTATAAAATCTCCCCAGTCATCGTCGTCGTCGCCAGAAGCCGAATCTTGGCCATTGACGAAATTGATATTGGAATGGACGGTCGGATTCGATGGCGCGAACTCGAAGTCGCCGAAGCCATCGTCATCATCGTCCACCATCTTTGAGAGCTCTAGTTCCCCCTCTCTGTCAGGTTTTGCGCCTTTGCCTCTGTTTTTCGGTGCAAAATGCGCACGTTAAGCGTCTGCGCACATGCAGCTTACTTTAGATGTATATGTTTTTTTTTTTTTTTTAAAGTATCTGCCCTTGCGAACGGGGGCCTTTTGGTAATTTAACTTTATTAAATTAGTAGTTAGAACCCTCAGATTCGAAATTTAATTATGTGATCATTCAGTTTTTATTTTTCTGTTAATTACTGGTATTTGTAAATATTCTTAATAAATGCGTTTGCATTTAAAAAAAATGAATTAGCATTACTAATACATAGTAGTACTTTGGTAAAATCCCACTTGCCAAATAAGGTTAAAATCGTAAATATGAGAAATATCATCATTAGTAATAGCCAAAAATCATTTTGAGTTGGCCTTCATTGATTATGTTAAGGAGATGGTCCAGTGAATATATAAAATGTTAAATGTTCATATATACCAAAAACAACCTCTTTATTTTCTGCTATTGAACAGAACCACATGAACGTTTTAACTACCCCACCCGCCGTCACAGATCCTCCTTTAGAAGGTTGATAGAAAGACGCCTCAAAATTTGCCGTCCTGATTGATCATCAAATGATCAAAATGAAACTGAAAAAAAAATAAATAAATTGACAAGACCTGCATAAGAGTTTAAAATGACGTTCTGCGATGCTACGCGCGGTTCGAAATTCAATGGAGGAAATTAATTGTTCAAGGGGAACGCAGTTCATGAGAACACAATTAGAAGCGAGAAGGGGAAAACCATTAGAATGCAATAGCAAGGAAGAGAATGTCCAGAAAATAAAATTAACAACCATATTACATTTCTGCTACGAGATCACACAAAATACATGATCACATACAAATCATATAGGAAGCACTTCAATTACTACTACACTACTACATAAACAAGCATTCCAAGCAACAAACACATCAAGCAATGACCAAAACCAACCTTAGAAAACAAACTCATAGCTCCGGCGAAGTTACCTCCGGGAGTGTTGGTGGTCAAAACCACGACCATCCAATCATCCTCGGACCCAAGTCCTGCTCCAGTAAACCTGGAGTCATTTAAGTACTTGGCATGATCCGTGCGTGTATAATTGGTAAGAACAAGAGTTTGAACCAATTTAGGCACACAAACAGGCAAAACGACACCGTCTGTAGTATGGTTACTGTCAATGCCACATTTTTCTAGTAATTCAGGGTAATCTTGTTGTTGGACTGTGGTGGGAGTTGGAGGACATGGTCGGTCCTCTAGTTTGTCTGCAATTTTATCGGCCAGACAGGATGCTTTATCATTCTGGGCAAGCGATGGAAGTCGTAAGGATGTCCTGTAACTGTTTATGCCCTGAAGAATCTTATCTTCATCTGTACCTGTAAATTCCATAAACCCAAAGAATGTCATATCTAATATTTCCCTGGAAAAACACAGAGGAGTGAGAAGAGAAAGTACCATCAGAGAGCACTGGAGAAGAAAGCAAAGCAGTGGCAAGAAGCATCAGAAATAGTGAGATTCTGAGTTTGAGAGAAGCCATAACTTGAATATATAGTTTATCTGAACTATAAAACGATCTTTCAACGGGAAGAGAGTAGATTTATGAAAAATGGGGAAAAGCTTAATATGCAAGAATCGGATAATTCAAGTGTTGGAAGTGTTGATCTTGAATTTGAACATTTGAAGGGGTCGTTGGTTACAGGTGCCTTAAATGTGTGCACTAATATTCCTACTCTGCCTGCCAAACAGACACCTATAAACCGACCGCCACTGCACGTGGCGGCCATGCAATGCAAATTTTTGTGCACCTTCTGGTGTATTGCCAAGGTTCTGGGCCTTCTGGCTAAGGATTAAGGGAACACTTTTCTTTCTTTCAATGAGTTTTGAGAAATACCTATCCGTCATAAATCTAAGTATCGGTAATTAATTCCCGTTAGAGTGTAATAAAATATTTATTAATTTACTTAAATTATTTTTTTTTAAAAATTTATAGTGGTGGATAAGCTATACCATTAGATCATGTGTCAAAGCTGAGGTGAAAGTTTTAGTGATGAATTATCTAAAATACGTAAATTCTTGAGACAATAATAAACAATAATATATATATATATATATATATATATATATATATAATATATATATATATATATAATATATATATAATATATATATATATTATACAAATGTTGGTCAGAATTAAAAAGTGGATGCGAACAAATTAAAAAAATTTCGTTTTTCTGAACTTCGTAGAAAAAATTGTCACGTTTTAAAAGGAGTTGGTCACTGTATAGAATCTTGCAAGTAAAATCAGAGTTAATTTTGAAATACATGCGGTTAATATATGCCAAATAAGAAAAGTATTAGATGCAGAAGACAACCCATATAATTATTTGCTTCTTGATAAAATATATGGAAAAAAAAAAAAAAAACAAATTGCTGTATGAATTTAACTTTTCCACTTATTTTTCATTTTTTTTTTTTGTGTATATATACAATGTTGGTCAGAATAAAAGTGGATGGAACAAATTAAAAATTCGTTTTTTGAACCTTCGTATGAAAATTGTCACGTTAAAAGAGTTGTCACTGTATGAATCTTGCAGTAATCAGAGTTTAATTTTGAATACATGCGGTTAATATATGCCAAAAAGAAAAGTATAGATGAGAAGACAACCCATATAATTATTTGCTTCTTGATAAATATGGAAAAAAAAAAAAAAAACAAATGCTTGTTATGAATTTAACTTTTCCACTTATTTTCATTTTTTTTTTTTGTGTAAATTTTGGTGCGAACCATATTATCAGGATTGTCTTCTCACATATTCAATTTGCGTTGCCAATTGAGTCGCAATCCATAAATTACTCCTTTTCAATTTTATAACAACACATATATAAATTATCATATTTATATTATTTTTACATTAAAATTTAGAATTAAGATTGGGATTTTTAATTAATTTAAGAATCGATATTGCACAAACTAAAGGAAAACGGATTTTTTTGACAAAATTAATAGTTTATATAAATATTATACTAAAAAAAAAAGTTAAAATATGAAAATATATTAATATCTATTTAAAATTGCCATAATTTTATGGAAACTGTCATGTGGTTGACGGGATGGACATTTTTCGCCATTTAAATAAAAATATATATATATTTATATAAATATGCTCAATCACTATATATAGCATTATTAAAATCAAACTAAAAAAAAAAGACAATAATTTATATATCAATGTTGCTTTTTTATTATAAGCATAATCACAATAGAAGTAACCACAAATCAGAATTACAAGACAATTAATACAAATACACAGACTTGAATCCAATTAAATTAAGAAAACATCACAATTTCACCAAATTAATAGTTAAAAAAAAAAAATTTCCTCTCAATATCCTATTGCAAGGCATTTATTAGAACCACAAGGCAAGTAACCCCAACAACAAACATACCAAGCAATGACCAAAACCAGCAGCAGAAACCAAACGACAAGCAGCTGCTGCAAAGTCACCTCCTGTACTGTTTGTACCCAAAACGACAACCATCCAGTCACCCTTACTGCCAACTCCAGCTTGAGCAAATTTGGAATCGTTTATATATTTGGCGTAGTGGGTGCGTGTGTAATTAGTAAAAACTACAGTTGGAACCAAATCAGGCACACAAACAGGCAAAACGACACCTTCTTTAGCGTGACTAATGTTAATGTCGCATTTCGATAATAGATCAGTATGCTCGTCTAGTTGTAATGGGTGGCTGCCGTTACATGGTTGGTCCTCCAGTTCCTTGGCAACTTCTCCGGCGAGACATTCTGCATCCTCGTTGTTAACTAAAGTTGGGAGATCCAAATATGCCCTGTGACTATTCAGGCATTTGAAAAGATCATCTTCATCGTCTGTAGATTACTTTTGGGTTAATAGGCTTCAACATTTATAAATAATTTAATTAATAAATCATAACATAAATAGTAATATATAAACAGAGCATAATATATAAATATAAATTTCTAATGTAAGAGAGATGAGAGAGAGAATACCATCACAATGTACTGGAGAAGAAAGCAAGAAAATGGCAAGAAGAAGGCCAAGAAGGATAAGTCTAAGTTTGAGAGAGGCCATAGCTAATAGCTTACTTGTTTTCAGTGATGAACAGATATAAATATATGACAGAGATAATGTAAGAATGATCAGTACTTCAGGAATAAAGAAAAGAATAGATGATTTAAACTTTGTGTCTGTTAAGATTCTTTTATGAGTCATACGAATACTTTTTGTTTTGTTTATTTCCATCTTTCTTTGTTGATTTGCCTTCGAACTGAGGATTTGCATATGCTTCTTAGTTTATGTGTCCCACGTTTCACAATTGCAAGTTATAGTGATTAAACAAAATTTTCTCTTGACTTGAGAATATTGCAATCCAAGATACTAAAAAGAAAATCTATCTTTGAGTGAATGATTTAAATTTTAAATTTTAATATAAAAAGAGTAAAATAAAATTTAATTAATAAAAAAAAATTAAATTTACTAATTTAACAAGTTTTGAATTTTATCCTTTTTCAATATGTATTTCTTTTTGTTGTGATTATGTTTTGTTTTTACCGACTCCTAAAGGATTTTGACGGTGTGGAGAGGAAGCTGGAAACTCCCACCTTCCATGTCAACATAAGAAAATTTGTCCCTTTCACTACTGTAATTCGGATGACGTGACACGTGTTCCTTCTCTCCTGCCACGTAGTCCTACGTGTCTACATGCAAACATCAATGTCAAACTTCCTATATATCCACATTATAACACTGCACTTGCACTTTCACTGCACAACTATATATAGATATGCTCCTTCGATTTGTTTCAATAACAAGGCCTTTAGGAACTGTTTCTTCTTTGCATTCAATCCAAAACCATCTGAGAACTTACCGGAAAAATCATTTTCCGGCAATTTTTTTTGCTAGTCAAAGACCCACTACATTACTGTTTGTAAGAATGGCTTCCGGCGAGCAGCAGTTTCCTCCTCAAAGGCAAGAGAAGCAGCCTGGGAAAGAACATGTCATGGACCCTATCCCACACTATGCCATGTCCGATAGCAAGCCCTCTGATAAGCTCAGGGTATGCGTCTTGTCTCCTTTAGCATCAGCATAGCCGTTTGAGTTACTGTTTAGTTGCTGCAGAGAAACGTGTAAGTTGAAGTATGGTATATGCATGTGTGATAATTTTTGGTTTCCAGGGAAAGGTGGCACTAGTCACTGGTGGAGACTCGGGAATAGGACGTGCTGTGTGCTATAGCTTTGCTCTTGAAGGAGCAACTGTGGCCTTCACTTATGTGAGGAAACAAGAAGACAAAGATGCACAAGATACTATTGAAATCTTGAAGAAAAACAAGACTCCCGACGCCAAGGAGCCTATAGCAATAGCAGCGGATTTAGGGTTTGATGATAATTGCAAGAAAGTGGTTGATGAAGTGGTAAATGCATATGGGCGGATTGATATTTTGGTTAACAATGCAGCTGAGCAGTACAAAAGTAGCTCTGTTGAGGAAATCGATGAGGAGAGGCTCGAAAGGGTGTTCAGAACTAACATCTTCTCCTACTTCTTCACAACCAGGTAGGTATAATATGCAAATGTGAACTCATTAACTACCCTATTTTCCAATCATTGATATGTTGGTGTTGGTGTTGGTGGTGGCAGACATTGTCTGAAGCACATGAAAGAGGGCAGCTCTATAATCAACACGACATCAGTTAATGCATACAAGGGAAATAAGAAACTGCTTGATTACACAGCAACTAAAGGGGCAATAGTGGCTTTCACTAGAGGACTAGCACTTCAGCTAGTGAAAAAAGGCATACGAGTCAATGGTGTTGCTCCTGGACCTATTTGGACTCCATTGATACCCTCTTCTTTCAGTGAAGAGGAGGTGGCTAACTTTGGGAAACAAACGCCTATGCAGAGAGCTGGCCAGCCAAGTGAGGTTGCACCCTCTTATGTGTTTCTTGCTTGTAACCATTGCTCCTCTTATATCACTGGCCAAGTTCTTCACCCCAATGGTAAGTTACTGTTTTTGTTCTTTAATGTACTTGACAGGATTACATTTTGTGCGTGCATCAATAATAATAATATGGCTAAAACGTTCAGCTATAGATTCTTATTGATGATTTTGGGTTTAATTGATTTGCAGGAGGCGTTATTGTGAATGGTTGATGGAGATAGCTGTGAAGAAAGTCAAAAGTTCTTTTTGTCTTTTTGTTATATATCTAGAGTGTTGCTGGTTTAATGGTGTCTCCTTCTATAGCTTATATAGGTGTTAAATGTCGTGTTTGTTTGGATAAATAAAAGTTGTACCCTTCTCAAATGGGATACACTGCTTGTGTGCTTGGATGATACTCAACTCAATTGAAATAATATCATGATTTTGCACGCGTCTTACACAAAACAGAACATTCATAGGTTATCCATAAAACATAAACAGAATCCACAAATAACAAAACGGAACATTCATAGATCATCCAAAAAACATAAACAGAATCCAAAAAAATAACTAGTCTTTACAGAACTGTATTTATGAATTCTGAAAAGAATAAAAGACAAATATCCCGGTGACTTCACACAGTTTGAAACTTACTAGACTGAGAAAGGGGAAAACCCAACAACAAAATAATGTACAAATGATATCAGATTAAATAATATAGTTTGACCAACAAAGCATACATTTTTATGACATTATTTGGAAATTTAACATCAGGGATCAGATCTTACTCAAATTTATTGCAGCCTAGATATAATTAGGATGAACCACCAAAGCAAATCTCAACACCATTCCCGCCAATTCCAGCAATCAGACACTGGAATCCACATGATTCCAGTTCAGCAATTACTTTATCAACAACTGTTCCTGAAAGCACTGATTTATGTGGTCAAGGGAACGTATAAAGAACATGAAATAGGATGACACAAATCAAGCACTCATGATATTACTTTGTCAGACAAGTATGATAATGAGTGAGCAAGTTTCAGAAAGATCTCATGGTGTTTGCTATAGCAATAGAAGAAAATGATCTAAGCTGTCATGTTGAGCAAGGCAATCAACATAGAAGAAAGATTTTCAAAAGTACTAGAAAATAATCTATCCGAGAAAATTTAAAATGATATAATATAAAGAAATTTAGAGAAAAAATAAAGCCACATTGGATACAGGTTGGTAGAAGTGTCAGCACACAACCCCCACCGCCAGCCCCAGTCAACTTGGAAGCTAACTTATACTTCAATGTCGTCCGGAGAACGGTTTCTATAGAAGCATGGCTGACCCCCATGCATTGCAGCAATCCCTGATTCATTTCCATCAATTCTTCTAGCTTTGCTTCTTTCTCAGTTATGGACAGTTCATCTGGAGCAGGGGACTGGATGATAGTAGCCAATTCATTACTGATAGAATCAACAGCATTAAAAACAAAACTCATGGCATTAGGGTGCCGCAAGGTTCTCTCTGAAACGCCAGCAACTAGTGCTTTCGTATTCCTCCCAACTCTTGTGTTAGTGATGAGCATTTTGAGCAGCATGTTGGACTTTATACGTGTGAGATTACCAGACCTGAACTTGATCATGTTGCCTGTGGAAGACTCCAATAAATTAAAACTTGAGTTTGGCAGTGAATTTGGCTCACTGTTTTTGTATTTTAGCAGAAGGCATAATATATTTTGTTCAAGCAATTCTTAACAGCAAGACATAGTAGTGTGAAAGATATCTCTAAAAAGCTCAACAATATCACATACCATATGTGCTAACTGTGTTGTCTATTCCAGAAGGCTTTCCATGAATTATTTTTTCACCTTCAAAAGCCCATTTGTTTAACAATTCAAGTTCAGACTCTCCAAATATTAACCATCCTTGGTGCATTTTGTCCACATTTACAGAGTCAGACAAAGCAAGAAAAGCTGTGCTAACTGTGTTGGTCTATTCCAGAAGGCTTTTCCAATGAATTAATTTTTTCACCTTCCAAAAGCGCCATTAACTGTGTTGTCTATTCCAGAAGGCTTTCCATGAATTATTTTTTCACCTTCAAAAGCCCATTTGTTTAACAATTCAAGTTCAGACTCTCCAAATATTAACCATCCTTGGTGCATTTTGTCCACATTTACAGAGTCAGACAAAGCAAGAAAAGCAGCCGAGAGGGCAACACAAAACGCTGCAGATGAGCCTAGGCCTGAACCCAGTGGAAGGTCAGAAGTGACAACTACAGTGGCAGGTCTAAATCTGACATAAAAAGGAACTGAATTAGGAAATTCAAGTGGGAAGAGCGAAATAGTCCCAATAAATCACAATACTAAATGCTTACCCTTGAATAGAAGTATATAACCATAAAAAGGCTGCAATTCCGGAAGCAAGTGCAATTTTTGCCTCTGGGATATTTTGTTCTTCAACCAAAGCTGAAATTGACTTGACTGATTCTATTGAGCAAGAGGTGGGTGTCGAAGCGGAAGGAGCACCTAAGTTAGGTAATGCTTCTTTGATTTTGCCAATTGGCCATGAAAATTCTAGTGCCATATCCTTGAGCTGGAGTTTCAGTGTACCATCATTCTCTTATGGAAAAGAATGATCCATCGAGAGGTCACACAATTATATTTGAAATCATCAGTTTACTGACTTAAACAAAAGGCAGGGGCACGGGGAATAGGACTTCAATTAAATTGATGAAAACCTATAGTATCAGTAATTTGTCAATAAAATTGGGTAGTTTATGGTGTTAGATCACTATTAGAGGCATCCTATGTTACCAACTTTCACCAATTAATGAGTATATATGGTTTCTTTAGATAATAAATTTAAGTAAACCTGACCCTCACATAATATGAAAATCTTCCTTTTTGAAAATTCATCTTCCACTGACAACTGAACTGAACCAATTCAAGTACAAGAAATGTTGCAAACAAGAGAAGAGAACAAGAATTATGTATGAGAAAACCTCAAAAACTATTCTTTTGATCAAACTAACTCAAATTGAAAATTCTATGACTGCAAATTTAGCACCAAAAACCGGAACCCAAATAACTTTCACACATATCCATATTTAGCTAATCAACCAAAATGTGAACAACATTCAAACAAGAAAATTAAAAATGAAGTGATTAAAGAAAGCATATACATAAATTTTACCAGAAGTGGGAAAAGAGAGGGTGACATTGGTGTAGAGATTAATGGATGAAGCGACTGCAGTCGATCCGTGCACCACTGCGTGTTCACCGGAAAGAATGATTTTTCCTGGAGCTCTTGCTTTAACTTCCATCTGTTTTTTTCCGTTTCTCGAATTCCGTTACCAGAAAAAAATAAAGTTGGAATCTTTTAGTAGTTTGTGAGATTTACGGATCCATTAATTGACAAAAGTGGAAGAAGAGGGTGACATGGGAGGAACTGGAACTCAATTTTGGCGGAGAAAACCAAAGATACATTCTCTTTTTCCTCGTGCACTTTGTGTCTCACACTCTGAGGGAGTAACTGGAGACATCCACGCGCACGCACGCTCTTGTTGGTGGCGCATAGGTGTGAGTTGTTGAATTGGACCTGTTAGTCATTTATTTAAAAAAATATATCTTTTATCATTAAATACTCTATATATTTAACAGTTTAATATTTTACATTTAATATAGTATGATTCACTATTGAATTATTATACATAGTTTTTTAATAGAAATTAAATAATTTAACTGAATTAAATATTAAAAAATTAAATAAATCTTTTTATTAAAAAATTAAATAGTTTAACAGAGTTAAAAATCAAATATTAAAAAATAAAGTCAAATCTTTTTTAATTAAAAAATTAAAATAGGTTTAACAGAGTTAATCTACATCACTATAACTCAGTTGCATATATAATATATATATATATATAATATATAATATATGAGTAATCTCGGATTGAAAATTAAGGGTAAATAATTAATTTAGCTTTTTTTTTCTCACAAACCCTTATATGAGTAATCTCGATGAAAATTTAAGGGTAAATAATAATTAGCTTTTTCTCATTTTTCTAATTTTTACATGACAACCTTTATTTTTTTTTTCTTTTTAATAAATTCTTTCACCATCAGCTAATTCAACAAGTAGATCCGAAATTTGTTGAGTAAATTCTTCAAATATTTTCTTTAAAATATATATTATATATTTTTTTCAATATTAAAAGAGAAATCGATCTTGAGTCTATATTTAGGCAATATAAGTAATTTTTATTTTTAAGAAGCAGGTAATATAAGTAATTAAAGACTAGTTTGTGTTGACGTTTTCAAATTGAAAACGTGAATTTTTTTGTCCGTTGCAAAGTAATACTCAAAACAAAAATTAGTGAGCGACGCTGATAATATTATAAGTTCCTATTTTCATTATGAAATTTTTATTTTTATTTTTTCAAAATATTTTTTGTTAATATTTTTTTTTCTTTTTTATAAGAATATAAAAAGAACCTTGGTCAATTTTGTGATTCAACGGCAGTTCACAAGCGTCCCAGAACATTGAAATAATGTTGGTTTAATGGTATAATCCCAACTCCATGAAGTCATCAGCACATTTGTTTATACTTTTTGTATATTGCATTAAATGGCTAACCCACACTAATCCGCCTTACCTACCATGACCGTTGACAAAAGGCCAACTGTAGGCCCAGCCCACTTTGTATTTTCCCATAAGTGGACCTTTTACCGCCTCTGCGAATCATGATTGAATGTTAACAAGGATACATACTGTTACTTGTTCTGTTAGCCGGTAATTCTTTACAGAGTGATTTAAATTAGAAAGTGTTCAGTAAAAGTCAGCGTACAGGTTTACAAATTGAATTGATAATCCATGGCACACTTGTATTATTACAATACATACCCAGTTTGCAAATATGGCATAGTCATACATGATGTAAGAGCAGGAGGATAGTACTGACCTTAGAAGCTAGTCTATTGAGTTGAGTTTCGTGGTTCTGCAACCTGCATAGTTTCATGTAATACATGAGAGTATAGCAGTTGAATTAAATTTGCAACTTTGAAACAAAATGTTCAGTTGAATGAAAAACTTAATAGAATATTATTTCTTACCTTTTTTCTTTTTAAAGATAGAACGCAGATGCAACTTTGAAACAAAATGTTCAGTTGAATGAAAAACTTAATAGAATATTATTTCTTACCTTTTTTCTTTTTAAAGATAGAACGCAGAAAACTGCATTCAGCAAGTTAATTTCTCAGACTGACAGCAACCTGTTCTTGTAGAGTGTCGTAAAGAATTTGAACAACATTGAGCAGGAAACCATCTGAACCATTTTTTGCCAACAACGAAATAGACAATGGTAGATCATCATGCATACCCAGTGGAATGCTCACCTGCAGTTTTGATATGATGTTCATACAACATATTTAGTATTGCAAAACGTTCATAAACCCAAGGAAAACGGAATTTCATCACAATAAAGAGCAAGATAGGTCACCTGACAGAATCCTGATACTCCAGCAATAGAGAGCAAGCTAAAAGCCTCTGCACGAAAGACTGCCAGCGTAGTTGGATCTGTATTTAGTTTTGGTGGGGGCCCTGGAACTGTAGGGATAGCAAGGATACCAAAATCCTGTGCTTCAATTATTAGAGAGCCAGTTTAGGTAATAAAAAAAAAAAAAAATTGAGAGAGGACTTGCATATGTAATTTACTTAGCAGATTTATAGCAAAATGGAACACTTATCCTATAAGCCACTGATACTACACAACTGAGCCTTGTTAACCACATTCCAGATTTGAGATAATTTAAACAAAGTCATGTCAGCATTTTAGATAGAATACAATAATGTTCACTTGAAGCATATCAATCCTAAAAACTACTTTCTTCATTAAATACGTGGCATGCTTAATTTTACAAATGTTAATTTGCAAAAAAGCTGTTTAATTTTGCATAAAAAAGGCAATAGGACGTCACACTGAATATAGCTTAGATCCTTTCTTCTTTTGTTTTTTCTATTTATTTATTAATTAGGCTCTATACTGATGTTTGAACTCGAATAGGACGTCACCTGAATATAAGCTTAGATCCTTCTTCTTGTTGTTTTTTCTTTTTATTATTAATTAGGCTCTTACTGATGTTTGAACTCGATCTCACAACATTGGAGACAACGCTTGTACCATTGAGCCAAAGAACATTGGTAAAAAGCTTTCTTTTGAAAAAGATTTCTTTTGCTTCGGAATAGTTCAAGAGAGTACCTCAAGAAGAGTTGTCAGGGCAGCAAGTAGTTCTGTCTTCACTGAGTAACAGGCATCAATATTTCCTCCTGTCATTTTAACAGCTTCCCATACTCGTTCTGATATACCTGGACCCAAATCTGGTTCGACAGTAGTAACCCATTCACCATGGTTATTCTTGAATTCATACCTATAAGTCAAGTATCAGTAGTTACATATACAAATTTAAGATCTCTCAGCCAGTACAAACATTAAGAATATGATAATTAGCATTCAGGTCAATGGATCAATCAATTTAGAGAAAGAGTTGTAGAATTTTTACACCTTTCAAGCAACCGCATGGCACTTGAAAGGGCTGCCAATGATGCTATATCATAACCTTGTTCTTTGATTTCTTTGCTCATAAAATGCTTCAGGCTTGGAACTTTGTTCTCAACGAAGTCCCCAAGGGTTAAATGCTTCACAACATGACCTGCATTAACAAATGTAAGGAATTATCTCTTCCCCAAAGTGGATGCTAATGCATTTGGATGCCAAAAGCAATGAAACAAGACAGATTAACATTTCCATGGAGCCAAGTTGCGTGTTCTGTTGTATGCTCCAAAGAAACTCACTTGGTCCATTACAAAACATATAAATGTTCCTTAAAATGCCTAGTGAGTCTGCTGGATTCCAAAATAACTCATAAATAACAGAAAACTGACCCCCGAATAACTTCTCCACTGATTTAACAAGAATTTGGCTAACTCGACCGTTTGGAATGCTTGAGAGTTGAAAACAATCTTCTGCAATAATTATCTGACTTGGTCTGACTAGATCTAAATCAGGCAATTGAAGTAGAACGCGTCCAACATGATTCAAAATCACTGGATTCCTAGCAAACCATCCTGGAGTGAAGCATTGATGTCAAAAGAATGAACTGTCTAGTTCAAGCTATCTGGAAATTATGAAACTGCCATACAACTATGTCCCCTTTGATTGGTAGAGCAAAAACAGTGAACAGACAAACGGTATCAAGTAACAAAATTTAGTGTTGCATGAATTATGTTATCAATCAAGAAAAAAATATCAGATTGAATAATTTATCTAAACAAGTCTTATCCACTGCCACTCCATAATTCAGAAGTTTCAAATGCTGTTTTGAAAAGATATAATAATTATTGTGAAAGTTCTGAATTTGGAAAAAATCACACAAAAACCTGAACCCAATTTGGTCAAAAATGGCAAACTGATTCAAAAGAAATCCACGAAGTTTCTGGTTACTTACCCACAGTATCGAAACTCTGTGCCAAGGGAATAACTCCTGCAGTAGAAACAACACCATGAGAAGGCCGAAACCCTAAAATACTGCAGTATGATGCCGGAACTCTTACACTTCCTCCAGTGTCAGTTCCTGCAGCAAAGACAATCTTTTAATTTGATTGAATTATAATAACGTAAGCTGTATGAAGAGTAGAATCATTTTAGAGTGGATATTCACCTAAGGAGAAGTCTACAAGCTTTGCACCTACTGCAACAGCAGATCCACTGGAAGATCCTCCAGGTACACAATCTGGAGCACAAGGATTTATAGGCGTTCCATAGTGTTTATTTTCCCCATTTATGCTGCCCCCAAAATAAAAATTATTCACTTGAATAAGAAACAAGTAGCAATTTGAATTTTCAGGGGACTTCTATCAAATAAAAGATGAACAATAACTAAAGTGCATAATGTACTCGAGCCAGAAGCTTGGCACAACAAATATATTTCATCATATTTGTTTAATCATAGCTAAGACAATCACCCACAAATGAGAGAACTGTCTCACATTCTCACCTATATGCCATTTCATCCATAACGGTTTTACCGATACATGTGGCCCCTTCTCTCAAGATAGCCAAAACGGCTGGAGCAGTTGATGTAGCAGCTAAATGTGTTCTTGCCCAATCCGGATTGCCAAATCCAGTTACATATCCATCAACGTCGAATCTAATTACAAAACCAGAAAGACAAATTAAACACTCAAAACGCACGAGAAGATATTGATTCAAAAATAAAAAAAGAAGAAGGGAAGAAAATTTTTTGAGTTAATTCCAAGAATTAAACTCCGTCTCCATTTTGAAAACATAAGTAGCTAAACAGTACAGATGAAACCCAGCAGCCAGAATTGGCTTATAAGCTCAAGAAAAGCACGAAAACAAGTATTATGGATGAAAATATTCATGAACCCACCATAAAATTAAAGGAAATGGAAGGAAACCAAAAAGGAAGTGAATTGAAGGACTGACATATCTTTAACGGCAAAGGTAAGCCCATTTAAGGGGAGTTCATCGGATGAGTTAGTTGGCATGAACCCACCATAAAATTAAAGGAAATGGAAGGAAACCAAAAAGGAAGTGAATTGAAGGACTGACATATCTTTAACGGCAAAGGTAAGCCCATTTAAGGGGAGTTCATCGGATGAGTTAGTTGGCTTTAGCACAAATTTTTCCATGAAAGCTCCATAATCAGGGTTTCTTGCCATGTTTGTTATCCGTAAGTAGTCTGCCTCAACGTTTATTAACAGAAAAAGGATATTGGACACACAAATCAGATAACTGTCATCAGACTCATCACATGATGACCTATTTAACCTTTCGATATTGGACACACAAATCAGATAACTGTCAAGGGCAACGACGGCATTTAAATAATATTTTCATTCTATTTGGCGTTTCTTTATATTAAATGACCAATATAGCCTTAATTTTAAGTTTGCTGCTGAACAGTTCATGGCTTCATGCAGATGTATGGCATTAAGGTAAAAACATGATCCTGCTATTAGAGGCTATTCAAAAAAGCGCTATGCTGAAAAAACAGTTTCAATCTCAATTACAAGCTAATCTGCATTACATGCTCTAATCTATATATATGTATATGTATCGGCAGCACATACACTTGAAATTTGAGATACAGAGTAATGGAAGTTGTGTGGTTCTACATTGGAAATAAAGGTTTCAATCAACTTCATCACAGTTGTCAACCAAGGCATAGAACTCGGGCTTGCTGGTGCGTCCATTCATAGGGTTCTCCTCCTGCAGCCTCAGTCAGTTTCATCAGAGTCATCATCAAAGCTATACAAGTATGGGACTGCTGGTATGGCTAATTCATAGGGTTCTCCTCCTGCAGCCTCAGTCAGTTTCATCAGAGTCATCATCAAAGCTATACAAGTATGGGACTGCTGGTATGGCTACACTAGGTTCTACATCTGCAGACTCACCAGTCGCTCCAGGATTGTTCCAACCCAGCTGCTGTGTGTAAACATCATCGTAAGCTTCAATATTGAAACCTGAAGCAAGAAACAATTCCAACTCATTCACAAATCTGTCTGTTCTTGCAGCTAGGAAAGGCCTTGCTGCATCACAAACTAGAGTCTTGAACTCTTCTTGTTTGGTTTCAGATGTCATCATTTCATGAAGTTGATTGGTCCTAGCAAACATTAAAGCAAGTTATGAGCAAGAAACTTCTTAAAATGATTAGATTCATCTGTCAAACCATCTACGATCTTAATTGAAAGATTTTGAACAAGATGGGAATCCAACTCCTGGAATCAAATTGTTGATTTCATAATTAATTTGCAAGAATTACCTTTTCAGGAATGAATCAACCACACCAAGAATATGATGTACAATAATGTCAACATTCTCTTCCTGCAAGTAATGTAACAGAAGAAGAAAGTCAGTTATTGATAAACAAAGCATCCATAATTAAGTTGATTAATATTAAAATTTCAGAAAAAGTGAGGGGCTTCTACAAATGGGATTACTATGATATACAAGAACATTCCTGTATTTCCTTTAGTCATCAAGAAATATGTAACTCAAAACTGTGAATGTGTATTCACAGAAAGAATTGGAGGAAACAATGCTTTTAAAATAACAACAGTAAATAGAAAATTGATCCAAATTTAGTTGATGGTAAAGTAGGAAAAAACATCAGTTGATGTTACTTGCAAATCAATATGATCAAGAATTCTTTGGTCTGAATGGGCATCCAATACAATCTCCCAACTGTTTCTTATGCAGTTATGCAGCCATCCGCTAGAGACAGCATTGAGCCATAGAACTGAGAATTATTAGTTTTGGTAAAAGCTTTAACTTATCAGCAACACAACTTCATCCACGGTGTTAGTTCAAGTGCTTAGAGCATATTAAGTGTATAATACAATACACAAAAGAATTTCAGTGATATGTTCAAGATGGAATAAGTAAAAGGGCAGAGAATTTTCTTTTTTTTTGAAAAAAAGAAAGAAAACAACAAATGAACAGTTGGACCTGCAAAAGAGCTTGAATTTCTCTTTTCAACCAACTTTGAAGCCACTGATTAGGCTAAAGATACTTTCGGGACTTCCAATATCGCGATACATTAACTATGTTGCTCAAGGCACCTGATGGAACATTAGATACCAAAAAGCACATTAAACAACAATTCTTAATACGTGTGAGATTACCAGACCTGAACTTGATCATGTTGCCTGTGGAAGACTCCAATAAATTAAAACTTGAGTTTGGCAGTGAATTTGGCTCACTGTTTTTGTATTTTAGCAGAAGGCATAATATATTTTGTTCAAGCAATTCTTAACAGCAAGACATAGTAGTGTGAAAGATATCTCTAAAAAGCTCAACAATATCACATACCATATGTGCTAACTGTGTTGTCTATTCCAGAAGGCTTTCCGTGAATTAATTTTTCACCTTCAAAAGCCCATTTGTTTAACAATTCAAGTTCAGACTCTCCAAATATTAACCACCCTTGGTGCATTTTGTCCACGTTTACAGAGTCAGACAAAGCAAGAAAAGCACGGCGGAATAATTTTTCACCTTTCAAAAGCCCATCTTGAGTTTTAAAACTAATTCAAGTATCAAGATGGCTTCCATATTAATAATTATACCAAACTGTGTTGTCTATTCCAGAAGGCTTTCCGTGAATTAATTTTTCACCTTCAAAAGCCCATTTGTTTAACAATTCAAGTTCAGACTCTCCAAATATTAACCACCCTTGGTGCATTTTGTCCACGTTTACAGAGTCAGACAAAGCAAGAAAAGCAGCCGAGAGGGCAACACAAAACGCTGCAGATGAGCCTAGGCCTGAACCCAGTGGAAGGTCAGAAGTGACAACTACAGTGGCAGGTCTAAATCTGACATAAAAAGGAACTGAATTAGGAAATTCAAGTGGGAAGAGCGAAATAATCACGATAAATCACAATACCAAATGCTTACCCTTGAATAGAAGTGTATAACCATAAAAAGGCTGCAATTCCGGAAGCAAGTGCAATTTTTGCCTCTGGGATATTTTGTTCTTCAACCAAAGCTGAAATTGACTTGACTGATTCTATTGAGCAAGAGGTGGGTGTCGAAGCGGAAGGAGCACCTAAGTTAGGTAATGCTTCTTTGATTTTGCCAATTGGCCATGAAAATTCTAGTGCCATATCCTTGAGCTGGAGTTTCAGTGTTCCATCATTCTCTTATGGAAAAGAATGATCCATCGAGAGGTCACACAATTATATTTGAAATCATCAGTTTATTGACTTAAACAAAAGGCAGGGGCAGGGGGAATAGGACTTCAATTAAATTGATCAAAACCTGTAGTTTCAGTAATTTGTCAATAAAATTGGGTAGTTTATGGTGTTAGATCACTATTAGAGGCATCCTATGTTACCAACTTTTACCAATTAATGAGTATAAATGGTTTCTTTAGATAATATATTTAAGTAAACCTGACCCTCACATAATATGAAAATCTTCCTTTTTGCAAATTCATCTTCCACTGACAACTGAACTGAACCAATTCAAGTACAAGAAATGTTGCAAACAAGAGAAGAGAACAAGAATTATGTATGAGAAAACCTCAAAAACTATTCTTTTGATCAAACTAACTCAAATTGAAAATTCTATGACTGCAAATTTAGCACCAAAAACTGGAACCCAAATAACTTTCACACATATCCATATTTAGCTAATCAACCAAAATGTGAACAACATTCAAACAAGAAAATTAAAAATGAAGCGATTAAAGAACGCATATACATAAATTTTACCAGAAGTGGGAAAAGAGAGGGTGACATAGGTGTAGAGATTAATGGATGAAGCGACTGCAGTCGATCCGTGCACCACAGCGTGTTCACCGGAAAGAATGATTTTTCCTGGAGCTCTTGCTTTAACTTCCATCTGTTTTTTTCCGTTTCTCGAATTCCGTTACCAGAAAAAAATAAAGTTGGAATCTTTTAGTAGTTTGTGAGATTTACGGATCCATTAATTGACAAAAGTGGAAGAAGAGGGTGACATGGGAGGAACTGGAACTCAATTTTGGCGGAGAAAACCAAAGATACATTCTCTTTTTTCTCTTTAACTCGTGCACGTTGGTGTGTCACTCTCTGGAGGAGGTAACTGGAGACATTCTCTGAGGGAGTAACTGGAGACATCCACGCGCACGCACGCTCTTGTTGGTGGCGCATAGGTGTGAGTTGTTGAATTGGACCTGTTAGTCATTTATTTAAAAAAATATATCTTTTATCATTAAATACTCTATATATTTAACAGTTTAATATTTTACATTTAATATAGTATGATTCACTATTGAATTATTATACATAGTTTTTTAATAGAAATTAAATAATTTAACTGAATTAAATTTTAAAAAATTAAATAAATTTTTTTACAAAAAAATTAAATAGTTTAACACAATTAAATCTTATATCAAATCAGTTATTTTGAATATATATAAAAGAGTAATCTCGATTAAAATTTGAGGGTAAATAATAATTAGCTTTTTTTGGTTTTTCTAATTTTTACATGATAACCTTTATTTTTTTTTTCTTTTTAATAAATTCTTTCAACATCAGCTAATTCAAAAAATAGATCCGAAATTTCTTTAGTAAATTCTTCAAATATTTTCTTTAAAATATATATTATATTTTTTTTCAATATTAAAAAGGGAAATCGATCTTGAGTCTATATTCAGGCAATATAAGTAATTTTTATTTTTAAGAAGTAGGTAATATAAGTAATTAATGACTAGTTTGTGTTGACGTTTTCAAATTGAAAACGTGAATTTTTTGTCCATTGCAAAGTAATACTCAAACAAAAATTAGTGAGCGACGCTGATAATATTATAAGTTCCTATTTTCATCATGAAATTTTTATTTTTATTTTTTCAAAATATTTTTTCCTAATATTTTTTTTTTCTTTTTTGTAAGAATATAAAGAGAACCTTGGTCAATTTTGTTATTCAACGGCAGTTCAGAAGCGTCCCAGGACATTGAAATTAATGTTGCCATGAAGTCATCAGCACATTTGTTTATTCTTTTTGTAAATTGAATTAAATGGCTAACCCACACTAATCCACCTTACCTACCATGACCGTTGACAAAAGGCCAACTGTGGGCCCAGCCCACTTTGTGTTTTCCCAAAAGTGGACCTTTTACCGCCTCTATGAATCATGATGGAATGTTAATAAGGATGCATTCGGTAATATTAGCTGGTTTACTAACCGTTACTTATTCTGTTAGCCGGTAATTGTTTACGGAATGATTTAAATTAGAAGTGTTCAGTGAAAGCAGCTTACAAATTGAATTGATAATCCATGGCACACTTGTATTATTACAATACATACCCAGTTTGCAAATATGGCATAGTCATACATGATGTAAGAGCAGGAGGATAGTACTGACCTTAGAAGCTAGTCTATTGAGTTGAGTTTCGTGGTTCTGCAACCTGCAACTTTGAAACAAAATGTTCAGTTGAATGAAAAACTTAATAGAATATTATTTCTTACCTTTTTTCTTTTTAAAGATAGAACGCAGAAAACTGCATTCAGCAAGTTAATTTCTCAGACTGACAGCAACCTGTTCTTGTAGAGTGTCGTAAAGAATTTGAACAACATTGAGCAGGAAACCATCTGAACCATTTTTTGCCAACAACGAAATAGACAATGGTAGATCATCATGCATACCCAGTGGAATGCTCACCTGCAGTTTTGATATGATGTTCATACAACATATTTAGTATTGCAAAACCTTCATAAACCCAAGGAAAACGGAATTTCGTCACAATAAGAGCAAGATAGGTCACCTGACAGAATCCTGATACTCCAGCAATAGAGAGCAAGCTAAAAGCCTTTGCACGAAAGACTTCCAGCGTAGTTGGATCTGTATTTAGTTTTGGTGCAGGCCCTGGAACAGTAGGGATAGCAAGGATACCAAAATCCTGTGCTTCAATTATTAGAGAGCCAGTTTAGGTAATAAAAAAAAAAAAAAATAAAAAAAAAAAAAATTGAGAGAGGACTTGCATATGTAATTTACTTAGCAGATTTATAGCAAAATGGAACACTTATCCTATAAGCCACTGATACTACACAACTGAGCCTTGTTCACGACGTTCCAGATTTGAGATAATTTAAACAAAGTCATGTCAGCATTTTAGATAGAATACAATAATGTTCACTTGAAGCATATCAATCCTAAAAACTACTTTCTTCATTAAATACGTGGCATGCTTAATTTTACAAATGTTAATTTGCAAAAAAGCATAGGACGTCACCTGAATATAAATAGGACGTCACCTGAATATAAGCTTAGATCCTTCTTCTTGTTGTTTTTTCTTTTTATTATTAATTAGGCTCTTACTGATGTTTGAACTCGATCTCACAACATTGGAGACAACGCTTGTACCATTGAGCCAAAGAACATTGGTAAAAAGCTTTCTTTTGAAAAAGATTTCTTTTGCTTCGGAATAGTTCAAGAGAGTACCTCAAGAAGAGTTGTCAGGGCAGCAAGTAGTTCTGTCTTCACTGAGTAACAGGCATCAATATTTCCTCCTGTCATTTTAACAGCTTCCCATACTCGTTCTGATATACCTGGACCCAAATCTGGTTCGACAGTAGTAACCCATTCACCATGGTTATTCTTGAATTCATACCTATAAGTCAAGTATCAGTAGTTACATATACAAATTTAAGATCTCTCAGCCAGTACAAACATTAAGAATATGATAATTAGCATTCAGGTCAATGGATCAATCAATTTAGAGAAAGAGTTGTAGAATTTTTACACCTTTCAAGCAACCGCATGGCACTTGAAAGGGCTGCCAATGATGCTATATCATAACCTTGTTCTTTGATTTCTTTGCTCATAAAATGCTTCAGGCTTGGAACTTTGTTCTCAACGAAGTCCCCAAGGGTTAAATGCTTCACAACATGACCTGCATTAACAAATGTAAGGAATTATCTCTTCCCCAAAGTGGATGCTAATGCATTTGGATGCCAAAAGCAATGAAACAAGACAGATTAACATTTCCATGGAGCCAAGTTGCGTGTTCTGTTGTATGCTCCAAAGAAACTCACTTGGTCCATTACAAAACATATAAATGTTCCTTAAAATGCCTAGTGAGTCTGCTGGATTCCAAAATAACTCATAAATAACAGAAAACTGACCCCCGAATAACTTCTCCACTGATTTAACAAGAATTTGGCTAACTCGACCGTTTGGAATGCTTGAGAGTTGAAAACAATCTTCTGCAATAATTATCTGACTTGGTCTGACTAGATCTAAATCAGGCAATTGAAGTAGAACGCGTCCAAATCAGGCAATTGAAGTAGAACGCGTCCAACATGATTCAAAATCACTGGATTCCTAGCAAACCATCCTGGAGTGAAGCATTGATGTCAAAAGAATGAACTGTCTAGTTCAAGCTGTCTGGAAATTATGAAACTGCCATACAACTATGTCCCCTTTGATTGGTAGAGCAAAAATAGTGAACAGACAAACGGTATCAAGTAACAAAATTTAGTGTTGCATGAATTATGTTATCAATCTAGGAAAAAATATCAGATTGAATAATTTATCTAAACAAGTCTTGTCCACTGCCGCTCCATAATTCAGAAGTTTCAAATGCTGTTTTGAAAAGATAAAAGTTCTGAATTTGGAAAAAACCACACAAAAACCTGAACCCAATTTGGTCAAAAATGGCAAATTGATTCAAAAGGAATCCACAAAGTTTCTGGTTACTTACCCACAGTATCGAAACTCTGTGCCATGGGAATAACTCCTGCAGTAGAAACAACACCATGAGAAGGCCGAAACCCTAAAATACTGCAGTATGATGCCGGAACTCTTACACTTCCTCCAGTGTCAGTTCCTGCAGCAAAGACAATCTTTTAATTTGATTGAATTATAATAACCTAAGCTGTATGAAGAGTAGAATCATTTTAGAGTGGATATTCACCTAAGGAGAAGTCTACAAGCTTTGCACCTACTGCAACAGCAGATCCACTGGAAGATCCTCCAGGTACACAGTCTGGAGCACAAGGATTTATAGGCGTTCCATAGTGTTTATTTTCCCCATTTATGCTGCCCCAAAAATAAAAATTATTCACTTGAATAAGAAACAAGTAGCAATTTGAATTTTCAGGGGACTTCTATCAAATAAAAGATGAACAATAACTAAAGTGCATAAGGTACTCGAGTCAGAAGCTTAACACAACAAATATATTTCATCATATTTGTTTAATCATAGCTAAGACAATTACCCACAAATTAGAGAACTGTCTCACATTCTCACCTATATGCCATTTCATCCATAACGGTTTTACCGATACATGTGGCTCCTTCTCTCAAGATAGCCAAAACGGCTGGAGCAGTTGATGTAGCAGCTAAATGTGTTCTTGCCCAATCCGGATTGCCAAATCCAGTTACATATCCATCAACCTCGAATCTAATTACAAACCCAGAAAGGCAAATTAAACACTCAAAACGCACGAGAAGATACTGATTCAAAAATAAACAAAGAAGAAGGGAAGAAAATTTTTTGAGTTAATTCCAAGAATTAAACTCCATATCCATTTTGAAAACATAAGTAGCTAAACAGTACAGATGAAACCCAGTAGCCAGAATTGGCTTATAAGCTCAAGAAAAGCACGAAAACAAGTATTATAGATGAAAATATTCATGAACCCACCATAAAATTAAAGGAAATGAACATGAACCCACCATAAAATTAAAGGAAATGAAAGGAAACCAAAAAGGAAGTGAATTGAAGGACTGACATATCTTTAACGGCAAAGGTAAGCCCATTTAAGGGGAGTTCATCGGATAAGTTAGTTGGCTTTAGCACAAATTTTTCCATGAAAGCTCCATAATCAGGGTTTCTTGCCATGTTTGTTATGCGTTAGTAGTCTGCCTCAACGTTTATTAACAGAAAAAGGATATTGGATAGACAAATCAGATAACTGTCATCAGACTGATCACATGATGACCTATTTAACCTTTCGATTTTAAGCAAGGAGGCTGCTTCCTTAGTTGGGTTTTTCAAGGGCAACGACGGCATTTTAATAATACTTTCATTCTATTTGGCGTTTCTTTATATTAAATGACCAAAATAGCCTTAATTTTAAGTTTGTTGCTGAACAGTTCATGGCTTCATGCAGATGTATGGCATTAAGGTAAAAACATGATCCTGCTAGAGAGGCTATTCAAAAAAGCGCTATGCTGAAAAAACAGTTTCAGAGGCTATTCAAAAAAGCGCTATGCTGAAAAAACAGTTTCAATCTCAATTACAAGCTAATCTGCATTACATGCTCTAATCTATATATATGTATATGTATCGGCAGCACATACACTTGAAATTTGAGATACAGAGTAATGGAAGTTGTGTGGTTCTACATTGGAAATAAAGGTTTCAATCAACTTCATCACAGTTGTCAACCAAGGCATAGAACTCGGGCTTGCTGGGCGTCCATTCATAGGGTTCTACTCCTGCAGCCTCAGTCGGTTTCATCAGAGTCATCATCAAAGATATACAAGTATGGGACTGCTGGTATGGCTACACTAGGTTCTACATCTGCAGACTCACCAGTCGCTCCAGGAGTGTTCCAACCCAGCTGCTGTATGTAAACATCATCGTAAGCTTCAATATTGAAACCTGAAGCAAGAAACAATTCCAACTCATTCACAAATCTGTCTGTTCTTGCAGCTAGGAAAGGCCTTGCTGCATCACAAACTAGAGTCTTGAACTCTTCTTGTTTGGTTTCAGATGTCATCATTTCATGAAGTTGATTGCTCCTAGCAAACATTAAAGCAAGTTATGAGCAAGAAACTTCTTAAAATGATTAGATTCATCTGTCAAACTATCTACGATCTTAATTGAAAGATTTTGAACAAGATGGAAATCCAACTCCTGGAATCAAATTGTAGATTTCATAATTAACTTGCAAGAATTACCTTTTCAGGAATGAATCAACCACACCAAGAATATGATGTATAATAATGTCAACATTCTCTTCCTGCAAGTAATGTAACAGAAGAAGAAAGTCAGTTATTGATAAACAAAGCATCCATAGGCAGCTGAATGCTGAAAAGATTAATATTCCAATTTCAGAAAAAGTGAGGGGCTTCTACAAATGGGATTACTATGATATACATAAACATTCCTCTATTTCCTTTAGTCATCAAGAAATATGTAACTCAAAACTGTGAATGTGTATTCACAGAAAGAATTGGAGGAAACAATGCTTTTAAAATAACAACAGTAAATAGAAAATTGATCCAAATTTAGTTGATGGTAAAGTAGGAAAAAACATCAGTTGATGTTACTTGCAAATCAATATGATCAAGAATTCTTTGGTCTGAATGGGCATCCAATACAATCTCCCAACTGTTTCTTATGCAGTTATGCAGTCATCCGCTAGAGACAGCATTGAGCCATAGAACTGAGAATTATTAATTTTGGTAAAAGCTTTAACTTATCAGCAACACAACTTCATCCATGGTATTAGTTCAAGTGCTTAGAGCATATTAAGTGCATAATACAATAAACAAAAGAATTTCAGTGATATGTTCAAGATGGAATAAGTAAAAGGGCAAAGAATTTTCTTTTTTTTTTTTTCTAAAAAAAGAAAGAAAACAACAAATGAACAGTTGGACCTGCAAAAGAGCTTGAATTTCTCTTTTCAACCAACTTTGAAGCCACTGATTAGGCTGAAGATACTTTCGGGACTTCCAATATCGCGATACATTAACTATGTTGCTCAAGGTACCTGATAGAACATTAGATACCAAAAAGCACATTAAACAACAATTCTTTGCCATGAACTTAAGAATCAAAGCATATAACAAGAAGTGGTAGAAAACCTGGTTCAGTATAATAGCATCGTAATCTGTACTTGTGTGCTTTTGAAAAGAAAGAACTAGAGAAAAAGAAAACAAGAAAGAAAGAGCAGCAAAAGTAACTAACAGATATAAAATGAATTGAAGAGGAAACAATAATACAAAGAGAGATACCTATGCTCATGAGTTTCATTTATACAATGCCTTTGGAATGAACTTCCATCATACCCATAGATTATTGAAAGATTTTCCGTCTGCAAATTGTTCAAACCCTAGCTCCATTAACATGTTTTACACTCACTCTAACACCGAATCTGTTAATCAGAGAAGAAAAAAAAAAAAGCAGCTGGCATTGTTTATTTGAGGCTGAAGCTCAATACAAGAGAAAACAATAGCAAACCTTGCACAAAGGACACTTCACAGAAGAAGGCGCACGAGAATGCTTGCCAGCGACTACTTTAGTCCAACGCAAAATGCAGTTGTAACAGAACTTATCTGAGATACAAGAACAAAAGACAACTAACTAAAAATAATCCCTGTGCACAGACATTGCTCAGTACTCCCATTGAAAACACACACACAGAAAAGCACTCATGTACACACTGATTGCTAGAGAGCTATGCAAAAGACAAGCTCAAACAAGGCTTAGACAAAATTACTATAGAATTGTCAAATACCTGCATTTAGTATTTAAGCGTTATACACAACTACAATCATAAAGGTTTCAAATTGCTTTCTGTTCTGTGCGATTCTTGGCTTAAACCCTAAACCTTAACCACAAATTCTCATATTAAAACCAAACAGGGAATTCCGTAATTGGGTAAAATAATAAACATATGGATTGTCAAAGAAGAAAGAAAAAGGAAGGAATTGAGAGAAAATCAGGAGAACGTACGGAAACAAGAATCTAGATACGATTCCTGAATGAAAGGACCGAGGCATATGGGGCATGGATTTGAATCCTGTGAAGAAGAAGGTTCGTTCTCGCTGAATTGAGAAACAGAGGACATCTTGTAGACGGAGAAAAATGGAGAAATGAGAGGAAGGTGAAACAATCAGGTTCTGGCTTGCGAGGAACGTCTCTGTTTTTTCCGAACGACGGAAAAATTTCCCTCTTGAGCGGAAAGATTTCTCTTTCTCTGTCGTTCAACGACCCGCTAATAAAGCAAAATACAGAATAAAACGACACAGTTAATAACGTATTATTCTTTAAAAAAAAATTAACATATTATTAATTTGGGTATCTTAAAATCTCCTTTTAGAATTCATATAATATCATTGATCATTATAAAGTCTAAAAATGAAAACATTGTTGATAATTTAAGTTGTAATTTTTAGAGATGATCAAATTAATAACCAAAAATTAAATTTTTAATAAATTATTAAAGAACTTGTTTGATATAAATTTCATAAAATTCATTTGTACATTTCAAATTTTTTATTTGATATAAATGAAAATTATGCATAATTTTACATTTTTAATTTCGTAGAATTGATTATATTAAATTTAAAATATTTGACTAAAATTATTTAATTTTACAAGAAAAATTTATGTCTAAATCTTGTTTCTAATGTTTCCAGAAAGTTAATCTCTGTCACTTCTCCAAAATCTCAAGTCATGCGACCCTAACCTTCTTGGCGCATGTAAAACTGAGATGTCTAATTTGTTGACTGCTGTACTTCCAGACCAGCCGTAGACCAATTTCTTGATCATAACTAAGTTTCCTCTTCTTGATAATTTGTCTAAAAGGATGAAGAGAGTAAGCAAACATTTCTGACATATCCTTATATTCATCGAAACAATTCTCCATTGTAATTGTTAAATCAGAAGAAGCAACTTTTTTTTGCCCCACATCAGGTAATGGTTCAGACCAAAAAGACTGTTTCTTTGCCAAGTTTACCTTAAAAGTTTCGTCGGTATCAACATCATGAATAGATACTTCAACAGGCTGCCATGAGTTCAAAGCTTTATGACTATCTGCAGGCAAGTTCTGCAAAATGTAATCCTCAAATTCCCTTGAAGGCGAAATCTTAAGGCTGTCCTCAAATTCCCTTGAGTTCAATACTCGCATATTGAAAACAATATGCACTGATGTTAATTACTCAATTCCTTCCAGGACAGCAAATAATGAGTTTTAATTCTTAAAATGGTGGTCATTCTTATAGTATGCAAAGAGAAAGTAAAGAAAATAATTTATGTAGTCAAAGATTCATGAACAACATAATTTTCTTCTCTGTCATGCTATTAATTTTTATTTCTTCCAGCACAAACTGTTCTGGTTTCTTTCATTTATTATGCTCCTGGCACATTTTTCTTACTTGATTTGCCACGTGTACATAAATAATCTAACATTAAACACCTCATCTCTAGCTTATGAACTTGCCATAATCTAATCTTAATTACATTCGAGGCAATTTATGGTGCAGAAACATAATATCTTCTAGTAAAGCATAAAATGAAAAAGAGACATTTTATTCTGAACTTTAAACAAATCAACTACATTTTAGGACTTTCAAATAAAGTTTATAACGTCAAAGTTAAGACGTACAATGTTTTCACAGATGACAGAGCCCAGATCCCTCCTCTACATAATGCATCCCTTCACTTGTCTCTGAAGGTGCATTTTACATTTTTGCAATGCGTTTAGTTGCACTTTCATATGTTCGACCTCTTTCTTCATCATCTTTATCTCCTTCTGCGGTGTTATGCATACCTTTTCGAGACCCTTACTTATTCTAATACTAGATTGAGCCTTTGTTCTACAGTAATTAGATTCAGTAGCTGTCATTGACTTTGTCATATTTACTTGTTCAAGAAGGATAAGTCGCATTGAAATATACAAGGGCAATCTATCATTCTTCATCGCATGCTGACGAGCTTCTTTCGATAGTTTATGATAGTCCATGGTTCTACACACGCTTGTTCTTTCTTCTTCTGTTAGATTAGGATGTGCCTGCATATATTGCAAAATCAGTCAATTAGATTTACAGGTAAAGAAAATATAAAACTGGATAACATTAAAGACATTCTTTTACATACTTTAAGATACGAGTCAATGGCTCGATAGAGGTTGTCATTGCAGTATCGAGCATCCTTAGGTAACATTTCTGCAAGCAATTGAAACTGTTTAACTGAAAGCTTTTCATCCCGAGCAATCATTGTCAGATAGTCATCCACCAACTTTCCCACAGCAAATACTCTTGATGCCGGTTTGTTTAACACACAAGAAAAATATGTTTCCATTACCCTTGTTACAATTCTCACATCATAAACAGTATCATTACTTCCATAATTCTTGACTAATAGATCTGAAGCTGAACATTTTTCCAACATAACACCTATCCTTTGTTCTAATTTTTTTGAGAGTTCAAAACTGATTTGAATCATCATTCCTAACTTGAGAAGGTGAAGCAAAAAATTGCAGGAAACTGAGTTTTTCTCTTCAGGGAGTACCTTAATCAAACTTTCTGCTGTAACTTTCAGTAACTGATGTGTAAGCTTTTTTGGCAGAATGAGTTGTCCGAGAGGAATTTGAGAAACCCATTTCTTTGTCCAGTTTTCTATGCATGACCCAACAAGTTCTGTTCTCATCCCTTTTCGTTTAATATATTCAATGACTTCAAGAAAATGATCTATTCGAAGAAATGAAAAATCTTCAAACCACCAATTCTTAGATACAAGTGTGTTTTCTGCATCATTTGCTTGACCAGTAAAGCAAAACGCATCATCATCACTACAAGCAAACGTTTTAGGGTCTAAGCAGGCTTTCCAAGCGATGGATTCACAGCATCTTTTCACAATTAGTAATTCCTTGGTCAATGAAGAAATAGTTTCACAGCTTTTCAAAATCTGAAATATGTCTTTCCATGATGTGAACAATATATAACTCAGGAAAGCCTCAGTCTTGGAAATGAGATTTCCTTGTTCAAGATCATCACTCATTTCTAAAAAATTTGCAGCACAATATACTGGAGCAATGTTGGCTGCTGTCAATTCAATTTTCCATCCGTAGCAGAATTTGACCGCTAATTCAAAGATTTCAGCTCCTCCTGGAAAATTGTCTATTTGAATCTTAGAAATAGGATTTTTCTCTCCAATGCTTATTCTTTGGAATATTAATCTGTTCAAATACCCACTTCTTGATACCATAGGAACCTGACCACCCAAAAATGACATCAACTTAGAGTCATGGATTCATATATATACACTCATAACAGCAAGGACAAAAAGACCCAAATCAATCAAAATTGCACCTTATGTAACTGAAAGATGGAATCCCCAACTTGTATGATCAAATCACTTGCAACTTTTGTTCTAACAATCCTGCAGAAGCCAAGTCAATCAAAATTGCAGAAAGAAACCTTAAATTTAGACACAAAATCTCAAAAGAACAGTTTAACTTACCAATTTTTGTTACTTCTTTCAAGAGCTTCAGCAACCATACTCACTTTAGATGGAAAAATAACACACTTATTACCACTAACATTCCTTCTATCGACACTTTTCCTTCCCATGTTAGCCTTATTATTAGAACACCTGTACTTCATTCTCCCTCTTTTGTTTGTTCACAATTTCAAAAGAAAAAAATAGTTGCTTTTGGATAAACAAGCAGGCTCAAAAGATCAACCTTTCTGAGTTTTCTCGAGTTCTCACTACCATTTATATGTAGTACCATAATGCAAGTTCAGACAACTAAAAGAAATACTTGGCTGAAATTAGTTATTTCATTAAGATAGTTTGTTGCCTTTTGCTATCTCCTGTCACTTTATCTGTAAGAGTATTAGATGTGGGTAGTGGACAGATTGGAGCCAACACCATGACTAGTATTTGTTATGCTTTCTTGTCCACTAACCCAAAAGACAAATTGTCTCCTTTCTCACTCAATATTGGCCGACGTAAAACTGGACCATAAAGCGCTCCCCATAGTCCATTCATTCCATCAAAGCAAAGATTATGGGAGAACTGACCCTACTTAAAACTCCATTTTATAGAAAAAGGAAAAGTTCATAGCTTTTGCCTGCTAAGGGGTGGCCCATATTTATTGTAGGTTGCTTCTTTGTTAACACAAGTTAAGGAAAATGTGAAAAAGGGTAAAAAATAACTGGTGCATTCGATAAATCCCCGAAAGACAAAAGTTTTACAGCCCCAGTTTCCAAATTCAAAAAGACAAAATAAAAAAAATATAGGCCCATTGTGTAACGGTCACCAACACCATTTCTTCTTTCTTCTCTGTTGTATCTCAAGGCAATACAATGCCAATGCCCTTTGATTTCAAATTCCAACCCCCTCTTCCAAAGTACTCTCCTCTCTTAAACGCAATTGGAAAAATTATCGTCAGTTACCATCAACGTGTCGATCTCTCATCAAAATCCCTTCTTTTCCACTCTTCACCTTTGCTTTCGCATCAAACCCAAATCTGGAATCCAATTGTTTGTGCAAGTAAGAAAAGAAGGGGATCAGGGTCTCAAAAATTAAGCAAAATTGTACCAAAATTAGTATACATTGCAGCATCAAATCTCAAGATCTTACCAGAACCATTCAATTTGGTAATTGCGGAATTTGGTGGTGGAGATGGAGGGGGTTTAGGGTTTTGGAAGGTTTTTGGAGATGGAAATTCTGATGGGTGGAGAAGAAGAAAGAACACAAATTTACAGCTTTTAGGGATTTTAGTAGTTTGTGGATTGGGATTGTTGTTATTTGGAAGAGAACAACTGAAATGTGAAGTTTTCTTGTGTGGTGTTCTGGCGTCGGGCTTACTTGTCACAGTTTTGATTAAAGGAAATAAGAAAAGACTAAAAAATTGGGTTTTAGGGATTTGCCTTGTTGGTGCTCTGATGGGTTTGAGGTTAAGGAGAAAAGAAATGCAACAATGGCTTCACAGGCTTAGTGTTTGCTTGCCAGCTTTGGAGCTTGTGAAGGGAAAGGGAAGAAATGGCAGAAGAGTTCTATAAGGAAAAGCTTTACAATTTTGTTTTCTCACCATTATATGACGTTTTGTTTTCCATTTGAAAATTTTTTTATCAGTATACGAAGGCCAAGAAGTGCCAATTTATAAAAGCAAAAAATGAGTTGCAAGATCTTGATGTTTGTTAAGCTTGCTTTTTCATTTGTTCTACCACTATGATTCTTGATTTGTTTCGAGGGCCATTAGTTTTTTTTTTTTTTTTTTCTGTTTAATCACCTTTCTTAACAGTTAAATAAAATACCTTTGCATTTCTCATATGATCTCAAAACTGTTGTTAATCAATTGCAGGTAAGAGCTGAAATGTGAACCAGGAGTGGTCCTTTCACATACTTGCCCTTTTGGCTTTTGGCAGTTAATTTTAAGACCAATTTCAGATGTGTTTCCAAATTACTCTCTGTTACTTGCAGGTAAGAGCTATGACAGGGATTTTTGCAGAGATGAACATGGGACAATGCAACTCTTAGTATTACAAAACATATAACTCTCAACAAAGAGAGGAAGAGAGGATAAACAAATGCTTCATGATGGAAATGATCAAACATTGCTACAAAATGGAAGTACTTAAAACATTGCTACATCTTGTATTACAGTCACAAGCACAAATGCTGCACGATGTTACTCCTGTTCATCCAAGTCAAAAGAAGGGCATTTCTATTCTCTTACCATAAATGTCTCAGGCCATTATGTGTCTATTCCAACAAGTTACCTCTCCTTTTTATTTTAGTTGTTCTCATGGAAACCTGAGATCAAGTGATCCTTTCTGTCTGTGATTCAAATTGGCCCTTGCTAACAACTTGAAAGATACAGAGTAAGGGGGCCACTGTTTGCTCACTTTTTCTTCACAATTCCCTCAAGCATTCCATCATTCCCGAAATGACCTCTAAACTGCTTGTGATTAACCGGACCGGGCAACTGGAATGTGATGGAGAAATGACCCGGTGGACATAGGTTTTGTGTTTGCATCCTGAAGATTTGGGAATTCTTGCACACTGTTTTCTCACCAGTGGTCGTCACTCCCTTTATTAGTATCGTTCCATCTGGTTCGATGTCACAACTAAATTCCTCTGCAATAACAAAATCAGTGATTGGACTAGCCATGCAAGATTGATAGTCTAAAAGAGAATGAATTAATGAATAACAGTATCCAAATTCTCAAATTCATAGAACATGAAACTCGATTTCAAATTTGATAAAAAGGGCGACCCAGTGCACAAAGCATCCCACATGTATGGCTCTTGGGAGGGTTGATTTTCATACTTAATAAATTAATTAAATATTTTATATCCTGAAACGTACAATAGTAACAACTAAAGGCAAGCAAATGAATAGAGAATGGTTTAATAAGCTAGTAAAACCCAAATAATGTCACCAATTAAGAAAATGTGTACTAATCTCTGCATGCAATGCAACCGGGGAAAAGGCAAATGATTAAATTTTAAAATGTGAATGGAACTTACTTTCATCTCTTGCTACCCCAGGGAGGGAGACTCTAAAGAGGTAGGCATCATCAGATTCCCCAATGTCCATTAATCCTAAAGCCGGTCCCACCATTCCCATAGCTGCACTCCCAGACAGGGCAACTGCACCTTTGGCAGACGCCAATACATTATCCCGTTCCTTTTGAGTTGTGCTTGGTGGGAGAAAGACCATAGATGGCCCAACTTTTTCAACAGGTTGGGCATCATCTTCAGCTGGCAATGGAGTATCATCAACAACCATCCCAGGTGAGCCAATGTATGGCACACTATTAAGAGGTGGTACTGCAAGTACAGGTTGCTGGTGATTCCGGAACTCTGATTCATTATTTCCTCCACGCATGCCACTGGGCCTGAAGTCTCTCAAAGTTCCCAGATTCAAAATTTTGAATTTGCATGAAAATTTTGCAAAAAAAAAAAAAAAAAAAAAAAAAAAAAAAAAAAAAAAAAGACACTATCGATTAAAAAAAAAAAAAAAAAAAAAAAAAAAAAAGACACTATCGATTATTGCATAAATAGTTGCAGAATCCAACAGCACAAAATTATATGCATCCATAATAGACACAGCTAGTGGAAATTCACAATCAAAAAAGCAAAACAAAAAAACTATTAAGCTTTTCAATTGATTACATCCAAATATCCAGCAAAAGTTTTAGCAAGAACCAAAATGAGTAAGAACAACTTTAAACTAGAATAATTCCAGCTGTTACCAGACACACCATACTTTTCTTAACAGCCATACTCAGTACATTTGCAAATTACAAGTTTGATGAATATATTAACTTTGTGAAGTGATGAGCAAAACATTCGCATCAATACATAAATCCATCTTTATATACCAATTTCAGATTAAAAAATATCTAAAAAAAAACGAAAAAAAAAAAAAAAAGAAACTTGTAGCAATGTACATAAAATAAAGGCATCTTATCATTTAAGCAGCTGTTGTTGCTATGCAACTGTTGCTCTCAAGTAAGAAACCATTGTAAGCCAAGTGAGTAGTAGACTAGTAGTCTTGAGAGATCATTTCTCACAATAGAGAAATTGCAAATAACAAAGGCTTAAGCGCAAAATATTTGAAAATGGTTTAAATTCTGCATTTTAACAGGAGTAATCTATAAGAATAAATTTTCCAGAATTGGAAATAGAAATTGAAACAATACGCTTTAAAATTGAAGTTTTACCATGCAGTATCACAGGTTATACCTCAACATAGGAAAATTAACACCTTAAATCATCTAAAAAGCAAACATTCTCTTAAAATCAACCTCAAAGCTTCCATTAAAAGACGGAAATGCATTTTGTTTATAATACCTGATCGGAGAAGCCATCGGGAGGTCCCGGCGAAATGAAGCAACGGCGACCTTGGACTCTGAGCTTTGCGACCGTTTTCTCTTTCTGTTTCGATTCTTTTTGGAATTTGGCTAATTGGCTCTCTTTCTGTAATGGAAAGGAAACAACATTATGTGCCTTTTTATGGAGATGCAGATATGGTCTGTGCTCTTGGTCGTAACTCGTAAATAATCCAGTGTTTCGCTTCTAGCGTACTCCGTTTCATCATTAAAGCTAGGCCTTTTGCGACATGCTAGAGTTTTAAACGTCCTGTCGTTTCTTTACTACGGTAGATTACATACGGTACCTAATTGTTAGCTTTTAAGCCTTATTTTTTGAAATGATTTTCATGCTTTACCGTCTCATAAAACGACAAGACGTTGAAATTACTCATATATTTTCATGGCCCCACCCAAGAGCATCCTTTTTAATTTTTCTTTTAATAAATTTTTTTTCCAATTATCCATTTTCTGGCATACCATAAAAGACCGTGATTCACAAACAACTCAAAAAGTAACTGATTTCTAATTTTTTTTGTCCAGACATTTATTTTCTGGACTTTTATACCTTAATTTAACCTTTCCAAAACGGAGCAATTAACTATTTATGCCCTTTTCCTTTCATAAAACTAAAAAATTATTTACTCCCTTTCTTAGAAAAAAAAAAAATTAGTCGCTTAATTTTGATTCTCTATTATTTAATAAAATTAAGGATTTTTTAATTGAGATTTAATCTCATTAAATTATTAAATTTTGTATCAAAAAAATAATATATTTACTCTTAAAAACTTAATAATATTGTCGATTAAATATGATCTAGTTAATACTCTCGGTGATGTGAGAGGTAGGAGATCTTGGATTAGAGTTCTCATAAATGTGTTACCCTCTCATTTAGGGTAAAATAACGTAAATAACAACTAAGCCTTAGTTCTAAGCGAGTTCGGATTAGTTATATAAATCATTTGTTTCTAATATAAGTCGGAAACGATTTTGTAATACTTTTTGTGAAAGAAAAAAAATCAACGCCGAATTTTAAAATCATTCAATATATTGATAATAATAGAACAAATATAAAATAGGCAACACCAACTAACTGGGATTTTGTTATATAATATTTCATTTCAACTTTGTTCTATTTATAGTTATATCCTTACTAATATCCCAAAATTATAGATCTTCGGTGAATGGCGACAACTTTCCTCCGAGTAAGTCTAGATTGGCATCTTATCGTTTAGCACCTTCGTAAGTTCCACTACCAAAATATCACATTTACAAAACGACGCATTGTAAAAGTCTAATGGTACATTATCATACCATCTCAAACACGTTTTTTCTTATTTTATCTCGAACCTATACTACTTACATCTTTTATCTATTATGATCATCTTCCATCTTAAATTTGCATCTCCAATTTTTATTTTGTGAATGTGTTAGGCATTCGCTTTCATATAGCATCATCGGCTGCACCATTGTCCTATATGAAACTTATTTTTCATCTTTGGTGAATACGTTTTTTTCCCCTTTTATCCATCATATTTGAATTTTATTAAAAAATATTTTCATCTATGAGAATCCTTTATGGAATTTTAAAGGTTAGATATTTGAATTAATTGCATAAATGATTAAATAATTTAATGAAATTAAATTTTAGAGATGAATCTATAATTTCGTTGGACAACAATAATATGATGGTAATTTCGGCCAAGACACGTAACTGTATAAATAATTAATTGCACTTTAACTATTTACCATACAAACATAACTCCGCTCATAATATAGTGATTACTATTAAAATGTAAACTAACTAGTAAAAATATAATTATTTAATAAAATAAATTTTATAATATTTAATAGTTATTTATTATTTTTAAATAACATACATGAAAATATTATTTTGATAATAATAATAATAAAAACGTTTATAAAGTTAATATCTAAATATAATATAAACGAAAATTAGCTATGAAAAATTATGAAATTAGAAGCTAATTAAACTTTATAGCTAATTCCTATTTGATAATTAGCTATTTGAAAAGTTATTGACCATTGTAATAGTTGAGTTTGAAGCATTATGTTAAAAAATTTATTTTATATATCCTATTTGAAAAATAATTAATTTATTTAATCAAAATCATCTCTAAATTGATGATTGCAATTTTTTATATTTACATTTTTTCTATTCCTACAGGAATATAATTATGTATTTCTATTTTTTAAATTTATAAAAAATAAAGTAGAATAATTTTTTAAAATTTGGTCTTTCATTGGTTTTGACTACAGATGAAACTATGGACTCAGGCAAGTATAATCTCACATACTTTTTATATAAAATTAAAATTGCTTACGTAAGTGCGTGGACCGTCACGGATATTATCAAAATTCCCAGACTGCCCCTGTGGGTTATTTGTAACGGCAACGCATATAGTATCCTGTCTAGCGCCCTGCTGTCTCTCTTTTTCTGTCTCTCTGCACCAAGAACCTGACTTTTATACAGTAACAGTCTTTACTTCGCAAGTGACAAACTAAACAAAATCCCAAGTTTTTCTTTTCATTGGCTTTATTCACAATAACCTCCCTCTCAAAGGTTCGCTTCTTCTTCTGCTCATTTTCTCCTTCGAGTTATCAACAATGTGCATGTTTTTTCTTTGATCATCCACTAATTTGTTATGTGATTTTTGCTTCTCCTCTTTGGATTGCCATTTTTTTATTAACGGGTATGTTTGATTCTTACTTGGAACGTGTTAAATAGTCTAGAGCGATCCGTTTGTTTGTACCATTCAAAATTCTATCACAGTTTTATTGGTGTGTTTATGATAGCATATGACACAATTTATTTTCAAGGTGTTGTTTTTATTTAGTCTGCACTCTTATTTTTAGTGGATTTTAATGGGTAACCGATTGTTTGTTCCCTTGTGTGATTAAGGGGACAAGCCATATTGCATGAAGATTTTGTCTGCATGGATCCTTTGATTGCATGTGTATTTTCATATGTGTTTTATCTGATTCTCATGGCATCTAAATATAACCAATTGGATTCTGGATATAGGAAAAATTAACTTGCTTTTATTTATTTAATAGATTTGTTTAATATTAGTGTTTAAGTGATCCTGAAAATTTAGATTTAACTTCTTGTTTAAATGATGGAAAAATTCAGTTTTTCCCCTCTCGCACAAATTTGTTTAATGTGTTTCAGAAAGAGGGGAATAGAAAGATGCATCTTTATAAGGAAGTTACGCTGATGATATAGCATACAGCTTGTATCCAGTGTAAAGTATGCTTATATGAGTTGCAAAATTTATGTCCTATTGCAATGGCAATGTTTAAATCAGAAAATTAGTCATTGATATATTGTTTTAATTCTCTCTTTTGACCTCGTATTGCAAAGTTATATTGCTTAAATTGCAGAATTTATGGTCATCAAGTTTGTTGAGTTTTTTTATTTGCTAATTAGTAATCCCAGGTTATGATTTACTATATGAAAGAGGAATTGGCATGATTCTAATGGTGGATTGCACCGTTATAATGCATCACTATATTTTTTACTTGTTTAAAGTTCCACCAAAGTTTACTCTTGTTGGAAGTTGGTAGACTATACATTTCTAACATAAATGTACATGACGATTCACACCATTTTTGAAAAATCGATTATTTGTTTCTTGGTTTGCCTTAAATGCTGTTACTAATTTACACTCACAGCTGCACTAATGAAGAGAATGATTCTCTTGCTTGTCTAGATCCTATCTGGATTTTGGTGGCGAGAAGTTTGTGGGAGACAAGCAGAGTTGGGTACTAAATTCCAGCGACAGACCTCGAGGTGGCCAGAAATTATTGTAATCAATCTTTTCATGTTTTCCCTTTCTATTTTTTTTGCTTCGATTATGTCTCTTTATGGCAAAACAAAGTGATATTTTTATTCATTATGTTTACGTGATTGTTACTTGTTCAAAAATGAATGCTGCCTTTTGTGTGCTCCAAGTAGTTAAAATGCTTATGCTTATTGTCCTTAATTGCATATTCTTGGAACTGACAAAGCAAAGCAAAAATATTGCTCTCATAGCATTTTTGTTATATAAATAAGAATATCTCATTGTACTCATTCAGCTACAGTTCTATTGGTTAAAGAAGTCTGTCATGTGGAAGCTTTATAAGACAATTCCTATTACAAATTTAGCAGATTGCCCACTTCCCGCATTTTAATTACCCTTTCTTCAGTTTTTCATTAAACAAAATTATGGTTTGAAGAGATACTAAAACATTTGCGCAAACTAATGGCTAACCACCCTTGTGAAGTCAATGAAAGTGAATAGTATCATTAACTTCCTTAATCTTTCAGATTTTGGTTTACCACTCTAATTTATTTTCCGCATTTCTTTCCTGAGGTTGTTATGGATTAGGCCACAAGTCACTACATGCTTTTTCTGAAAAGTTTTTGAATTTCCACTAAATTCTGGCTTATGAATTAGGCCATAAGTTCCCGTAAGATTTTTCTGAAAAGTTTTTGAATTTCTGCCAAATTCTGGTATATCTTCTGTTATGCAAAATCCAATTGTTAAAAGTATTGCTTATACTTTGTTAGTTGCTAATGTCTGGTATGATGGATAATCCATTCCATACTCCTGTTGTCCTATACCAAGTTGAGTAAGTGTAAATGTTAAAAATGGGTTACCAAATTGGCAATTCCATTAATATCCAAGCAATTTAAAGATCTCGATAACCATGGCAGTTATCAATGGGTTTGTACTCCCTGATCACTGGTTAGGATAATAAATTTTTTATTTTTCCCAGGTCCTATTTGGACTTGATGACTTGTAGCGTAGATCCTTTGGAAAAGCTCGAGTTACCATATATTATCATAACCTATATTTTTGTTATTTTTTCTTTTGGAGTCACTACTTGATCCAATTTTTAGTTGTTTGTGGCAAAGTAATGCTACTATTAAGAATAACCTTACTGTGGTTGTTTTGTAAAAACTGATGCTACTTCTTGTTTATTCAGATCTTATTCTGAAATCCTCTTGCCATTAGCTTCACTGATTGCTCCTTGTTAGGATTGGGACACAATAATGGTTATTCTTTAGCTAAAATGTTTTAACACTAGCAACTAAATTCATGCTCAAACCTGTTTTAGGACTTATATTTACGAAAAGACATAATAAGTCCAATATATTTAAGGTTGACTTGTCCTGCTGGCCAAGTGGACATGGGTTCAGTGCAAAAGTCTGCAGAAGATTTCTACTGAAGTAAGCTTCTTAAAGTGTGGATTTTTGCTGCATGGTTCCTTGTTCTTCATCTTGTTTTGTTTGGTTGAAATTTTTTGCAAGCTTGTTACGTAGCAAATTCTCTTTCACCACTTCAATGCTTGTCATCTCGAGCTGCTAGGATTCGTGACTCCACTTATTCTGATTTTGCTAACATCCTTCGATGACAGGTCAGATTTCCCTCTTCTTTGCTCTTTCTACCTGAATCCAATTATCTTTCCATAGTGATGTATTCCTAAGTCTAAATTGAATGTGATCAGTAGGACATTAGGATCCATCACACAGCTCTGGTGCTGTGTTGTTTGTAAAACAATCACAACCTCCCTACTGATTCATATTCACTATAGTGGACTGGCATGAATCAATTCTTTCATTGATGGAATTGCCCATTGAAAATTTCTGCATCCTGAAATAACAATCAGACTTCTCTTGGATCTTGCATTTCTCTTTTCCACTTTCACTTGTCCATAATTGGAGACTTTGTTTTCGGGAACAAAAAAAAAAAAAAAAACATTTCCTTTGAAATAACAATCAGGACTTCTCTTGGGATCTTGCATTTCTCTTTTCCACTTTCACTTGTCCATAATTGGGACTTTGTTTTCGGAACAAAAAAAAAAAAAAAAAAAAAAAAAAAAAAAAAAAACCTTGCAATCACAGGGGCCAAAGTCACACAATGCCATTGAAATAGATAGACAATTGTTATGCTGTCATCCACCATCTAACTGTAGATTTCAAATTCACCTAAACCTATTTTCTTCAGTAGTTCTTTCAAAGATTACATAGCACTTGTTATTTTCAGAAAATGCTGTCATATTTAGATCCATCTGAAGTATGGAAAATGTATCATTGCCTCTATTCGGACGGATATCATAGCATTAGTCATGACATGAGAAGATAAAAAACGGAAAACCAAAAAATTTTCACTGATCTCAAACAAGCCACTTTTGTATGATCATTATTCCTTTTTATAAACTTCTTGGTTCATAAATGCTGTCTGAAGCACATTAATTTCAAAAAGAAAATGTTTGTAGTAGGTTTATATGCTTCTGGGCCTAGAAGACGGTCGTCTCTTTTTTCACCAGATTTGACTCCATATGAGTCTTTCTATTTCTGAAATTTTTTTCCTTTTTCCTAGCACTTTTTCCAAGAACATCACATGTACATTATGCACTGACTTGTATAATGGAATCAATGAGGAAAATTTTCTAGCTGGAAGCTTGTAGGGACCTTCATTTGTCAATCGGAATACTATTTATAGCCATAAAATTCTCGATGAAGAAATTAGCTCTTTTCCAGGCTTAACTTCACAAACTTCGTCCTTAAAAATCTTCACAATAATTTGCATCTTGTTTGGGAAACTATACCTTGCAAGTTTAAATGGCAGCTCTGACATAATAAAATGGGTTGATGAATGATGATGCAACCTGCAACTGTGAATTAAAACCTTGATATTTTATTACTATTGTGGTGAAACGGACTATGATTTCAAAAGGAGTTGAAGACAGATGAATATTACAGATCTACGATGATGCTGGTTTGAATATATACAAAATCAGCACGACAAAAATTACTTCTAAGAAGAAAATAAAGTTGAGCCAACAAGTTTGTCTGTTGAGAAGGTGGCAGGTGGCTGGGTTTGTTTTTGTTGAGGAATTGCAATTTACTTGACTGATTTTGAATATAGGCTTCTGATAAATGGATTCTACCTTCAAAGAGATATTGTTTGTATTTAGTTATATGCTTGTTGTTCAGTATATGGAAAACGTTTGATGTTTCTTTTATTAAGTGCTGCAACTTTCTCTTGCAGATTTCTTCTTTATTATACTCTATGGAAACACAAGTTCGGGCTGCAAATCCTGTTGTTGCTTCAGGATCAGAATCCTTCTCTATATCAAGTAAGATGCCGAGCGGTAACCAGCGTTTCCTCCTCACAAGTTCGGGCTGCAAATCCTGTTGTTGCTTCAGGATCAGAATCCTTCTCTATATCAAGTAAGATGCCGAGCGGTAACCAGCGTTTCCTCCTTTACTTTATCATTGGTACCTATTTTGGGCCCGATCTGAAAGAGGAGAGGCCACAAAAATCGATTTTGCAAAGAATAGCTGAGGGCCTCCCAGCATATACCTCAGATCAATTAGCAGGTTCACACATGAAAACAGTGGAAGTGGAGCGTGTCTACTATTATGCACTTCAGAAGGCAGACAAATCTCTTATTGTTAAACTACATCAGTTGCACAATTTCTTTCAGGGCACTATTACCACCTCTAAAAATGAGTCTGGTGCTGTTTACCCTCAATTTCCTGATATATTTCCTCCCCTGCTGCATCCCCAATACCGGTTAAATAGGTGCAAAATTGTTGAAAACATAGTATTCATCAATGACCCAGATACCTCTTACATTAAGCCAGAAGACATTGAAAGGTTTAAGAGGATAACCGGGCTCGAGATTCTTCTATTCGATAGAGATGCAACAAGATACAAGACATCGCTGGATGGCAGCTCTTTGTATAATGTGGCAGTGCACAAAGGTGAACCGGTTGGAGGATTGACTCCTCTCAAGTCTTCTGATTGTTCTCAGAAGGGAAAATGTTCTGCTAGCACCATGCAACCTGAGGATCAGCATGTCCATTTTGTGGAGCCTCTTAGCATTGTGCCATGTACTACATTGCCTCCGGAGCATAGTCATACATCTCCTCCGCCAACCAGAGATGACACCAGAACTATGGGGAAGGTCAGTCCCGGAATATTATTTCTTCCTCCCTTCCCAAGTAAAGAAGATTTGGAAAAAATTGTGGCTGCTGGAAAAGGTGGATTTGCATTGACTGGGAGTGCTGCTATGGGACAGGTGGGACCCATTATTGGACTCATGGATATTGGTGAATGCGATGATGCATATATGTTTCGCATATCTCTTCCTGGGGTGAAAAGAGATGAGAGTAAGTTTCTCATTAGAGTTGAAGCCTTGATAAATTCATTACTGCTTTTCACGAGTTTTGCCTTTATTTTTATTCTAATTTAAATGGAATTGCTCTTATTTTCCATGTGTGTCTTCTTGCATTGTAATATTTGAGAATGTTTACAAATGTTATCCTCAATTCAGATGGTAGATACCCTTTTGTTATGACGGAACTAACTTGATTATTTTTCCAAAAAGCATATTACAGTGTTCGAGTTCAAATTGTAATTGATCCATTCACCTTGTAATTTTTGCATTGCTTCATTGTTAAATCTTGACATTTTGCTTTATCATTAACCTTTTTAGCTTGCTTTGACTCATTGATAAACTGTTGTTCCTGACTGCAGAGGAATTCAGCTGTGGAGTTGATGCTGGTGGTAGGGTTCTGATAAATGGTGAGACGACAACCGGCGAGAGGACTGTATGCAGGTTCTCACAAGTCTTTGAAATGCAATCAAAGAACCTTTGTCCACCAGGAAAGTTTTCTATTGCATTTCAGCTGCCAGGTCCTGTTGATCCTGAGCAGTTTTCTGGTAACTTTGGTTCAGATGGGATTCTGGAAGGGATTGTGATGAAAAGATAGATGATGGTGGATAAGTGTTAACCTTACAAGCATGGACCCCTGCTATTTGCTGGTTTGGAAAAAAAAAAAAAAAAAACATAGTTTGGTTTATATTTTACAAGTTATGGAATGAACTTGAACAAAATACATGCAATGTTTAATAGTCCCCTTCCCCCCCCCCTTCCCCCCCCCCCCCCCCCCCTTTTTCTTCTCATGGTTTCACCATGAAAGTAAGCTTAACATTAGCATATGCAGTACTATTTCGTCTTGGCAACCACAAGGATAACCCTTTTTCTTCTCATGGTTCACATGAAGTAAAGCTTAACTTAGCATATGCAGTACTATTTCGTCTTGGCAACCACAGGGATAAGTTGGTAGATTTTGAACAAGAGAAGTAAATTAGGCAGTGTTTATTTATTTATTTGTTTTTGAAAGAAAATAAGGCAATCTTTTTGTCTGAATACCCATATTCTAAATGTGGTTATTCAGACAAAGTATGGGTTTTGCCAAATCCCATGATTTGGTTGGTGAAAGAAGAGTATGAAGACCATGAATTTCAAACAGTCTCATCTCATCTTCTATAATCCTTAACGTAAAAATTCAAAACCCTAACCCTAGCATTACGATAATTACGCATGTGGACTCTTGTGCAAAATCTTACATCAAAAGAGATGTATGAGCGTCTGAGATTTCAGTCTATAGAAGCTCTTCTTGTTCTCCCTCTCTGTTTGGGTGGGATTAACCCCACATGCAAAGGTTGCCATTTGCCACAAAACAATTAATTCGACAGAACGGCTACCAAATAGACAGCACGTAGCAACATTAAAGGAAAGTAATCCTGCTATATACCAGACGAAAATCCAAGCATTGAAATTCAACATTTATACAAGGCTGAAAATTAAGTATAGATCCAGCGCTAAAAAGAGTTGAAACAGTTCAGTCTAAATATTATATATGCAAATCTTGCGAATTCTGATCTCCAATCTTGACCATACATTTTGATTGCTGAAGGCCTCTACTTTCAGTTTCATTACTGGGAACTTCTCTTTTTTTTCTGTTTGACATTCACAACAGGTTTCAATCAATAAACACGTAATCAAATTAACGGAACAAGGGCACTGGTGGGAAAAGAAACAACTGAAACAAGAGAATGCAAGAGGAGAGTCAAAGATATTTTTAATTTGATATATAACTAAATCAGTCTTTCCATAAGAACAGAGTAACAATGGCATAGACATTCATATAGTTAGTAAACATCAAACCTAGGAGAGATTCAGCTTTCCAAAGTGGCAAATAAAAAGAAATGTTTTAAAAGAAATGAATCAATTTGAAAAATCAAAGAAAGCAAAACCAGCAGCTAGGTTCGATCCTATGTAAGAACCAGAATTCTAAGTAGAATAAACATGTCATATACCAAGACGTTGGATGGAAGCAATAAGATCATCTGTAACATTACAACTACAACACCACTCCAGGAAATTTTCACCAGAAAATATAATCATCATTTTGGAGCAGTCACCCACACATCAGTCTACAAGGCTTGCTAAAATACAAGAATAAAGAGTTAAGGAACTATAACTGCTATCAATATGCATGAAAGTCTCAATATGTTCATATGACTGTAAATGGTAGTTTTGAACTTTCAAACACAACTTGCATGCTGTATTATCAGATAAGTTAAAAAGAGAACTTACAGTTCCTCAACTTCCATATACAGTCACTAATTATCTGAGGGTGATTGTTGCTGTTCTGAACCCTGCTGTGGCCACATCTGTTGTGCCATATAGGCATGAGACTGCTGGGCAAACATAGGTGGATCCATGACAGGTTTACCCATTATCATACCAGTACCAACTTGAGCTGCATGCTGAGGTGGCATATAGCCGTATGGGAGTGCATCAGCACCAACAGTCATGGCTCCTCTTGATATTGATGCCAGTACTTCGTCTTTCAAATCCTCCCTTGGCACAATATCAACTAAGAAATCAAATATATCAGTTCTTGTGATGGCTGCTGCAATGTCATTCTTTTGTAATGTCCTCCTTTTATTCTCCTCTGTGTGATTCCAAGACCTCAAGGTCAGTTCTAAAATAAACATTTCACATGCCCTCGCAAAAACAACTGGTGCCTCAGCTGATATCATCCTCACATCCTCATCAGCCTTCATGATCTTTTTGATCCTTGCTAGGGGAAGGCTATGATTCTTGAAGTCAGCAACTTTGTCTACTTCTTGATATTGATTTGCCCAAAATGACTGGAGCTGTTGCTGTAGTTGCTGCTGCTGTTGATGTTGGATTTGCTGATAGGCAAGTTGATGCTGCGCAAGCTGAGCTCCTGCTGGCTGACCAGTAGAGTGAATGGTCCCAACTGATGAAACTGATCCTGGATTTTGGGCTGAAGACATTTGGTTTGGTTGATAAGGGTTTGTCCCGTAAGGCATTTGACCTGCAGAGCTCACTACCCCTATAGCTGGGGGCTGTCCATGCCCTTGCTGATCCATTCTGATGCAGATAAATTCAACGACACTTAATTTAGTGCCTGTGCTTTTAGGGAAAAGAGAAGAAATATTAAAAGAATTGAGTTTTGCCCATTTTGTAGCATACTATATTACAGGGTGCTAAAGAAATCTATTAATGGAGATTGTTTGAATTGCAAATTTGATTCAGCTAAGATGTCAGCAAAACTCCAACTTTCTACCTTCCAAATACTATTACAAAAATAATCAGAAGTAATGTTTTTGAATATCATATACTCCAAAAGCAAAAACAAAAACAAAAACGAAAAAAACAAAAAGAAAAAGAAAAAGAAAAGAAGAAAACTTCATTTTTTCTACATTCTTAACCAAGAAAGTAATGATACATGCCAAAGAACTAAGCATCATCGTCATTTTTTTTTTTTTTTTAATTTTAAATTCCTGATAAATCATAGATAGCCGTTTTCTATCCCAGTAAAAAAACTGTTCTTTTAGTCACTCGCCCAAAGCAATATACCCCCTTAGTGCCAATGAAAGCCAAAAATACCAAGCACCTCACCTTTTTTACTCATTTGCTTAAAAGAATAAACACCATTTATCAGCATAGTAGTACAGGTAAATTGGAAAACTTTATCAAGTAGACCAAAATGTCCCTACAGTAATTGAGTTCTATATTTTGCATAAGGGGAAAAAAAAAAAAGGGAACTTCAACTCTGGAATCATATCAAATATAGCTACCTAATCACCCCAGTAAATTTCAACAGATTTGTCTAACCTTTGAATGAAATAAAGCTCTATTTATCAAAAGAAGTTGTCCTATTAGAGAAAAAAACTTTAAATTTCAAGCTTCCATGTGCCAGAGTCTAACAGATAAGGTAAAAAATTCCTTAAAATTTTAGGATTTTTAGAAGGTAAATCAAATTAAAAACCAAAACAGACGTGCAAGGGGAAGGCTACTAGCCTACTTGTTTATTAAGATCATAGCAGTTTGACTGATACAGTAGTTTAAGCAGAAATATACCTGGCAAAAGAGAAATTAAGTAAAATGGAAAATTTACTGGTATCACAACTCTTGCCTTTTTTTCCAAATTAAGAAAAGAATTATAACTGAAAATACAGCCGGGACAAAAACCCATAAAATCTATGGAGTGATATATGCCCACGATCACTCGCATATGTTAATGATTACTACAAGAAGAACATGATGTTACCTTTTCTGGTTACAGAGCTAAGCTTGTGCTTTTGCTTGCAAGATTGAGGGCCCTGAAAACAATTGGGGAAAAAAGGAAAGAAACTTCTAGAATAGGATGAGATATGCGAAAAAGATCCGATTTTTATCAAATTCTAGGGTTTTTGAAGGAATCAACAGAATCAGAAGTTTTCGTCACGGTTGGTGATGTTATTCCGTAAAAATGTTTCATAGGAAGTAACCTAAAATAAATGATTAAACTAATAAAAGCATTGGAACAAAAAGCTGATAGTGTTTTCTTCGATTCTGACTCGTTTTGTCAGAACCAAACTTCTTTTTTCCTTTTTTGTCCTTGTTAGAGTTGGCTTTTAACTGCCAGTCTGTTTTGGAGTGTTTGGCCACATGAATTAGAATAACCTTTCGTTTAAATTGAGTAAAAATCCAGCCTAGCTTAGTTTTAGTTAAGTGCTCTTTACTTCCTTCCATTCAATAAAAGGAAAAAAATAGTTACATGAATGAGATAAGAAAAAAAAAAAAAAAAAAAGCATTGGAACAAACACAGGCTGTATAGTGATCCTTTCTTCGATTCCTGACTCGTTTTTTGTCAAGAACCAAACTTCTTTTTTCCTTTTTTTGTCCTTGTGTGGATGTTGGCTCTCACACCTTGCCAGTTCATGTTTGGAGTGTTATGCGTCCACATTGAAATTAGAATAACCTTTCGTTTTTATAATTGAGTAAATCCAGCTAGCTGTGACAGATTTTTATTGTTAATTGCTCTTTTTACTTCTTCCATTCATAAAAGGAGAAAAAAACGCTCTAACATGAATGAGATACAGAAAAAAAAAAAAAAAAATCCTCTCATGAGTGAGATGTAAAGGAGTTTAGTATATTCTCATAAAAAAATCCTTCCTTTTAAAGAAAGTTCTTAGACTAGAAACCCTTGTATTGTTAACGAAGATGGATCTGAAAATTTTTAAGATATCAATTTAAATGCCGAGCATTGAGTCGAGAAATTATGAGAAACACAAAACAAAAAAAAAAGACACCAAACCACATTAGCTCATTTTTATTTTGGGACACCAACCCAAAAATTGGTATAAGATAATTTCTCAGCCGAAATTCTTTCAAGAATGGGACATGAAGTTTAAGGTGAATCTCGCATCTTGTAAAGAAAGTTACATTTCCAAATATGACATTGCACATTTGCATCTCTTTCTATATAATAAAAGTTGTTTAGTGCAAATGGTTTAAATTGATATCACAAGCTGTGCATCAATACTAGCAGCAGTTGACCATTGAACCTCATTAAAAAAAAACATTATTCACGGTGCAAATAAAAATTACTTAAAAAAAAAAAAAAAAAAAATCTCTGAGTGAGATTGTAGGGTTTAGTATATTCTCATAAAAAATCCTTCTTTTAAAGAAATTCTTAGATAGATTGTATCTGTTACGAGATGGATCTGAAAATTTTTAAATATCAAATTTAAATCGAGCATGAGTCGAGAAATTTATGGAAAAAAAAAAAAAAAAACCAAACACATTAGCTCATTTTTATTTTGGGACACACCCAAAAATTGGTATAGCTATTTTCAGCAATCTTTCAAGAATGGACAGAAGTTTAAGGTGATCTCTCTTGTAAAGAAAAGTTACATTTCAAATTGAATGCAATTTGCATTTTCAAAATTTTATGCAATGTTAATTGATATCAAGTTGACAACCAACAGCATTGCCTTGAACTCATTAAAAAACATTATTCACGTGCAAATAATTACATTTTGATACAGAGTTTCAAACTCATCAAAGAACATTTTTTTTCATGTGGAAAAGATCTGAACTTTACTTCTAAATTAAGAAAATGTATATATTTTAACCCTACTACTGTCCTAAATTGCAGAGGAAAAGGATATATTTGGAATGCTTAGGTATATAATCATAAACTAAGCATCTATCATTGAAAAAAACATTTACAGCTAAATGTCAACCATCAAAAGTTCATGGCTCCTCAACACCAGGAAGAAATGCCGACAGCTTTACTGTTGTACCCAACAATAATACGTTGGCTAGACTGTAAGTAGATATGTATGAACTAAAGGTAAACAACCATGATCACGTATAGTTCTAGTTAAGTCAATCAGAACAAGGTAATAAAAGCAAGATGTGCAAAAAAAAACTAAAGATAGAAGAAAAATTTCACATTAGTTAGTTGAAGGATAATACATAGATATGCTGCTCATACTTTTCTACCACAAAGTAGATTATTTTCAAATGAACCATCATGATATTTAATTACCAGTAAAGGACTTGGAAATTAATGGATAAATAAGGAGGAAAGACCGATTAAGTAACATAGAAATCTTGAAAACTATCTATCTATGCAGATTACAGATTAAAAGCTCCATAATCCTTGCAATTTCCTCTGGCATCAATCCGCATATACTGCAACTCCCTTACATATAGGGGCGAAGATTTTTTCTATAATTTGGTTTAAACAATTAAGCAGTGGCTGTGGCTCCACAAAATGTTGACTTAATGAATTGAACAAATTATCCTGAGAACTTGGCAATGACTAAGCTAACTATCATGAAAAATACATAAAGGCCAACAAGACAAAATCCCCAGAACCTAGGCACTCGAAATCTGGACCAAGTGATAACTAGCAAAGATCCCATCAGGCTCAAAAGCAAGAATACAAATGCAATCACAATGCCAGTGTGTAAGTGAAGTTCATAAGCTTTTGGATAAAAGTCAGCTGTTTGAATCACCAAAGCTGTTCCAAGTCCAACAAGCATATTAAACATTGGCCCAGCAAAGCACCCAGCCATAGCCATTGCTGGTTGGCCTGCTCTGGCAACTGCAACATCAGCCACAAGATCGCCCACTGAGTTTCCCCAAGCAAGTACAGTAAGCCCAAGGAGTGAAGGGGGCACTTCAAGAAGCATCCCAAGTGCTGCCAAGCAGTTTAGCAGCTCTCCAGCAATAGCAGATATCCAAAATACACTCATTACAAATGCAACAAGCACAACAGGTATTTTCTCAGTCTTTGGAGGTTCCTTTTCCAGTATGAAGTGAACAACTGCCATAGATGAGCTTGCTAGGAGCACTACGAACCATAGTGGGAAATGGGTGCTTGACAGGAGGAATGCTATGGGATGATCTAATGGCATGAATGACTTGCAAGCATATAAAAGTGCTAGAGGGCAAAGAATAATGTTGGCAGACGTGTAGAACCTGGTCCATTCTGAAGGTGCAGTTTGGGGAATTGTCAGCTTTAGAACAAATGAGATTGGATGCTCCCATACTTTTGAGATCTGTAAGAGAGAAAAAGAAAAAAAGCCATATCAGATAGGAAGTTGCTTTCACCTCTGCTCCAACATAAATATAAGTGTCCCAACTCAAGAAAATTCAGATATTATTCTATTATTCAGATATCTATTCTCTTGTCCACGACATTGGCAGAGGATGAAAATGAAGGAGAAACATGAAAATTTTACACTTTGGCAGCATAAAGAAAACCTAAACCCCAAATCTCCAATCAGGCTTCAAAAAGAGAAAAAAAAAATTTATCAGCCTAGTTCACACAAAACACCATACAAACTGAGTAAGCTCACTTCTCATAGCTAACCAATCAACTTAGGATTCAAAGCAGCCAAACAAACATCACGGTTATCTAAATATTTTCAACAAAGCAAAATCATCAAATAAACCTAAATATTTCATCAGTTTCCAAGAAAAATATAATAATTACCTTTCCGTAAGTCCTTGCAAACCATCCAGGATCATGCTTCACATCCTCCAAACTATCCACCACGACGGCTCCACCTCTTTCACAATCTATTTCTCCTCCATCCCTTCTATTACCACCACCAATTCCCAAATCCATCCAAAACACAATACCAACAAAGAACATATAAAACCCAACAAATCCCATAGCTTGCCAAAATGTAATCTCCCCACTCAAATACACATAGAATAAAAACAAAGCTGCCACCAAATAAAACCCCACGTCTCTCACAAAAGACCCAGGATCCACATTAAATGGTGCAGCATATATCGCCACGAATCCAACCACAAAAGCAGAAACAAAAGTACCAGCAGATAATATAGCCCCAAACCCAGTTCTATACTGCCCAGAACGAACTGCAGCCAGAGAGGCAAAAACATCGGGCGCCCCATTGCCTAAAGCCAAAAGGGTCACTCCACCCATACTGGGAGAAAGGTTTAATTGATTGGTGAGTTTAGTGGTGACAATAGAGAAATGGGATTGGGCTGTTTTGATGAGGATATAAAAGTGAAGGAAAATGAACGAAGAAAGACAAGGAATCGATAGGAAAAGCTTCCCATTGAAGAGGCAAAAGTGGAGGGAGAGGTAGTTGAGGAGGCCATCGGTGGGGGGAAGAGAGGAGCAAGAGAAGGCCAAAGTCTGGTTCTGGGTTTGGGAGATGAGAGATCTATGTGGGATTGGAGGAGATATGGAGAAGTGAAATGGAGATTTAGAGAAAAGAACAGTGGAGAGAAAGATCAGAGACAGTGCTGCAATAGAATTGAGGAGGGATAGTGGGGGAGAGAAGGAGAAGGCCATGCCATTTCACAACAGATGGCTTTTCCTCCTCTTCGTTTTTTTTTTTTTTTTATGCCATTTCAACAAAACAGATGGCTTTTCCTCCTGCTTCGTTTTTTTTTTTTTTTTTTTTGCCCCGCAGGTGTTAAGCGAGCGACTGTATATGTTGGTACTGTTTGGGCGTATCAGTTTTGAGTTTTTGAACTGAAAAAAGTTACGAGCTTTGCACTTATCGGTGTGGCCGCTTCGCAGCTGATTAGGATTGGAGAACTGTTAGATTCTTTTGATAAAAATTCGTTTTTTTTTTTTTTTTGCCCCGTGTTAAGCGAGCGACTGTATATGTGTGTACTGGTTTGGTATCAGTTTTGAGTTTTGACTGAAAAAAGTTACGAGCTTTGCACTTGATTAGGATTGGAGAACTGTTAGATCTTTGATAAAAATTATGGAGATCTTTGGTTCGCCTTTAGATTTAGATCATGGGATGTTCAACATTTTTTTTTTTTTGACGCGTTTTTCCCAAATAAAATAACATTATCAAGTGTCAATCTGCCAAAAGCAAGAAAGCAACCGTTTTTGGGGGTTGATAATTGATATAGGAACAGGAACCAGCAGGATTGAAACCTGAAGCTGCCCTGTTTGTATCGAAAAATTGTCACTTCTTATCAAATATCTTCATCGACACATTTCATCAACCGAGTTACCGACCTGCCCACACCGGTGAGCTAGTAATGCGAGATCCCTTGCAGTATTTTAGTTGGATCTAAGGAATTTTGCTATCCATCAGTGACATGAAAAAAGGAAGAAAGGACGAAATAATTCTCTTTGGATTGCATTTGAACTATTTTACACAAATTTTGAACTGTACAATAGTATGCATTATACTAACAAAGTTACTAAAAATCAAATGCTATCGACAGAGCTTTTTGAATAACCATTTCCGCCGCTGATTTACATCCATTCCTACAAAAACCTTGGCCTTTTTCTCATTTTCTAAAAGTTGACAGGCTTCCAAGAAGAGCTCATCGTCCATATCTGGTATAGCTTGAAGTGCATCAACAATGACTTCAATTGATATGTATTCTTTTTCCTTCTTACCTTCCATTGTTTTGACTATGTGTGCCTTCCGACCAAGTGCTTCCGGATAAGTCAAATTCTGTCTTTGAACTTTCCTAGAAGCTACTGAGGTTGATGAAGTTGTGGGTTTCCATTTTTTACGATAATCAGATACTTCAAATTCTCCAGTTGGATATAGTGCATCTCCATAAATATCATCAAGCCCCATGTCTAGGTCATTGTTGTCAATCTCCATCTTTGCACCATAATTACTTAATCTTCCAACTAGCACTCCATTACCGTAAATCATACAAAGATCATTATAGCTACTTAAGATTCTATCCCTATACTTGATTGCACCTGGATGTTCCTGCAGAAAAGTTTCATCATAAGAAAAGCAGCCAAAAAAAAAAGGTGGTAATTCAATGAAGAACTGTTACAGATCTATTCTTCTCATATCAGTCAGTCCATTCACATTCCTGGATACTCTTTCTTTAAAGGTCAAGTGATCTGAGAGATCCAACGACACCATGTTTTGGGGTTTTCCTTTTTTTTGGCATGGGAGAGGAGAGAGGGGGGGGTTCAGGGAGTTGGAGTCGGAAACTAGAATACTTGTAGTAACCAGTTATGTTTAAGAAAGAAACACACCTTGATATAAAATTGCCAATCAATATCATCAGCTATTATAGTTTGCTCAGTTTCATCCCAATAAAAACCATTTTGATTGAGAAGATCTGTAATGTTGTTATACTCTTCCATCAAGCTAAGGTACCAGCTTTCCACAGCATCTTTGTCACATACAAGGCCAAGTTGTTCATTGAATGAAGCAATAATCCAGGACCATGCTTGCTCATTCAATGTTTGACCAACCTTATTCCCTTTAAGCACCTGCTCTAACACGAGTTCAATGAAATAGATTTCCATTGACTTTGTCCAATTTATCTGTTGAGGGTCATAATCAACTGGGCTTGGATCATCATCCTCAGCTGAAATCCAAAGCAAAGATGAGTATAGCAAAGTGTACACAGCCTTAGGTCATAATAATGCTTATAGCTATATATCTTCTACTCAATTCAAACTTGGAGGGCACAATGTCTGTGCAAGTGTGTGTATGTGCTTGTGGAGAGAGAGAGAGAGAGAGAGAGAGAGAGAGAGAGAGGGAAAATACACACCAACATTTAGACCCAAGACATAGTCATCAGTGTCCATCAAGTGACATGAGTAATTGAGTCTTCCATTATTGTTTGTATCTCCAAAAATCAAGAACAAATCATTATAATTTGGGAGAGCGCTATTGCAGTATGAACGGGCATCTGGATTTTCCTGCACTAAACAAATGTAAGCTATGAGGATCTTGTGGATTTTCATTCACCAGATCAATAAACTAAGAAATAAGCACCTTTGCATAAGAATTCCAGGTATCATCATCAGCAATTATCATCTGTCTCACTTCATCCCACTCAAACCCTTTCTGATCAAGTAGATTTTTCATACTACTGAATCGCTTCCCCAAAATCATAAAATGACTCCTTAAAACATCTTTATCATACTGAGATCCAAATTCAGCACTAAACTTGGCAACCATATTATTCCATGCTTGTTTATTAAATCTTAGATTAACCATACTTCCCTGGCGAACATGCTCTAGCATAAGATCAATGAAAAATCGGTCCATTGGTGGAGTCCAATCAGTTCTCGAGCAACAGTTATTGTTAACTTTGGCTCCTTGAACAAATTTCAGAACAAAGCACAATTTTTAAAAGTGTTAAACGCGAAATATCCAATCACTGCAGTTGATGCATGATAACATGTACTTCATCATACATACCTCATATGTAACACTTACTCTATACAGATATTAACATTGAATCACTGATAGTAACCTCACGTTAAAAAAGCAGGTAACAAAATAAAAAACAAAAAGGAAAAAAGCATGGAGGGTATCACAGAATGCAAAGTGCTAAAGAACTCTACAAAAATAAAACTCACAATCACCACTGCAGCCAATACCTGGGCCTGATTGATGAACCCCTCCATCTGAATTTGAATTTCCATAAATCAAGTACAAGTCATTGTAATTTGGCTTGCATTCAGTTTTGTATGATCTAGCATTGGGGTTCTCCTGCATTTAGACCAGAAGTTAGCCACTTGGTTGTAATTGGAAATAACATAAATAAAATAAAAAAACTAAAAAAGAAAGAAAAGAAAGTACCTTAATATAGACATGCCAAACATCATCACAAGCTGTGATCAACTGCTGGGTTTCATCCCAAGCAAATCCTCTCTGACTAAGTAAATACTTCATATCATTGAACATTCTCCCTAAACTTCTATAACAACCCCTCAGGACATCTTTGTCCAGTTTTAATTCAAATTTTTCCCTGAACAACAGAGCCATATCTATCCAAGCTTGATCATCTGAAATGTGGTCAAGCTTATGCCCTCTAATCACTTGATCTAACATAAGGTCAATAAAATAGCGGTCCATTTTAGGTGTCCAATCAGCCCTTGAACAATCACTATTTGCATAGCATTGAGCATCATCTCCTGCAAAAAACAAAATATTAAAATTGGCAATTTAATCAAGAATTCAGAATGTAGGTTAATCTCACAGACTAAAGAAAGCATCTCAAATAAGTTGGGAATTCTGCAAGAATTAAGAAAATAGCAGCTATAGTAATGCACTAGGAGTGAGACTAGGAGAGGGGAAAAATTACACAATCAAATTAAATATGTAGACAACTCTGTAACTTATAATGTATGAAGTGAATATTCTGCAACATATTAACATTATGGAACAGAGAAAATAATAAAAGCTTATAAAAGAAGGCATTCCATCAAGTAAATTCATGACTGGAAGATAGAAAGATACCAATAACAAATGTTGGGCCTTTACTGTCAAAGTCTACATTGTGAGCCCTATGACTGTGTCTTCCATTGGAACTTTCTTCACCAAATATAACACAAAGCTTGTGGTAGCTTGGCACAGATTTATTTCTGTATGATCGAGCATCAGGATGTACCTGCTTATGTGAGAGACAGAACTATTGCACATTAATTAATAATAAAATAACTAAAGAACTAATGAGTGTATGATGGACCTAGCACAAGCCTATTGGTTTTGTGCAAGTGGGTTCCAATGCTCATTCATTTGTAAGTCCGTGTTGTTTGGGTCCATGGACTTTAATATAGTACCAAAGCTTCATTCCCAAACAATCTAGATCATGGGACCCACGTTCTGGCTACCATAAGCTAGTTCATGCACTAGCAAATATCAACCAGCAGTTAAGGTCAACATGGCTGCACTTGAAGGAGTGTTAGGAAATGAGCTCACATTAATTTTTAGTAAAATAATTAAAGACTCATAATTGCATGAGTGGTTAACCTAACACAAGCCAATGGATTTTTTGTAACCAGATTTCAACACTCACTCATTTATAAACTTGTATTTTTTGAGCCCATAGACTTTAATAAAAACAATACTGAATCACTTTTATACAAAAATTTGAAAAGAAATTCACCTTAATAAAAGAGTCCCAAACATAATCCTCAGCAATTACCATCTCTCGATGTTCATCCCAAGAAAACCCATTTTGCTCAAGAAGAAAGTTTATGCCACTGTATTGCTTTCTCAAATGTTCGTACCGATTCTTCAAAATATTTTTCTCAAGATGTGACCCAAATCTCTCATTAAATGATCCAATCATTTCAATCCAAGCCTCAGTTGTCAATTCATGACCAATTTTATTCCCTCTAAGTGCCTGGTCTTGCAACAAATCAATCAGATAACGATCCATAGCTGGTGACCAGCAGGGTCCAAGACCATTACTTCTAGTCAATAAATACACATCCTTTTCTTCACCTGTACAAGTGATAACCTACTTATATGCAAGAACACAATCGCAAAATAAACAAAGGTTACAGTTATATGCCTGTGCCAAGGCACATGAATTGCCACCATCCTGGTAGATCAATTTACAAGAATTGTACAAGTCAATAGCTATGATCTTAATTACAAATTGACCAACAGATGCCACAAGTTCTCAGAGCCTAGGAGCTATACCTTCAGATGAATTAAATGTAACTGCATCAGGTCTGTGATGCGATGAGAAAATCAAATACAAAAATCAAATTTCTATGCAAACATCACACGTTTGATAAGTCATCGTTGAGAAACATTAAACATCTGACAAATTTTAAACTCACCAGCCTTAACTTGTACAGTGCCATCTTCAAAGTTTTTATCCAAGTGCATATGATCCAGATGTCCATTGATGACTTGATTTCCATAAATCAAGCTCAATTCATGATAGTTTGACAAGGTCCTCTTTTGGTATGAACGTGTATCTGGGCGTGCCTACATCCAAAATAGTAAGCATAAAATATAACGGGTATAAATTCCTTCACCAAAATTAACATTATACCTTGGTAGTCTTTTCCCAAACAGCATCATCAGCCACAATCATTTGTTGTCTTTCATCCCAAGAAAACCCTTTCTTCTCAAGTAGGCTTCTTATATCACTATAGTACTTGAACAATTTCTTATAACGTCGCTTCAAAAAGATTTTACCATGTTGAGAACAAAATTTTGCATTGAACAAAGTGAGTATATCTTTCCATGCTTGTTTGCTGAAAGTCCTATCCCTTTTATTTCCCTTTTTAAGTTGGTCCAACATAAGCTCAATAAAATGTCGATCCATGGCTGATGTCCACTCTGATTTCACACGCTCACTAGTTGCTGGAAGAATGCTACCTATAACAACACCTCTTATTGATAAAAAAATCAGTAAATGTTGCCATTTCTTCATAAAGAACGAAGAAAGCTTATTACAATATTCAAAAACTATAATGCTAGAGAATAACAGCAAAACTCAAGCTTATATTATATGTTTCCTAGTTCATTACATAATAAAAAGGATATCTGCTGAAGGACAAAAACATAAAGTCACTTCAGGAAATATAAATCCAACACTTTACCATTCCTCCCTCTGTAAAGACATGTTAACATAGAAAAAAAAAGGCCCAGATTAAGGCACTTAGGGTAGTATTTCAGGCCAAGCTTTGGTAAATATTGCTTTTTGAACATAGAAGTTATGATAAGAAGCCTGTGATTTAATTAAAGTGATATGAACTGTTTTAACATTTTAGAGATGATGCATTGACATTTTCCTGCAAGAATATGAAGTGCTATGGTGCACTTCCATATGACTACATTTCACTGCGAGCTTTAGATTCATATTTAAATTAAGAGCCTGGCATGAAGAGTCATATCCATCAAATAATTGGCAATAATGTAGGCTGCAGGAAAAGAACATGTATTTTTTTAATGCCAATACAAAATGTAACGTTATTCGAAATCCTTGACTAAAACATACCAATAACTAGCCCCTGAATGTCATCATCTACGTCTACATCATGACTAGAACGACTATATCTTCCATCTGCGGCTGTATATGCATATATCAAGCACAGATCATTGAAGTTCATCAAGGACTTCCTCTTGTAGAATTGTGCATCAGGGTGGGCCTGCAGATAAATATTTTATCAATAAAATTTCAGAGGGAAAAAAAACAGAAAACAAAAATTGACTTGATGAACCTTGATGAAGGCATCCCAGACACCATCATTGGCGACCACCATTTTCCGAGTATCATCCCAAGAAAATCCATTCTGTTCAAGGAGACTCTTCACATCATTATATTGCTTCCACAAATTTGTATAATGACTTTTCAAGGTATCTCTGTCATATTTAGTCCCAAATTTTGCATTAAACATGGTAAGCATATCCGTCCAGGCTTGCTTGTTAAAAGTATGACCCATTCTATTGCCTTTATGCATCTGATCTAGCATAAGTTCAATAAAATACCGTTCCATTAACGGTGTCCAATTCATTCTTGCACGGTCACAGCCCAAAGGGACCTGGCTGCTCATTTATTTCCCCTACAATATCCAAACTTCTGTCACAATCATAGTTTTGGGCAATCGATGCTAACAAGAAATACGAAAAGAAAACTTATATTTAATCATTGGTTTGTGAACATGTTCTTCTATTATTGGCAACCAAACTAATGCATTCCTACATTGCAGAATACCAAATCCATTACATAGAAAAGTTTTTGCTCATAACATGAAAGGAAGTCTAGAGACAGCCATTAGCCCCTACTCCTAGCATTTCCACAGAATTGGCTATTCTCATACTTCAAATCCACAAGCAGCCCAAGACAGCAACATCGCACTAGCCAGCCAATGGCTTTTAAACATAAGCATCTGAAGACAAAGTCTTTTGCCAAAAAAAAAAAAAAAAAAAAAAAAAAAAACCAATCCTTAATAGAAAGTTTTGCTCATAAACATGAAAGGAAGTCTAGAGACACAGCCCATTAGCCCCTACCTCCTACATTTTCAGAATTGTGCTATTCCTCATACTTCAAATCCACAAGGGCAGCCCAGACAGCAAACATCGCACTAGCCAGCCAGATGGCTTTTAAAAAACCGATAAGCACTGAAGACAAAGTTCCCTTTTGCCAAAAAAAAAAAAAAAAAAAAAAAAAAAAAAAAAAAAATTCAGGCATCGGGACATATAGAAGGCATTAACCGAAGTTTGCATGAAACCTATGTTGCTCAATTTGATAAGCTGAAAATTGGAAGCACATAATTCCAATACAAACCAAGGCCATAAAATGATATAATTCGAGCTCAAAGTTTACCAGAATTTAATCAGAAGACGATAAATCTGCTTCTCTTTTTTATTGAGAAATGGATGGTTAGTTAAACTAAAAGAAGTCCAATATCTTTTCTTTTTTCCTACATTTTCTCAGCAATCAAACGCGAATCATCATACTATGTATATTTATGAGAGACGATATGCGAATATGCGATACGAGAAAGAAAGAAAATTATTCTTTTACCTGATCCGATGTGTCTGATAAGAGAAACGAAGCGGAAGCAATTGAGAAGAGGAAAATTGTTGCCGGATAGTTGTACGGATCTTTTGCAGCTCCAGCACATTCTAGGCTGAATTGTTATGATTGGCTATTTGGATTAACATACTCCGGTCCGGTACTGGGATAAAACTGTCCTAAGAAAGATTGATTTTTTTTTTTAATTTTATATTTATAAATTATTAAATATTTTTTAATTCAAATTGTTGCAAGTTTTTTTTTTTATAATGGAATTAATCTAATAATATTGGTTATTTATAAAATAAGTTTTTGTTTATTTAAAATAAATATTTTTTACTCCTTTTAATTTAATATTGGCTATTTAGCTAACGGTTAGATATGGAACTGCATAAATAACCTGAATCAAAATATCAATGTTAGTTCATAGTCAACTGGTTTTCAAATGAATGATAGAAGGATAATTTAAATGAAAAACAATAAAAAAAGTTTTTAATTACAACAAAATAACTCAATTTTCCTAGTAAGAATGACTGTAGAAGTTGACTTTTCGCTTAATAGTATTTTCTTGCTCAGATCAAACCTGTGATTTTGACGACAATGAAGTATCAGATAGTGGTTCAAGAAAATCTGTAACTGTAAAGAAAGCTCTTCCCATTAGTTCTCTGGCTCTGACAAATCTTGGAAGAGTTATTAAGAATATTTAGTAAATTATAAGATAAAATTGCTGGGAGAGCGTAGCATCAGTTCAACAACATTAGTAGGCAGAAAATGGAGGAGAAAAAAGGGAGATTGGAAGCCAAGAACTGTATAAAAAGATATAAATTACTCAAAAATTCCAAAACAGTATTGATTTTCCTTTGTCAACAATGGTTTCTCTGTTTCTAGTTTTTTAGTCCGCGAGAACTTCGTTATCCCATCTTAAAATTGCTCTTAAGTTACAGCCAAAACGTACACAGAAATTGCCCTATCCCTATCTATATTCCTCAGGCAAGCGGTATCCAGACATGACCAGTTTGTCGGCAAACATCTTCCCAGTTTTGGGCATTACATGCCAGTGCAAAGTCAAATTGAATTCTTTACCACGAAGATTGCTTCCCTGCAAATTGAAAGATAATGTTTTGGTATTCAAACCTTGCGAAAGAAGAGCCTATTCTGGACAAACAAAAGCAAGCATCTTAACAAAGGGGCATACCTGATCAACAAAACGGTACTTGTTTGCAGTTTGAACCCAAAATTTCGCATGCTCTTTGGCTGGTATGATAGCATCCCAAAGTGATACCTAAGACACAATATTTGAACAATTTTTTAAGCAGTCGACATAATGCTCCGTGGGAGACCCTGACATTTCGGAAAACACTTGAAATGGGCTTGCCTCAATTTTATTTACAACAAGAATAATGAATTGGCAAATTGACTCTAGCCCCATTATCAGATTACAAATTATAATTAGTTGAACATGTAAAAGGAACAACCAAAACTGAAATGGAAATTACTTAATTGCTGGACTAGACATACCTGGTTCAATGCATTCTTTCGGGTTTCATACTCCGCAGCTACAAATACAAAAACCTGCAATAAACAAGGCAATATCCATATATACTTCGAATCAGTTTTCAATTATAATTCACAAGAAATTCCAAAAACAGAGCAATGAATAAGGCATGTTATCAAATTTAAAACCTTAACAGTCATGACATTTGGCAGTGAAATAATTTTTGTGCGAGTATATGAAGAAGTAGGTCATATTGAAAGAGAGAAAGAGAGAGACTTCAATAGGGAAAGGGTAAGTTTACTGAAAATATGATAGGCATAAGGGGATACCCAAAGGGTCTATTATGCACATAGCCACATCACACCCAGGAGTCATTAACAAAGGAAGACCACTATAATTTTCAAACAACATACCTGCTTTGTGTTCCATGTAAATAGTGACTGTAAATCAGCTGTTACATTCATTGTGAGGCTGACCTACATTGAATGAAAAACAATTTCATTAACATTATAACAATAGCTAGCATATCAGGTAGTCCGCTACAAATTACCATATGCAAGTTCATAGCATTATCTGAGCATAGAATATAAGGATGTTGATTCCAAAACACTATCTTAAAACAGGTAAGATCCACAACAATGAGAAACAATAATCAGGGGATCATTTGGAAGAAGGAATTAGACAGCCTACATCCAAATTACACCTGGAATGCTGCAAATGAGAATTTTTTCTCATTCAATATTCTTTCTTATGATCATGTCTTCAAAGCTTCTATGAGTTGAAAAGGCATATTTCAAACTGCTTAACCAAAATTATCGCACCAGGTGCTAAGCCATGCTTTAAACCTAGGTGTAGATTTTCATGAAGAAAAACATTGACGAAATAGAACCAGTCGCAAAGACAGGAACGAGCATACTTCAAGTAACAAAATTAAAAAGCTCATTCACTTTTTGTTCTTTTTTTATTTTATTTGAACAGAAGAATCAAACTCAAATGGACCAAATTCAACATATATTTTGAACATACTGACATAGATTTAACATTGTATGCTTTTACCTCTAGGCATAAAGTTGTGTAAATATGCAAAAACAATTACCAGGACTCTTTGACTATCCTGAGCAATTAATGAGACAGCACATGGTAAAGTAGCATACTGCAGAATATATCCTTGTTTTCAATTGTTTGCCGACAAGAAAATGATATGAACACAAGAAGAAAATGGTGATGGACATTAGTAGAGATGATGTGGACAGAAGTTATAATCTTTGAAGTTAGACAACTTCATCAAAGCAATCTCACTAGAAATCATACAATGTATTACATGGTCAGAGATTTGGCATTTGTGTAGCTCATTGCAACTTCTAAAAGAAAATAAAGGGGAATAGGATTCACCACATATTCGCTTTATAAATAGCCTAAGCGCCATGATAAATAAAATGTTACACTTCAAGATATGGCTACATATCAACATGAATTCTGGAAATTCAATTCAATAAACCACAACTGAGTGAATTTATAAAGAAAAGAAATATTTATCTCAATTTCCCCAAAAAAATATATATATATCTTCAATCCCAGAAAAATACAGTCAAACTAAGAAGAATGAAGAAAAGGAAAAAACTACTAATCTAGCAAAATTCTATCCCATCTCCAACAAATCAAAAGCCTAAACTTACCTCATCATTCCCATGCGGCTGCTTTTGAAACCAATTAATATTTAATATCTACAATCAAAAAAAACCCAAATATAACAATTTAGGGTTTCAATCCCAACAGATCCAAGTAATCCAACTAATACATAAAATGCATATAAATAAGAGTAATCACATACCTGTATTTGAGCAGAGGGAGAAGGAGAATTAAGGTTATCAGAGAAAGAAGCAATAGCGCACATTAGCGCGAGGATGGTGACAGCGAAAGTTAGCAAGGCGTTAGCTCTGTACCCAAAAGAATGCATTTTTTCTGGATGTCGTTCTTGCGAGTATCCCTGTCGTTTTGGCTCGTTTATCAATGTTGTTACCTCGTTGGAGGTAGTGGCGATTCTGAGAAAGCAATTGTCTTTCAGGGATGGTCGCTGTTGACGTTTGTGCTGTGGCTTCCGGTCTGAGAACTGATTTTGAAAACGTTTTTGGGGCTTATGGTAGACGAGCAAGGAGTGTAGGTGGTATGACTTAGGATCCAGTTGTTGTTTTGTGATTGGACTATACACGTCTATCTTTGGGGCCCACTTTGCGGACGTGTACATCTTGGTCAACGTCACATTTTAAGCTTTGGATTCAGTTGGGTATGGATAATTTTGATTAGATTAACAAGACAAAAAGAATAAACCAGCTATGGAGTTGGATCTCCTTCTCCGATTACGTTTTCCGATCTCCGATCATCGTTTTTTAGCGTGGCAGTGTTTTTAAATTTCATTTGAGTTTTACTGCCACTGCTCAGTTCTTGCAAGATCATTTTTAATTAGGCCATCGAGAAAAGGTAGCCTTTTAGTTTTATTCACTCAAATAATAAAAACGACAAGATAGACATTTCATTACTGGAAGCATACTATCATCCTTGCTCTGCAAATCCCCATATTCTATGGAGTATAGGTGAACTTCAAGCTGTCACAGTCAGACATTTCCAACGACAGGGGCGGGCTAAAACCCAGCCTTGACCGGGCCAAATCAAAGAAGAACAAGGAAAAGGCAAAGGAGATCAGGAGAAAATGTAGGGAAGATGAAGAAACCATTGCTGGAACCAAGAAAGCTTGAAAAACAGAATGCTCTAATAAAGGGTCATTTAGCATAGTACGAATTTTTGTGTTTCTCTATAGTTCCAGTTTTGCCAATATAAGATATGGACAATCTGTGTTGTTTGAGTATTATATGTTCAACGGTGGATTTTTTATCTCTCTTTTAGAGCAATGTGCGGTGATTGATATCTAAAGAGGAGATGTCACAGTTCGCAAGAAAAATATGGAAGGGTGAGGCTAAAAGACGGGTCATCAAGAAGATAAAGAAACATATGAGCTGGTGAAAGTGAAGAAAGAAATACTTGTCAATCACAATTGACAAGAGCTTCAATAGCCATGCAGATGCATACATGGTTTCTTTCATCATAACTGAATGAACTTATAAAAATATAAAAAAATTGTCTTCAACCCAAGAAAAATAAAGTCAAATTAAGAAAACAAAGAAAGGAAAAACAAGAAATCTATCAAAAATCATGCTCCATTCTCGATAAAATCAAGACTTAAATTTACCTTATCTTTTCAATATGGATAAAATAAAGATTGACTGAGTGGAAATGATTTAGATTCTTTAAACAAGATGTTCATAAAGATTATTTGATTAGAAATAATTCAAATTCTTTAAATAAAATGTTGAGTATTTGATGATTATAAATGAAAAAAATCACCGTCAGTATACTTTTCAATACACAAACTCACGTAGAGCAATGAGGATTAGGCCAAACTAATAAGATATTTTTGACCATTCATACAAAAAATATAAAACAGCTGACAGTTTATATGAGAGGTATCATGCAGCAGATGCAGGCAAATCTTATCCATAAAACAAATTCCAGTTCTTTCTCTTGCAATACGATTCAATGGTCAAATCTGAATCTATGAACTACTTTAAACGATTAGAATAAGACTTGTCTACGTTTTTCTTAGGCAATCAAGAAAAGATACCCTTGTAGTTTTATTCGTTCACATAATAGAAGCAAGATACACATTTCGTTATAGGAAGCATACAACCATACCCTTCCTTTGCCAATTCCCATATTCTTTCTCTATGGAGTACGGGTGAAGTTGGAGTTGAAGTTGGCACAGTTAGTATTACTAAAGGACAAGGAAGGGCTAAAACCCAGCATTGACCTAGCCAAATCAAACTGAATAATTTGCTCTTGCAACTGGTGAGCCCCTATAACAATTGAAGCTGGAGGACGCGAACCTCCATCAACAAATGCTAAACAAATCACACCTGGACATGGCTGCACCATTGAATTTGCGCCAAAAAAGGACCATACGAGGTTTCGATTACCAAAAACAAGATCAATCCTAGGAACTGCAGGGCCGATAGGATGAGGATATGAAAAATTTCTTGAGTTATAGCAAACGCTGAAAGGTGCTACAGGTCGTACTTGCTGTTTCACTGAAAGTTGACTGGTGAAAAGTCTAGTGAAAGCTTGATAAATAGAGTGTTCAAGGACAGTATAAGGAGTAGTTGTGCTTATCATTGTTCCACCAAAACCGCTCTGAGATCTTCTTAACAACGATGTATCTAGTGGAGCAGCTTTCTGCTCTACCAAGATTTGTGTCACTTGGACGAAGTACTCCCCTTGTCTGGTAATGGATAGTGGTGTATAACGCATCTGCCGGAAAACATCAGGCCCCTGGCGTGCATTGAAAAGACCTTCACCGAAGAGAATGGCTCCAGATTGTGCAGGAGTGGAACTCAGGCACAAGGCAAAGTTTTGTCTTATTCCAAAATGTGAGAAAATTTGTGTTGGTAAGGAAATAGGAGCATGACCTAGTCCAGCTACACCTCGAACATTGCTTGGTAACCCTCTTAATAGCGTATTAGAAGTTGCACAACCAAAAAGGAATTGAGGTACTGTAACAGTTGGACCGCAGTTGGACCCTGTAATAGATTGAAACGAGAACAAATCTTGAGCTAACGCACCCATGGCAGTTTGGTGAGAGACAGGGTTCGTTAACGCGATCCCACATGCGTTTCTATGGCACCCGGGTCCAGAGCATGAGTAACAGACACGACTATTTGCTCTGAAGCATTGAGCAGAAAAGCACCGTGGGGCTTGCAAAGTGGACGACACGTAGTTTGCTTCACAAGTATGCCACAAGAATCATCCATTTACATCAATAAGTAATTGAAGTGGATTTCGAGGAGTTCTTCTGCTAAAAGTAGCCACGTGAAGATTGGTTGCACCATCTTTACGAACTGGCAACACAAGATTACTTGGCCTAAAACGGGTTTGAGATTCAGACACGGAGAAGAACAAGGAACAGGCAAGAAAGATTAAGAGAAAATGTAGGGACGATGAACAAACCATTGTTGGGACCAAGAAAGCTTGAAGAAATGGAAAGCTCGGGTTGTCTGAGTATGCTCAGCGGATAGCGGTGGATTTTATAGATTGATTTATAAAAGAGTAGACGTTACAGTTCACAAGAAAAATCTGGCAGAGTGAGGCTAAAAGATAGGTACAAGCAGATCAAGAAGAGAACAGAAATGAGCTGGTGAATTTGAAGAAGTACTTGTCAATCGCAATCGAGAAGATCTTCAATTGCCATGCATATGCTTTTTTTAGTGCTAGCAAACAATGGGCCATATTGGGTTGGGCTCATATAGGAACCTTTGCACTTTTCTTGAACAAAAGCCCAGTAACTTCAATTATGGGCCAGTATGACCTTATAAGTTCATGTGCAATAGTAAATGAAATGTTTGTTGGTCAAAATAACTCTTCTTTTTTATCCCACGTACTCAAGATAATAATGATATTCAAATAAAACTTTTCTAATAATAATAATTTTGAGTTTCCAACTTTAATCTCACAGATGAAATTTACTTAGAAATTAAGTTCATTTTCGCTAGTAACTCAATTCGCTGTTAATTTAATCGCGTATTTACGATAAATTGATTAATGATATTAGTAATTTAACATATGATATGATATAAAATATGAAGTGAGACCACTAAATTAAGAATGGACAACCTTTACAACTATGGTGGTGGATCTCATTTTGTGGACCCAAATTGAAATAGATTGGGATAAGTATTGATCTATTAGAAACATTGTTAAACTATATATCCAGCAATTTATGGCGGAAAAGATGAATGTATAGTTATTTAAATGGCCTAATCATAACCAACATTGTGAAAATGACTCCATTTGAATTATATTTATAAGTGGCGGCAATCTCTTATTGGTATTTATCATGAATGCATTTGGACTCATACGAACTAGTTTTATTTCTTTGCTTATACACAAAGTTTCACAGTTGAAACTCCATACCAATTAATGTCACAAGCAGACATGTCATGTGAATCAAGCAATTATTGATTTTTTTTTTTAAAATAAATGCAGAATTGACATCCAAAAAAAATTAAATACATTTCCATTAATTTATAAAATTATCGAATAATTTATCTAATGATTAAAAATATAAAAATTATTTAATTTTTGCGTTAAAAACTGTATAAAAAGTTTATAGATATTCGATAATTAAAAAATTATGTTTCATATGTGTGATTTGATTAATTGAAATGATCAATAGAGATAAATCTAGTAATTAAAAAGGACAAGACATTCAACCTTTTCTTATAAAAGTTGAAATCCGTGAAACTGAAAATATATAATGTGAGTTTATTTGTGCTTGAACCGACTAGAATCGAAAAGTTAATAATAATTAATTAGTTAGCTAGTTTGCCATCCTTCTAGGTCTTTTTTTTATGTACAAATCATCGATATTCGCACTCTATTATCAAGTCGGTTCAAAATTTAATCACAGTTGATGCTATTCAAACCTTCCCTGTGTATTTAATAGGAATCAAACCTAAAAACTTTTCTCAAATGCCCAGCCTGCATTGCCAACTAAATCACAACTAATAAATACCCTTCTACGCAATTTGATATATATTCATACCTTATTTTTAACCAAATTCATTTATAGAAACGTAAGAATACTAAGGTTATCAAAATCTAAACTTCGATGATTATGGAGGCCTAAATTGCAAAAGGAGTTACTACTAGTGGTTCGACGGCCTAATGATATACATACATCAATCAATTTCAAGACGCTCTCTTGCACTCGATGAAAATGGTATCAGACAAGTAATCTAATGTTCACATGGTGAAAGTCAAAAGATGGAAACCAAACGTACCTAAAATTTGAAATTGCAGAAGCGTATTCCCAAATTGCTTTCGTGATTTAAAAAAAATACAAAAAAACAAAAAGAAAAAGAAAAGATACATCTTTTTGAAAGCACTAATAGGCCATAATACAATATACATTCTTTAAAATGAAAATTGGGAAAGAAAAAAAAAATATTTGCTATCAAACTGAGGAGTTTGAATGATCATAGAAAAGTGACATGACATAGGTGAAGGCAAGTTTTAAAACCTTAAACCCTTTTTTGTATAATCACCCATTACAAAACCTCATATCAAATTATCTCAAATAACCAAAAATAACAACATTATTGTACTAAACTACTCTAGCCTCTAGCAACTTTAGATTTCACATTATACTGCAACTATTGGCATTTTCATCACTGAAGAAGTGAGCATAAGGATCAGACATGGGGTGGGACGGCATCGGCGGAGGCGGCATGTAATTAACAGCGGGATACGGTGGCCGGGCATACATCATTGGCTGAAACATATCATTCCCATTTTGCCTTTGTTGATTCATCATCATAGCCATATATTGTTGATTACTGTAAGGATTGGGTCCTCCTCCCATCCCCATTCCTTGATAATATCCACCATTCATTGCTGGTGGTGCTCCTGCAGGCAGTCCTTGCACTGCAGGAAAATTAGCCATCCCACTATAATTTCCCATGGGCCTCACCTGGCCGACCTGGCCCATGCTTTTGGGTCCATGAGCGCCATTGATATCAATGTCATGGTACACTTGTTTGGTTTTGTTAGGATTATGGACCCCATCATTTTTGCCTCCACCTTTCTTGACCCCGTTTTTATGATTGTTTCCAGCTGATCCGCCATTACCGGTACTACCCTTATCAGTAGTAGTAGTACTACTACTTTCTCTTCCATTTTTACTTTTCCTACCAAAACCCAAGAACGCTGCAATACCCCCACTTTTACCACCATGTTTCTCTTTACTTTCTTGTTTTTGATTCCCTCCTTTGCCATGATTATGACCACTCTTGCCACCATCACCGCCGTTCTTTCCACTGTTACCCTTCTTACTATCATTATTTCCACCTTTGCCCTTAATTACCACAGGTATTTCAAAATCACCACCACCTCCTTTCTTGGCATTTCCTCCCCCACCACCACCACCACCACCTGCTCCACCACCCTTCATAGGCCCATTAATCATCATACCATGAGGGGGGCCGTGTGGTCTATTGACATTACCCATCATCGCAGGCGTAATTTTATTAGGCAAATGATGACCATGACCATGTCCCTGCGCATAACCATGACTAAACTCCCCATCATCTTCATCATCAAAATCTTCATCATCAAAGTCGTCATCAAATTCATCAAAGTCATCATCAAAATCATCAACATCACTTGCATCAATATAATCATCTTGCAGATTGAACTTGACAGATTTCTGGTCTTTATGAGCCATTTTCAGATCTTTAGGTCCTTTAAATTGCTGCATTTGCTGCTGCTGCTGTTGCTGTTGGCCTCCTTTTCCACCCTTTTGAGATTTGTTATCTTTGCCTCCACCACCACCTCCTTTACCATTCTCCACTTTCATGTTCTTAAACTGATTGTTGGGAAGGTTTTGGAAGTTATTGAAACCCTTTGGACCTCCCATTATCTGAGCATGCTTCCCTGACTTCTCAAGCTTCTTTATGAGTTTTGCTGGGTCAAAATTTCCTGCTACAGTCACTTTTCCTTGCTCTGCATTAACTGTAGCATTGTATACCCCTGCCAAGAACAACAGTAACAATTAAGGGAAAAAATCCAATAAAATTGAAAAAAAGTTGAAGAAAAAGGGAAAAATGAAGATATTAATGAAGCAAGGTATCCTGTGTTCATGTCTATGACTGTCCCATCTAGTATTCTCTGACGCCATGAGGTGTTAAAGAACTAACCCAAATAAATAAATAAGTAATAATTCTTTATACAAGTACAACCCAAATGAAATTTTACAGAGATACAACACAAGTTAATTAATTCTCACAAAGAAACAAAAAGTTGCATACAAGTAGAAAAGACAAAAATCACTGAGGAATCATATGAGCATACCATCAACTTTTTGCAGAAGTTTCTTTATTTTCTTCTTACAACCATCACAGTGACACTGTATATTCACTTTCAGAACACAAGTCTGCAGCGAAAACCAAAAACAGAAAACAAGAAAAAATTAGAAAAAAAAAAAGAACCAAGAACTGAAAACAAGAAAGAAAGAAAGAAATCTGCAACTACATATGATTTTCAAGCAACATAGTAAGAAGAAATTAAAGATGGACAACAGGGGTTTTAAATTACCTGCATCTTCATTGACTCTTGTTTACTCATTTTCTCTGTTTCAAACAGAGAACTGAAAGCAGAACTTGAGATAAGAGAGGGAGAGAGAGAGAGAGAGAGAGAGAGAGATTTTAAAAAATGAAGCGGTCGCTTCAAAGCTGAGAATAAGAAAGACTGAGCTACAAGGTTAGGTTACAAGAAAGATAGAAGGCTAAAAGCGGTGGGTGGTGAGCATTTAACACTTCTGTTTTTAGCTACCCTTCCTCTGCTGCTTCTTCAGGGTAAGTACTACTACTATTTTAAAACTTTTTCTTTTACAGAGAGAGAGAGAGAGAGAGAGAGAGAGAGAGAGGGTTCGGTTGCAGAAGGGGCAAGGTATCCTACTGAGAGATCTTTGGCTTGTACTAGCTGGAGCTGGCTTTATACTAACAGGGTTAAGTGTTTTACAGCTTTTACTCGGAATTATACTTAAAACATTTTTTAAATCATATTCTTTTTTCATGTAATAATAATGATTTTTTCTTTTTTTTTTTTTTTAAACTCAGATATGTGTACCTTTTATCTGAATAATATTCAGATAAAATTCTTTAATAATATTAATAAATTCTAAATTTTTATATTATAAATAAATTAATTAAAAATTTGAATTTATTACGCTGATGCAACCGCCATCTATAACATAATTGAGTGGAGAGGACTCCATAATGAAGGTGGGGGCTTCGGCTGTTAGATTTTTTGTGGGTTGAGCCAAACAATGGGCACATGAGTTCACATTTAAATATTTATCATTTTGAGGGGCATTTGGAAAAATATATATATTTATCAAAATATATAGGATAGTTTCAAAAATAATTTGTTAATTTAATGGAGGCAACCCATGGATGTAGATTGATTTCAACATTTAAATTTAAAATAATACTCCATTTACACTAAAATATAAGTCTTTTTTTATTATTTTGTCTAAAAATACAAATCGTTTTGAGTATTTTAAGGAATAATAAATAAATTTTTCAATATTATCCTTATTTACATTACATATAATAAATAATTTCAAAAATAACTATTTGTTTTAAAATAAAAAAATAATTTGATGAAAATACCTTTGGTTTTGTTATAATCTAAGAGAATTAATTACTTTCTTAATTTTTGTATAAAAATTTTCAATGATTTATATTTTCGGACAGATGGAGTACACAGTACATAAAAAATGTATCGACAAAAAATGATTATTTTGTGTTGCACCAAATCTAAAGTAAAACGGCTTTATTTTATTTTATTTTATTTTTATCACATATTCCTCATTTCTTACTATACATATCATGAAATTTTATATTTGTGGGTTTTGGACTAAAAGATTAAATTTGAAATTGAAATAATAGATATATTTTTGTAATTCAATAGTTGATGTTTGTTCCCTTAAGTGCTTGCAATTAAATTCAGTTCAATCTCAAAATTTTTAATCGTGTGATTCTAATATTAGATATATAAATAAAGTCTTATTTATCTTAATAATTAACACCATTTTAAATTTTAACCTACCAAAGGATAAAAGAAATTTGGATCTTGTACTCTTTGGAATTTTATTTCTGAATTAAAAAATATGATAATTCATATATTTAAATAAAATTACTTCAATTTAAATTTAAATTTAATATAACAATTATAGTAAATTTACTTTCAATTTAAATAAATAATTATCAAAGTAAATTTTATCATAATGACATTATGTTTATGATAGCCTTCTAGAAAAAAAAAACTTTAAGATATTGCACAAATAGTTGAAAGGTACTTTTCACATATTTGAGAGCCCTTACAAGAAAAATATTTTTAGATAGACTTTAATTGTAATTATATAATTAATGCAAACATAATCTAACCACTGTGTTTTATTATAAAAAGGGCAAGGCTTGAAGGTATAATATCAATCACTCGACGTCCCTCTGACGCATCCGTTATGACTATTTTTAGACCAATACAAGAAGGAGGTGTCAAATAAATTAAAGCTCTCTATATAGAAAATTGCCGACTTGAGTAGTTTGAAGACTTCTTTTAATGACCTAATTGCTAGTTTAGCAATCAATAATGGAAGATTATAGAAAAATAACTTGATTTTGGGAAGTAATTTGTTTGATCAAAACAACAAAAGAAAATGTCATCTTGCTCAATATTAAACTCCTAAAAGTTTCTACATTGAAAGATAGGGTTGAGGAGAGGGTTTTTATTCATCTTTGATTAATTTAATATTTACCCCCAAAATTGGATAAAACTTACTATCACATCCTTACTCTTTTATACAGTTATTATCTTATAATGGAGACTTACCTCTGTTTCGCTGTATCTTTTGATCCAAAAAGTACCATCTTATTTAAAAAAAATGAGAATTAAATAGTAAATGTGAGAGACGAAACAGTAACACCAATGATGAAGGGAGGGGCAGGGGTGGCCCCACCTCTTTCAGCAATATTTTTTTTCTCGAATTCACCTCTAAATTTTTAAAAGTTCAATATTTATTCCTTTAAATGGTATACTTTTTTAATTTAACCCCTCTTAACTTTTGAGAAAAAGAATTTGCCTCCTTTATCTTTAATCTTGACTCCGCGGTTGAGTAACATCATGTTAAGTATAAAACACCGAATACTCAAACATTATAATATATTTAACAATAAAAATAACATTTTTTGGAAAAAAAAGTTGAACAATTTAACGAAATCAAATTCGAAACAAATATGTAATTTTATTAAATAATGTAATACTCTCTTGTCCCATGATAACTTTTATGATATTTCATTAAACAAGAGACTTTTGTTAATATCTTTAATGAGTTAAGGATAAAAAAAGGCAATATAACTTTTATTGACTAAATTTTTAATTTGCGTATTTTATCAAACCATTCAAACAAAATGGAACAAAGGGAGTAATAATTTGTATGAGTCACGACTCATGACTGAATAATTATTATTATTATTTTTTTTTTTTTGAAGCATCTTTAACACTAGTGGTTAATGAGCCAAAAATTGTAGCATGAAGAAGACACTAGACAACACTACCCATCATGTATTAGAGCCAGAAACAAACAAAAATGAGGAAAATTGTAATTTTAAGAAAGGAATGATTGTTTGAAATTGGTAAATTTCATTATTAGAAACAAACAAAACACTTAAGAGGCAAAAAAAGGTGGTTGAACAGTTATTTTTCTAAAAATTTGGAGTCTTCTTCTTTAGAAATGAAAAATTATTGATGGTTGTCATGAAAAGCCTAAACCCTTGCAAGTGCTGTTGAATCTTCTTTTATGTTCCCTTTGGCATGTATAAAAAAGATATGTTTGAATGGGGACAAAATTTGACACCCCATAAGAAGCCACAAACAATATAATATATATATATACATATACTAGTTGCTGCTTACTGCTAGACTGGTTAGGTGCTTTATGGGTAGTGATGGAGTTAGGTCACAATTTGGCTTTTGTAGCCCAATCTTTGACCGGCTGACTAACCCTTTTATCCATTTGGTTTGAATCATTGGTTCAATTTTATATCATGCATTGCACCCCCCACCGCACCCGCCACTTGTACGGTTCGGTTTAGTTTAAATATAAAGAATGTTCGATAAAATTAATCGTCTTGAAACTTATTAATTATTTATTTGAAAAAAATGTTCGGTTTGGTTTAGTTTATTGATTTTGAATCCTTGGACAGTTGGGCTTAGAGATAGAGAGAGTTGGCAATTACTAGAGATACGATGCCAGTGAAGTGCCCACCTAGAAGAAAGCAAAGCATTGTCCATATTGTACGGTTTGTAACATGTAAATAAAGAAACATGCTTTAGTTCAAGAACATTAAAAAAATGTATAATGTTGTTTAATGCAAATGTATAAAATAATAACATATCAATCAATTTTGATCTCGACTATACTTTTTCTGATTTGAATATGTACAAATTACAAAGTAAGAGATTTCAAATAATAAATTGGTAATAATATTATAAACCATTTCTCATTTTTAGAGAAATAAAATATAATTGGGGCAATCAAAATCATTAATTATACAAATAAGATAAATTCCATAAATTTATTATATAGATGATTTATTATTCAGGGAGAAGCTATGGTATAATTAAGGAAAATATCACTATTCATCGTGAAATTACCTTATTCTCCTAGTAGCGTTCGTTGGCAATAATAAAAGAGGCATTGAAAAGATTAGACAGACCATACTAAAGTAAAGAAGTATTCAGGAAGTGACTAATTGCTAAATTCATCATTACATTTCCTTTCTTCTTCATATTTTCTTGTGGATCTAAACCTAGAATGGAAAATAAGGAGAAAAAAAAAAGGATAATATAATTACTAACACCTTAAAGAATATAATATTGATCATGTGGAAAAAAGAATAATACAACTGTAAAATTATTCTTAATCACATCCATCTCTTTAATTAAATAAGTGCACATGCACCTATATGTACATATCCATTAATGGATTAATTAAATATACTTAAATGATAATATTATTTGCAATATTACTGTTAGTAATATCAAAATAACAGTCTAATGATAAAAATAAAAATTTCAAACTGATTTTTCTTTTTTCCTCTTATTTTTTTTTTTCCATCACCAATGTGGAATATATTTTTACAATATTATATTGTTGTGGTACCAAAAGTGGTGTTAGTAGTACTAGGAGGATAGTGAAATGGCAATCCCAATTAGGTTGTCACTTGTCACCAACAGACAAAATTACAGAGGGGCATGTAAGCTTTGGGACCTCCAGTGCTTGAAGATAGGAGTTGGACCCTTGAATTTTGGACAGTCAAAGAACTGGTTGGTGACACACTGCCATTGTTTTGTTGAGCTAGCAAATTTGATAAGACATACCCATTTGTTTTGCTGATGCATAAATAACCAGTTTCAGAACTTTAAACTTAGAGTTATCACTGTGTTAATCTGTTCTGTTCCTAATTGATTACTGGGAGCAAGTTTTGCTCTTTAACTGCTACAGTTATTTGACTGTTTTCAGTTATGGCAAAAATAATATTTAAAACATCGAACTTTACCTGTAAAATTAAAAATTTGGAATAATTTTTTTTTTTAAATGAGAATTAATCCGTTGATCCTGAGTGGAAAGAAAAATTATTTTTGAACATGGCTTTTACTTTTTGCCTTGGTGTATCATATGGACCCATTAATAGAGAAAGTGAGAGAATCAATCCCAACGTTATTCAGAAATCAGAATACTGCTGTGGTGGTGGCATGAAAATCGAAGCCAATAGTTAGATCTGTAAAGAACAAGACCAACAAAGATTCAAAATTCTAAGAAAGAAAGGGAAAAGAAAAGGAAAGAGAAGAAAAGAAACTATTGCTGCTGATTCCTTTCACTTTCAGATAATACTTAAAGACCAAAGACCTCACCTTTGTCTCCTTCTTTAACTCTTTATGTCACTACACCATGAGACATTCTAAAGTACTTTCACCCCATTTCATAACTTGTATTGCAAATATTCCTTTATAACTTTCGACAATGACCTTCACAAATCATGCATTTTTATTAAAATTTCTATGTTTCTTATAATATTTTCTTTAATCCCTCTAGAAAAGAAAAGGATTTACCAATGCATGTACATGTTTATAGATTGACGAAAAATGGACTAAATCAATGTTCACTCTATAAATAAAGGGTGACCAGTGTACGAATCATCTTACATTATGAGGTTCAAATCCTACCAGGCAAGCTCGATGACACCTGAAAGCTATGTTGAATGTGCAACCGGCACTGGACTAAGTCCAACTAGATTTGACTGACTCTGTTCAATTGTCATAAAGCTCACTGTTTGATCTAATGTATATTATCACCAAATTGCTAGTTGTAGAATTAATTGTCCTGTCTGAAAAGCTAAATTAAGGCATAAACTAATTGATGTTATCTGTTGATATTCACCCAACAGAAAAGACAGCAACCCACTCTCTAATAAAACAACCACACATCTACTGATCAAAACCAGATGAAACATAATTTACTTATTTGAAGACTAATTGTACAAAAGATAAATGTTTAGTTTTCGTAATGGAGAAATAAGAAAATATTATTAAAATCAGCATTCTCACCATATTTCGACTAGGCAAAACAGTCAGGGAAATGACACATTCTTTTCCTGTCTCCTTGTCATCAAGGCCTGACGTATTGAAATTGCCACGCCCGTAGCGAACACTATCTGAAAATGGCCCTCAAAATTCTTGTCCAAGAGAGCTCGAGACCTTCGTGCATGAAGAGACATGATTGGCAGAGCTTGATCAGGTTCTGCACCTGCAAAGAAATAAGGCAAGCATGCTTCTGCACAAATAATAAGAGGGAAAGCGTCTTCCTCTAGTGTTGGCTTCGATATGTGGTCCAACCCAAAGAAGAGAAGCCTAAGTCAATTCCCGGTTTTCCTGTGGCTGACAAAATTTATGATCAAGTCATTTCTTGAAGGGAATTGTCCCTGGCATGTAGATTTTGAGGGTACAATTGGTTTCCTCCTAGGCAAAGAAAGATATGGTGATGCTTTATTAAACTAGCATGTAAAGCTTGTTACTTATATGCAGAGAAATAAGTAGCCCCACATTGGTTCATATAACCAAAACAAAGATATATAAACACGTAAGAACTACGATACAAGTGCAAAGCAAAGCCATAAATAATAATAAAAGATGCATGCAGTCCCTTTTACTCTCTAGTAAACAGTAATGAAAATCCCCAATCAAATAAAGTTTGAGAAGAAGTAATCAATCCCCCATATATCTCCATCACAAAAAGTTAAGGATCATGAAGGGGAAGCATAATGGTATAGGAGAAGTCTCAAAATCAAAGCCCTTTTTCTTTTCAAATCAAAGTTGATAGAAGAATCCCACAGCTAAAAAGGGCATTCCTTGTGCATGAGGCTACGGTATGCTCAAGGAGAGTTTGTTTCCAGAACCCAAACCCATGACTAGACCTTCGAGTAATAGAAAAACAACGGTATCGGTCTGGGAGATCCTACAACTCAATTTGCAAAATATCAGAGAAGAAAAAAATAATGCTATTAGAAATTATTGGTAATCCATATTGATCAGAAAACATTTCCTACTTAGGCAACCCTCTCTATCCTGAAACAATTTATTAAAAAATTAAAAAAAAAAATTAAAAGCCGAATTCTGATATATATGAAAAAATTTGTTGTTGCGCAGCAACAATGGGATGCTTGGGATTGTATTAATCAATATGTTGTACTACATGCAGTAGCTGTCGGGCTCGCGATTGGGCTCAAGTTTATTGGGCCCTTGAAGTAGGTAGAAACGACACTGAGTCCACACTTTCCGGTCGTTTGAAATGCAAAGGAAAGTTTTAGACGACAGGGAAAGTTTTCCTCTGACTTAATTAGGGGGTTTTCCTAGTTCCCTGTTTGGTTGTATCGAAAACGGAACGTTATTACGTTGATCTCGTATCTCTCCCGGATTCCCAATTCAAAACTAGAGAGAAACTTCAAAGTTGAACCCTCAGCGTAAAGGTCAGTAAAGATAAAAACTTTATTACTATGTGATTCGTTATTCCGAAAATAATTTTTGATTATGGATTTCTGTTTGCATTTGATCTAAAGATTAAAGATTTAGCGGTGAAGATATTAATCATAAAATGGGAGATGGCGAGGCTACTGTGGATCAAAAGAAGAGAATCGTGTTTGTAACAGTGGGGACAACACTATTCGATGCTCTTGTGAGAGCGGTGGATACAAGGGAAGTTAAACAAGAATTGTTTAGAAGAGGGTATACTCATCTCCTTATTCAAATGGGTCGAGGATCTTATACGCCCACCAAGGTATTTTATTTATTTCACTCTTGATTTTCATTTTTGTATTCTGGGTATCCAAATTTGAGCTTTTCTTATATTCAGTTCTTGGGTACTTTTGCTTCTAGTTTAATTTCACTTTCTTGCCGGAATTTATATTGGTTTGCAAGGCTAAGGTTAAATCTAAAGACTTTTTGTATAATTTGACTTTAAATGGGTGAATGGGGGATTGTGGTTATAAGTCATACCAGGTTAAAGAAGAATTTAAAATCCAATCTTTTGTTATGTAATTTGAAGCTGGAATTCAAGTCTTACATCTTTTACTAATTTCAGATGTTGAATAAAATTTTGAAGTTATCGATTCATTAGCAAGAGCAAGGTTAATATGACTGTGTGATGATGTAGTAGGGATTGATTATGTGCTATTCAAATTCAATGGGTCTTTGTCTGAAGGTTTTTGGAATTGAATATTGGAAAACTGTAGGGTGCCGCCCCAGTTAAGTCAGCAGACAGATGGAATAAATATGGATTGAGATTTAGTGGGACAATAATGGCGTATACGGAGAAGTCATAAAACTTTGTCCAATCGATCCTTTACGCTTGTGGTATTATACAAGGACTTGATTGTTTCTAATGTTGAGTTTAATTTTGGAAATCATGGTCTACTTTATGTTTTTTATAACAAAATTAAAACTTGATCATAAAAGATGAATAGTTATCCTGGAAATGTCAATAACAATGGCAAATGGGTGGATTGGGTTTAGTTGTAGTTTTCATGTTAAGATATTTTCTTTATGCTCTATTATTGCATTGCAAAACCTAGTTCTCAAGGACACTGCATCTACTTAAGTAGGAAATTCGAAGTTAACAAACAAGGGTCCCTCCCCCTCCTGACATCATATTTCTTGCAAATATGTTTTTAAATGCAGTCTGAAGGAGAAGATGGATCTGTTGCCGTCGACTACTTCACTTTTTCATCAAGTATCGCGGACCATCTAAGATCAGCATCTCTTGTCATCAGTCATGCAGGTAAGGTCTTGTGTTATTTATTTTTGCTTGATATTTGGTGGACGATTTGCACAGATTCACTGGTATGCAAGAGCTGTGTGCTCTATAGTATCATGTTTCACCTTATAATTGTGGATGGCAGGACGGGGCATTGACTGGTTCTGATCAATGTGCAGGGTCAGGAAGTATATTTGAAACTCTGCGGCTCCATAAACCCTTAATTGTAGTGGTTAATGAAGATTTGATGGACAATCATCAAACTGAACTTGCAGAAGAACTTGCGGAAAGGAAGCATTTATATTGTGCTCGTCCTCAAACAATTCATCATACAATAGCCGATATGGATTTAGAATCGCTTCTTCCATACCCTGCTGGTGATGCAACCCCGGTTGCCAAACTTATAAATAGGTTTCTTGGTTTCCCTGATGATGGATGAGTTTATATAATTGTTGTTAATTAAAAAGCCATAAGCATCCTCTTTCTGCAAAATATTGAGTTGTCTTATAAGATGAGGTAGAAGGCATTTTTGTACAACATGTTTAGTCATCCGAGGAAAGTTTGAACTGATCCAATTCTTTGTTTTTTAAGACCACATATAATGTAATGTACAATTAATATACTACACTACATGACGTTTTTTAAACTATGAGGTAATTATAATCAAGGGATACCGGATTTGTTTATCGATAATATCATCGAACACAATTGTTAGTATAAAAGAGAATAACTTGATTGCTTAGGTAGGTGAGTATCACATGATACTAGATGGAGATAATAGAAGACATTTGACATGAATGTGTTTATGATATCTTCTATCATTTATTCACTAGTTGGTCCTACTTGAATTCAATTATTCTCAGAATTCACTATCCCTACTGCAGCTGGATGGCATGACCCTTGTGACTCTCAGATGAGCGTTTCCAGCTCTCTCTCTCTCTCTCTCTCTCTCTCTCTCTCTCTCTCTCTCTCACACACACACACACACATCTCTCTCACACACCACACACACACCACAAGGACTGAGGTCCTGAGCCCCGGATTGGGTTAGGAACCAAACTGAGGATAGACTCTCTCTCTCTCTCTCTCTCTCTCTCTCTCTCTCTCTCTCTCTCACACACACACACACACACACAAGGACTGGAGGGTCCCTGAGCCCCGGATGGGGTAGGAACAACTGAGATAGAAGAGACAAAATCCCAGCCCAGGCAGATAGTGAGATTGTTGTGCACTTGCTGTGTCATTCTCAATGGTTAATAGGTGAAAGAAGAATTTTGCTGCTTGGTGAAAGGGAATGATGAAGATATTGGGAAGGTTATTACATTGCTATTTTAACTGCCAATCTTGGGCATATGATTTAAGATCATGAAACTAGTCATTTATACATATGGCCAAAAAGAAAATTTGAAAGTTAAGGATCAGGCCCAATATGATAGTGCCAACAAAAAAAAACAGCTGGTTTTGGAACCATAAAAAATCGAAAGGTACTTGATCAAGATCATTTTTATACAAATTCTACTCATTCAAATAGAAAAATATCAGAGAAAAAGGGAAAAAGAAATCTTATTTATTCCAATTCCAGAACAAATCAAATGTAGCCTTAGTTTCTTGCAGCCATTGGGATTTTATCAAAACAAAGGATCATATCAGATTTCAATTGAAGTTAATAATGTTTTGTATTGTTCAGGAGATTAATTTTGGCCCTGTGGAAATAGGATAACAAAAATTGGAATAAAGCCTGAAAATCATGATCATAGAATGGTTTCTGTGAGTCAACTAATAAATTTGAGCAACTCTAGAAAACTAAAATGACTAATCTATTGCAACTAGTATAGCAAGTCATTTTCCAGAAGTTCAAAGACAATAAATGCACCCAATAAAGAATTTGAGATGGGAAAATTTTTAAATTTTGATGAAACACCTAAAAATAGGGAGACAGAGAGAGTGATTATTACCTAATGATAAGGATAAGTAGTGATATGTGAAAATGGTTTGCGAACTTTTTTGATACAAAAGACAGAGACCACTCCTTGGCAAAATACAAAAGAAGGGACGAATTAAGTACACAAAACACCTCCATCATTCACGAGACTCAGAAACCAAGAGAGAGAGAGTGGAATTTTGTGGCTATTTACAGGTAATAATATGACCTCCAATGAGAGGAAACTCCACTCTCCAAGTCTGCAACTTTAAAAACTTGCATACCTATTTCTCATTTCTCATTTCTCTCTCTATCTTTTGATTTTTTTTGTTTTTTGGTTTTTCTTCTTTATTCTTGCACTTCGTGCTCATGGAAACTAGCACCACTGCTGCTTCTGCAGCACCTGGTAGGCCACTCGGCGACCATACCCTTAAACACCATCATTTTCATTCTCCTCAGCAACACCAGAACAGTATCAGAATTTCCTCAACTTCCATTCTTATAATTATCTTATCAATCATCTCTGTTATTGTACTACTTGCAATCTTACTAATTATAGTCATGCTTAGAAGACTCAAATCTGCTAAAAACACAAGCAGCTCCGTTAAAGACAACTGCAGCATTAACAACGCTAGTTGCAGGTTCATTGCTCACAGCACCATAACTTTCACTTCTAGCCCAGGTAATTAAATTGTTTTCATGTTTTGTATATTTCTTTTATCTACTATGTGTATAAGATAATACAAGGTAGGTTCTTGATTGTGTTTTTGCTTTCTGTTTTCAATTCTTGCAAAAAGTTGAAATATCTTTTGAAGGGTTGTCTCCATTTTAGAGTGAATAATTAATCAAGCATTTTTTGGACTAGTTCTCTGTTTTTAATAACAATGAGAATGGAAAATAACAATCTTTTATCTATTTATTTTGTTGGTTAATAAACCCCATGTCTACCTTTCACTTTTCAAAAAAAATAAAAACATAAAAAGACTTCCTTTAAATGTTAGTCAACTTTGATCTTGCAAATGTGGTAGATGTGAAGGGAGGCTGCCTGTATGGAAGCAATTTGAGTCAAAAACCACCAAGAAAATACAAAGGAGTTCAAGTTTTCACATACAAAGAGCTTGAAGTGGCAACAGAAAGATTTAGTGAAGCAAATGTGATCGGCAATGGAGGTTATGGAGTGGTGTATAAAGGTATTCTAGCAGATGGTACAGTTGCTGCCGTTAAGATGCTACGTAGAGAAGGAAAGCAAGGTGAACGTGCCTTTAGGATAGAGGCAAGTGACTTCATTTATTACCTTTTGTTCTTATTATCCCTCTCCTTTTTTTCTTTACATCTTTGTTTTATTAGCTTTTGCCTGATTACCCAAGTATAATCACTCAATAGTTTAATTACGAAAAAACAAAAAGAAAGTCAACACTAAAATGATATTGCAAATTGAAAAATGTATGAAGATAAGTTGCTCTTCATAATTTATTAAATGTTATTGAATCCTGCACATGGGGAATGGGTTTAGCTCAAAATGTCATTTTCTTTCTGCATATTATTTTGCAGGTAGACTTGCTCAGCAGGTTGCACTCACCTTACTTGGTGGAACTACTAGGCTATTGTGCTGACCAGCACCATAGATTGCTAATATTTGAATTCATGCCTAATGGTACTCTGCAAAACCATCTCCATCATAAGCAATATCAACCGTTGGATTGGGAGACCCGGTTACGTATAGCCCTTGATTGTGCTAAGGCACTAGAGTTTCTCCATGAACATACAATCCCAGCAGTCATACACCGTGACTTTAAATGCAGCAACATTCTACTTGATCAAAATTTTCGTGCCAAAGTTTCAGATTTTGGATTTGCTAAGATGGGTTCTTACAAGATCAACGGTCAGACATCGACACGTGTGCTAGGGACCACTGGTTATCTTGCACCAGAGTAAGTGCTCCACCATCTGTCATAGATTTCCATTTTTTCCCTTCTTTTTAAATGAACATATCAAAATAGCATTGGAATGTCAGTTTTCATATAAGATATTGCACATGGGCTTGGTAAGGTCCCCCATTATTTAGGCAACAAGTCATTTTCTCTCAGTGGGAAGCAAATGGGAAGCAGAAAGTCATCCTCAAAGAAAATTTGATGCCTGCATATAAAGCATTTTCTCCATAGTCAAGACATAAAATGTTACTTCATTAATTTCCTGATTACTTCTAATTGATATTAATGTGAGTTAAAATCTTTATCAGATTTTCTTTTTCTGGTCGTGAACTTAGGTATGCTTCAACAGGTATGCTTACGACAAAATCAGATGTATATAGCTATGGTGTTGTTCTTTTACAGCTGTTAACTGGCCGGATTCCGGTGGATACCAAACGGCCTACTGGGGAACATGTACTTGTCTCTTGGGTTAGTAAGCTTAATCCATTACTTGCTTTCTTAGAAATGTTAATAAAAACTTAGCAATCTCATCAATTCAAATGAAGGAAACTAGAAAGGATGTGTAAAATTCCTGGAAATAGCTTGTAAGCGAAATTTATCAGTTGTATGGTATTTACAGGCTCTTCCAAGATTAACTAACAGAGAGAAAGTAGCAGAAATGGTTGACCCAGTTCTTAAAGGCAACTACTCAAAGAAAGATTTAATTCAGGTTGCTTCAGTTTTCTATTATCAGAAATCTTGGTATTGAAAATATTCCTTCAGCTAAAATTAGAAACTAATTTTGTACGTATATGGTTTCACTGCTTGTATTGTAGGTAGCTGCCATTGCTGCCATGTGTGTGCAACCAGAAGCAGATTACAGGCCTTTAATGACAGATGTGGTGCAATCACTGATTCCTCTGATCAAGAACCTTTCTTCACTGCCCTCCTCTGCTTCCTCCAGATTTTAGAGTCAAATAATTAAGTTCCAGGTCAATTAGGGACAGTTCAGACATTGTAGAAATGTGTTTCACTTTGTGCTAGTTCATCTCATGTTGTCAGGTTGATATTTCTTTCCATTTTTTTTTAAAATAAGGTTTTTGAAGAATATGTGAGCCACCATGCAATATTTTTGGTTTCCTTTGTGGGGTCACTTCTATTGACAATCCATTCTTTCATTTCTTCTTCCAATATATATACACCTACTATATCATTTCTTGGTATCAGTGCCACGTCAGGGAATACCCAAAACTGCTGTGTTGGCGCTTCTGCCCTAGATTGAATATCACTGCATCACTTTTTTGGGCTGGACAAAATTGTATTACTAGGCATGAAATTAGAACAAAATTCTGTCAATCTGCAGAAATTATAATACAACTCAGTTATGGAAGAGAATATTCAACAGGTGCAGGATCACTATATTTGGAATCAGTCTACACATATGTACAAAATACAGTTACACTTTGGTCTAATGAATCAATTTAAAACCTTTACGCGGCTAATACAAAGTAGAAGAAGAAATCTAATTGCCGAGGCTGCCTTCCCAGAGACAACATGATGTCTGAGACATTTTCATCTCAGTGTCTTGCAAGTGAACTGATATTAGATTTGACACTTGGAAAAAGATGATCAACTTGCAGTCTCCCTATTATCAGTTCCTGATTCCATGGCAACACTTGTTTCTCCCGCCTTTTGTTCATGTGCTTTATCATCCTTTTTACCAAATTTATCAGCATACTTTGCAAATGCAGCAGAAAGGGCCGATTTGACGGTTACTTCAGGTTCTTTCTTCCTACGTTTGCTAGCATCTTCTTCCTTTTCCAATTCAGTAACTACTTCATTCACCAAGGAAGGTTCAGAGTCTTTCGTGTATGTTTTGAGAACAACAGGGTCGCTGGAAACAACACGCTTAAATGGTTCGTGAAAAGTGTCGTACAAGCGTTTCACCTAAGCCATAAAACAGATGAACAAACATGTTACTAACAATAAAAATAAGTAAATATTGAATTCTTCATGCACAGATACTAAGAATTCTAGCCTTACAGAAAATCAACAGAAGGATATCATGGATTAAGGGCATTAAGGTAACATAATGGAGGAAATAATCAAGTACCTTGCGCTCTCCTATACCAGGGCAACGTGCAAGATCTTCCATAGATGCATCCATGACATTAGAAAGAGACTGCATAAGATGACGACCATTTCCAGATGAGAAAAGTACATTTATATAAATCTCTGGAAGTACAGGACATACCCCAAAAGTAGACCCAAGGGTGACGACATCAGTCTTGTTAACATGTCGAACAGTTGTCAGAGCATGGTTTAGCTGCATCAAAAAGAAACATAATCTCACTTTAATGAGTTCAAACAGAAGAGAGGTTTAACAATTTTAGCTAGTTAATTTTTAAGGCTCCAGGTTGGAGTAATGGGAGACTTCAATCTAGTTTATACCCGCGATAAATAGTCTGTATCCATTTGACCCTGAATAAGGTCTGCAGGCTTGTTTTCATACATTTTTATAGTCTCCAAATAGCGACCGCATTCCTCTAAGCTATAACCAAGCACCATGAAAACAAGTTTGTCAAGAATAGTCTTTTAAAGTTGTTCACTACAAGGGACAAGTCCTCAAACGTAAAAAAAAAAAAATGACAATCACATGCAACATGGATCCTATCTGTTAAATGGAGATATCATATCATATTCCAAAATGAAAGAAAGCACGATAAAAGATGTTCAACAACAGATCAAAGTATTTATAGAGTAACAGTGCCACTACATTAGGAACATAGATCGAGTATCCTCAGGCTTCAATACAACCATATCCTATCTCTAACATACATGTCTCACTTGTACTGGAGAAAAAATATGAAGCATACCTCCAAGCACATAATAGTGTGCAATCATGAAGCAGAGCTGTTTTAGTGACTTCAAGTAAAGGCTTAACCACATCCTCCTGAAACCAGTGATAACAATGAGCAATGTGTATTTTATTTCACAAAGACAACAAATCTGCAGTTTAATTGTCCCTGTGTACTCCCTCTTTTGTTTAAATAGAAAAGCTTCTTACCACATCAACATGACACAAGACAACACGAAGCTTGTAGTTTTTTTGCAGCTCCCTTATTCTATAATACAGGTAATCGGGATGCAGTAGATGATACCGAAGACTGCATCAAATGGTCAACTCATCAAACTTAGCGAAATTCAGCAACATAAGCACATACCAAACGTAATAAGTTTATAAATTATGTTATGGTCAATTCCAAGACATATTTCTGCTGCAAATATGAAGCAATTGAACAATTCAAAATCCAAAACATAATACCAAATGACAAACAACGCGATGAAAGTTCAAACCTTAGATATAGAGCACAAGAGTTCTGGCCAAGCAAATAGTCACAAACCACATCAGCAAAAACCCACTTTACATTTCTAATATGTTTGAGCAATGGGTTTCCCTTCTGCAAAAAGGAAACATAACTTCCTAATTATTTATTAAAAAATGAGCAGGAACAAATTCTAAAAAAAAAAAAAAAAAACATGGAGCAGGAACAAATCTTCTAAAAAAAAAAAAAAAAAAAAAACCTTACCTGCCATGTGGGCTTAACAAGAATTGCATTTCGACTCTGTCCAGTCTGCAATGAACGGAATGAAGAAGCCAGCAGAGGCCCTGATGGAGAAAGGTGAAGGCACACTGTAAAAAAAAAAAAAAAAAAACCTTACCTGCCTGTGGCTAACAAGAATTGCATTTCGACTCTGTCCAGTCTGCAATGACGATGAAGAAGCAGCAGAGGCTGATGGAGAAGGTGAAGGCACACTGTATTTTACAAATTAGCCCAAATTACAAATGAACAAATCAAAATAACAATTACCCATATTTTTCTACCTTGAATTATTTGAGATGATTCCAGATTGAGAGGATGATGTGGAGGCGGCAGAAGGAGGAGGAGGAGGAGGAGTGTAGAATTCGGAGTTCTTTATAGAAGAGAAAGCTTGAGAGAAAGTCTGCGATGGCTTAAATAAAGACTGGGTCTTTGGCTGTGAGCTTTCTATTACTTCTTGGTACGACGGTATTTGAATCACCATTTTTTTAGTCGTTGATTTTCTGTTTTGCTCTTCTTTGTCCTCTCGCTCCATGTTTGCTCTTGGGATTTTCCCTTTCAGGCTTTCAGTTGATGATGGAGAAGAAACATTTTGTTCGGTGGGCCTAGGGCATTTTACAAATTCGGCCCATTCGGTTTCAGAGCTTGAATTTGAGGTTATGATCCAGGGCCCAAAAGCGAACAAATTTTCTTAAAAATATATATATATTGCTTTATTGAATATTTAAAAGATATTGCAATGTTTTCTTTTTGCCTTAAGAGAGATTACAATGTTTTAAAGTGTACTGTAAAATGGAATTTTCTGAATTTTATTTCTAAAATGTTATGACAACTCAGTATTCGCCGGAACAGAAAGCTACCAGATAAAGATTACCATTTTGCTAAATCAGCCAAGCATTTTTCATTTTTGGTAATTTAACGAAAATTCTAATTAGGGATAGATTACTGCTTAAGCCAATGGCTAATTCCATGAAATGTCAAATATAATTCCGGTAAGAACTGGTCAGAGAAGAATACTAATATAATCTCATTTTTGGCAAATTAGAAAAATCGGAATTCCATATATCAAACTGACTTTACTCTTTCTATTAAACTTTTCATATTATACATCATTATGCAATTAAATTAATTAAACAATAAGGGTTGAAGAAGCTTAATTGCTATAAACATTTTCCACATATCTAAAAAAAAAAAGGAAAAAAAAAATCAAAATTGACCATTAAACCGGAGGGCGGCCCGGTTCTTTGGTATCAGGTCCAGCCGGCCGAGTGGAAGTCCCTTCTCCATCATTGGCCACTCTTGGTGACCTAACTGATGAAGATGCTCTCGTCAAAAACGACGAGGCTCTAGTTAAAAACGACGGTGTCCGACCAAAAACCCACCTATCTGATTTGGTTCCCTGATCCAACCTATCAAGCCGTTTATAATTACTAATATTGTACTTCCCTCTACTACTTCCTTCACCGCCGCCGGTTTTATATCCCGTCCTTGAACTCCTCTGTCTTGAAAACGCTACCAGGTTCATGCTCATGGTCCGGTTCAATAGCTGCTTCCTAACCTCAACCGGCAATCTCAATGTGAACCGGTCGGTGTTTTCGCCGGGTTGGACCAAAGAATGCCCAGTGGAATGTGATCGCGGGAATCTACGTGGCCTTCCGGATCTTGATCCACGTGTACGGTTCCTGTTCAAGGTTTGGTTTACACTCATAACTTCCGGCGCCGGCGCTGCCACTTCTACACTTCCATTGTTGTGGTCGCAAGATTCTGGTTCTAATTCAGCTGCAGCTTGGTTTTGAGCTTCGAGGTCAGACTCAGGTGGTGAATCGGTGAGTTGAGGAGCCGGGTCATCGGGCTGAGGAGTCAAATTAGCCCGACAAACAGGACATGTAGTGTGAGAAGCAAGCCAAGTATCAATACAATCAGGGTGGAAAACGTGATCGCATTTAGGTATTAAACGTAGCGTTTCATCATCTTCAAATTCACACAAACAAACGGCGCATTCTAACGCCGATTGACCTATCTTAAGCCCCTTAACCTCAGAGTAAACCAAAGTCGGAAACGTCTCAATCACAGAAGCGTCAAGTCCACGCGACGCCGCAGCTCGTCTTGAACGGTTGGCTAGTCCCCGTACACTTGTTCCGCCGTTGGTGTCGTTGCAGTGGCGTATGTAAATAGAAAAGAAGCCCATGAAGAAGAGAGCGGCAATTAAGACAACAATGATTATGGCCATGGAAGGAGTAACACGGGCGTAGCCATAGCGATCCACGTCAGGATTTGTTTGAGCGACGGTGAACGGAGCTGTAATCAGGAAGAGGAAGATGTAGAAGGAAATGATGCGGTGTTTGTCCATTTGAGAAGAAGTCATGGCGGAGTTGCAGAAACTGGGTTCAAAGACTTAAAAGGATGGCTCTTGAACACAAAGGGAGTGCAATAAATCCCTCTAGTTGTGATGGGTTCTAACGTGCGCCGACGAGGGCATAGCAGGAAGAAGAAATGAATGGAGAAGAGCAGGGTCGGTTTGGGAGTTATTATAAATGAAAGAGAGAGAAGAAGTGAGGAAGGCGCAGTAAATGTGGTCAGAAACTAAACCAATGACTTTTGAGAGGGAATGTGGGGTCCACTGGAGGAAGGAGCTTGTTTGTTCCCTGATCATTTTCTGGTCAAATATGGTGAGCCACGTGGCATTATTATTTTGTTTTTTTTATAGGAAGGATCCAAATGGTTGATATGGTTATTTTTTTGTAGTCAGGTATAAAAAATAGTATTTATTTATTTATTAAAGGAATTGATTTACTTCTACAAGGATTCAACACTTATTAGGACATCTAGCTGTCAGAAGATTCCATTAAAGAAATCACGTCTACCAAGTTGGAAAATTGTTTTTTTTTTTTTTTTTTTTTTTAAGTTTTGGAGAAAAAAATTGGTTTTTTTTTTTTTTTTTTTTTTTTTTTGAAGATTTATTGGAAAAAAGGCAAACCTAATTTTCAATATTATTATTTTTCTTTTTTCTTTTTTTTTTTTATTTTAGGAAGAATTAGATATAATTCATTGCAAATGAGTCTAAAAAAGTAGACTCTTGTCTGCTGTAACATATCATGAAAAAAACCCATAATTTAAATTTTTCTTTTTTTTTATTTTTGAGTATTAGTTTTTGTTGGCGGAATCTCAGTTGTCGGTCCAACCAAAACTTTATATCAACAAATCAAGACGGAAGAAAAAAGAAACATTAGACTTCAAGGGCCTATTAGATAAGAAACTCTCTCCTTTAGAAAAACAGATTTAGAAACTCTTATATAAGTAAGAACCGAAAAAAAGTGCAAGCTCTGTCCATCATAAGAGGAATATAGGGTTTGGGGTTTTTCGTTTTGCTTTGGGCAGGGCAACCGCGCACCTCGCGGGCGACTTCACTTTTAATGAAAAGCAGTGATTTATTTGCAGCCACAACACCAAGACCGTTTCCTTTTTCTTTATTTAATATTTAACATAAAAGCAGTTGCTGCTATTAATTCATATTTAGAGACTAGAAGAATAAGATACGGATCTTTTCTTCATTTTTCTTAGAAAGGACTCGACTCAATGTACGTTATGACATAGAGAATTCAGGCAAGTTAATAATAATTAAATTTTAAATTTAAAAGAAAATAAAAATTTTGAGGTGGTATGGTAAAGTAAAATATTATTTTTATTATAAATTATAATACTTTTTCACCCGTAATGATTATTAAATTTTCTTTTAATTTTATTTATTGATTTCAGTAAGCCTCTTCCTTCACATTACTCTATTATTAAGTATAATCCGTAAATAGTATATTAATTTATATGTATATATTAAATATACTTGAAAGGGAACAGTATATTTGTATTATAAATTAACTTGAATTGCTATACGAGGCTTTCTTATTTAAAGCTCCACACAATCACTAGAGGACATTATAATAAGAAAGCATTTTTTTTTTTTTTTTTTTTTTTTGAGATTATGAAAAAGGCAACTAATTTCAATTTATTTTTCTTTTTTAGAAGAATTGATAATTCATTGATGAGTAGTACTGTAACATTATCATGAAAAAACATAATTAAATTTTTTTTATTGAGTTTTTGTTTGGCGATCTCAGTTGTGGTCCAACCAACTTTATATCCAAATCAAGACGGAAGAAATTTATGATCCAACGGCTATTAGAAACTCTAGAACAGATAAAGTGCAGCTGTCATAAGAATATAGGGTTGGTTTTGTTTTGGCAGCAACCGCGACTTCATTTAATGAAAAGCAGTGATTTGCAGCCACAACACCAGAGGTTTCTTTTCTTAATTTTACAAAAGCAGGCTATAATTCAATTAGAGATAAGATACGGATTCTTTTCTTCATTTTCTTAGAAAGACTCGACAGTGACATAGAAGAATCAGGAGTAATAATAATAATTTTAATTTAAAAGAAATAAAAATTGAGGGTAAAATATTTTATTTAAATTATAATACTTTTTCACCGAAGATTAATTTTCTTTTAATTTTATTTTATTTATTTCATAAGCTCTTCTCACATACTCTATATATAATCCGTAAATATATAATATATAAATAATGAAAGGAACAGTATTTGTATTACTTGATTGCTACGAGGCTTCTTATTAAAGCTCACACAAGAGGACATATAATAAGGGAAAGCACATGAACGATCTGTAAAATATTCTCTTCTTTTATTTGTTCGTTATTCCCACGTGTTGGCAAATTGCGAGACTAACATTCAATTTGATGCTTGGAGAATAGGGTTGGGTGCTTCATCTTTTTGACATTCTTTAACGGGTTTCTCTTCTACGCTCAAAACACTTTTGCTGTCTCCACAACAAACCCTAATTCATATAAAATGCAATAAATTAAATATATTATCATTAATTTAATATTAATTTTTAAAAAATTATTAAATTAAAATAATAACTATTAATAACATACAAAGAGTAAACATTAAATAAATATTTATTATTTTTTAAGACAGTAAATATGCAGAGCTGTTTTCTCAGATGCGATAGCTATTAAATTTCAAAGTACAAATGTCAATTGCATCATGGATGATGATAACATTAATTTGTAAGTTTTCAATGGTCAGTGAAGTTATCTAGAAGAAATTGACTTGTGTGGAAGCAACCAATTTTTATCTTTTAAAAAAAACAAGGAGCCACTCCTTGACTTTTAGCTTCATGCTTGCCAAACAAATAAACTCCTTGCGGAACGGTCTGTATGTTTATTTTATTATTATTATTATTATTATATAGTATTTGAAATTTTGTCAAATTTTGTAATTTTTGGACAAAAATACTATAATTATTCAAACTTCAAATTAGGTAATTTGTAATTTTGACTTTTTAGAATTTCATTTTGACATTTTTTTTTTCTTTTTGATATGTTTAATTTAATTAAGAAAAATATAAAGAAAGAAAAGAAAAAAAAGAAGAAAAGTATTTTCAAATAGAATGTTCTATTTCTGATTGCTGACCTCCTTCATTTGGAAGTCAATCAATTGGTCTAAAAACATACTGAAAGAGGATTATGACATTTGAATTCAATTCTTTGCCAAGAAAAATTGGAATCCAAGTTTCCAAAATTCTGTTCAGACAGGAATAAGTTATTACAACTATCAACCTAACATTCTCACTATTGAAGATGGTCATAAATATGGAACTTGAAGCCCAATAGTGGCAAGATGAGGTTCAAAGTCCAAAATCAGGGCTTCTGTTTTTGGTTTTTCTACCCTTTTCTCTCTTAGTAATTGGGCTTTAGATAGATCATTTGGAGTTACTAAGCTCTGCAGTAAATTCACAAATCAGAATATGTATTTTGTAAATTATGGGCTTGCCATGTCCAAATTGTTAGGTACAAACCAAATGCTTAAATGGACAAGACTATTGAGAATTGTTTCTTTTATTTACGGGAGGCCCAATGTACCGACATATGTGGACTATTCAGCATATTAGTGATAACTTTTATAGCGTAGAAAATTTAAATTCGAAACATCTCATTCTCGCTTTTTCTATAAAATGTGAAAAGAACAACCAAAGCACACTTAATTGATCAGAGTATCAGAATACTAAAATTTGCATTCTTAAAACATTTTGTATTATGAAATAATTGTTGAATTATTGTATTGCTATTTTTTTTTTAAGGAAAAACATTTGTTGTTATGTAACTATTGAAAATTCTCCTTAAATGGTGGGAATCCATTAAAATACTCACATTTTTTGCCATTTTACCCAGTAAAATTCAAGAATTATAAATGTACCCTTTTTGCAACTGAACTTTAGGTCCTAATATGGTATATATTAGAGCCAAAAATGCCTCACACCTATATCAGGAGACAGTGAAACCTTGACCTAACTCTCACAGACCAAAATGTTACATCTGTTCACCTAAAAGGCTTAGTGTTATGGGTCCATGGACCAGATGGTGGATGGCCCATTTCAGTACAACACCCCTCATTTAAGAAAAATTGCCAAACCCTTATCCTCTTTCAAGGTGTCTTTGTAAAATTTCACTTAGGACCCAAATCCAATATTTCATTATTAATGAAACTTGTCTTATCTTTTTTTTTTTTTAAAAAATGTAATTCATTAATAATAATAATATCAAAAATTACCAAATAAGCATATAGACCAGATAAAAAACTTTTTCTTTTTTTGTTTTTAAGAGATGTTTTATCATCTAATTACTCATTATAATGTTGTTGAGATAAATTTACTGTTAATGACAATAACACTTACCTTATTTTCATTATAGTTTGTTGATACACCTTGAGACAATTATAACTATATAACAACTTTATTTCTTATTTAATGTTCTATTTCTTTTTTACATATATACGTGTCTCTACATTATTGAACAATTTTTTTAAAAGTAGTAACTCTAAATTTTCAATCCCTAACTATATTTATAAATTTATTTATCCAAAGGGATAGGCTATGTGTCGAAGCCTGTTTAGCCAATTAAAAAAAGAAAATACAATGATAAAAGCCTACATAGACTTAGCAAGCAATTTCACATGACATGAGCCCCAAAAAGTGGAAAAAAAAAAAAAAGCATATATTAACAATCTAATTGGAAGTATTTATGTACTCTGAAAAGTGAAAGGTTTCGAATCGAATCCTCTCGATTATACACGAAATAAAATATAAATTTCTCTGATTTTATACATGAAAGTATGAGTAGAAAATTAGAAATGTCAACTTCAAAATTGGGGTCCATAAATAAAACAGGCTGGATGAAGGGATGGACACACATGGGTCACCAAAATATAAAAAGAAAAGAAAGGCTCTCTAGGTCATTCTCTCCCTAGCCCTAATGAGATATTTGGAAGTTTGTTTAGGTTCAAAGCAACATCATTACAATCATAATCATGATGAATGATTAGTAAATTGGTGAATCTTTTTTTTTTTTTTCACCTTTTTAACCCAACACTTTCTTTTGAGACATTTTTATTTTTTATTGTTAGGGTTATTTTTAAGTAACTAAAAGAATAATTCAACCAAAAAGGGAATACAATTTTCAATTTAAATAGATTTAGGAAA